CCCTGCACCTGCTGACGAGGGTGTTCAGATGTCGGCCCAGATGCGACTGCGTGTCGCCCCGGATCCCGGGCTTGACTTAACACGGAAGTCGATGAGGAGGAATGAACATAAACAGATGCTTAACTAGGTAGAACCGTCCTCTGTATGGGGAAACAACGGTGCAAGGGGGTGGATCGTGGTTGCGCCGTTCCTGAATCGAGCCAAGGTGATGGATGCGACTTGGGGATCACCCCGCCTCGTAACCTTTTACGTCCCGCAACCTAGGAGTTTGTGAGACCGCCATGCCGTACCTTGCACGTGCCATGCCGTACCATGTGTCTGCTGCCTACTAAACACTTGCACAGCAACCAAGTATTTTACCTTCTTAACTTTCTTAACTCCCGAATATGCAGCGGGAGTTGAAAGGCGGTGAGGGTTCGGGATCGGGGCCCCGCCCGCCCAAGCAGGGGCATGTGTGTAGGTAACCGAAACACAGCAGTACGTGACCCTTGCGAAGACTTGATAGTCCACGCAACCCTAAGCACCAAACATTTTTTACGCACAGGGAAAAAATTAAAAAAACACTCCTGGTCTAGCCCGCAAGCATGCAAGCATGCATGCATAACCCAGCCAGGCCTCGCCTGCACCTGCCCGCTCTGGTCGCCATGAAGCCGCTGTAGACCCGAGCTGGTCGGCTATCAAGGGCTTTGATTAATTTATCGCACAGACAACAGAGAGCTTGAAGGTCGCGTTCTGCAAACAAAACACCACCTACGATGCCCCAGCCTGATTGGGTGATCTGAAGATTGTATGAACAGGATAGCGGCTGGCAGGGCGGCGACTTCTCCGGAGAGCAGACCTCTCGATGTGTAAACCGTATTATTCACGTTTACGCCGGCGTGTGTGCGTACGTACGTACGTACTTATGTATGTACTTTTGTCAGCAGCTTCCATGTATTGTGCAGCTCATCGTCGTCATCATGTCGTTCTTAGCCAAGGGCCCTCGGGGTTGTCCGCGGACAACCGGCGATGTCCGTTGTTCTAAATCATGGAGTGACCTAAATCATGGAGAATCCCGCCCCTTTTGATAATGGAATTTTTAAATGTCCCATTTTTGAAGGTAAAGATGCCCCGTAAATTCCTTCATCTGAGCTCTCGACCAGTTCGTTCGTTTCGGTGTAGGCCTCGCAACTTTTCGATTCGCGCATTCAGGAACTAGGCCATGCGGGCGCCCGCGTAGCTTTTCGGCCATGAGCTTGCTTTATTTCATGTAATCTAGCTGAATATAATATGCCAAAATCTGACCAGCATGATTCATGAACACGAATACAGTGGACCGCGCTGTCCGCCGCTCGCTGTCCTGCACTGTCCGCCGCTGCCTCAGCCACGCGAATTGATCCGAACGTTTCCCCTTGCGGAAAACTGCGAAGCCTGAAACATTGGTCATAATAAGTTATATGAAAAAGATAATTCGATGCGGTGCCCAGTCGGGCCGAGTCGGGCGTCAGCCTTCCTCGCTAGGGCCCCTCTGGAGGTCGACTGGAATCGATCGGAATATCCCGTACAGGCAGAGTTCATGCCCACCGATCGTCGGTCCACCATCGACCCACAGATCGGTCGAGGCCACCGATAAGGGTCGCTCCCGCCTGTCAAACACCCCGGTACCGAGCTCACTATCGCTCACGCACTGCACCCGCCGCGTCCTCGTGCAACTTAGCCCCAACGTCTGCTTGCCAAGTTGGGGCTCAGCTCGCAATTTTACTTCCTTACGTTCTTACCTCATTCAGGAAGTCTAGGAAGGTGAAGCTTCCGAGGGGTGAAAGCGGCGCTCTGTGGGCCCCTGCTGGCGCAAATACAGCAGCGCGCAGCCGCTTACGGCCCATGTGCTTGCTGCCGCTTCATCAGTTGTTTCATTTGCCTCGCAGAGAGGGCCGCCTTATAAGGAGAGCCTAATCAGGACATAGTTGTCCTGCTGCAGCTTTGCCTTCATCCTTTAGGGCAAAATAGTTTAATATTTTGGTGTGTGCTTTTTGAACATCACAAGTGATTAGCTAAGTGCAGCAGGATTTAGTGGATATAGCGGGAACCAGCGAAGGGAGAGGTTTGGACTGATTCGCGAGCTGCACTTATGCGAACGAAGTTCACGCGGCTCCACGCGGGCGGCCATACGCAAATCACCAGCGTGCGCCCACACTTGTATCGCGGGGTGTGGCAAAGCCTATCGATCGCTTGTCCGAAGTCCTTTCACTGGTGTAGCCGCGATGTGTGCGTGTGCGTGTGCGCACCTGGTGTGTGTGGGGTGGGGTGGGGTGTGAGAGAGAGAGTGTGTGTGTATGTGTGTGTGTGAGTGTGTGTGTGTATGTGTGTATGTGTGTATGTGCATGCTGGTGTTGGCCCCCATGATCCTTCATCTCCGTCAATGGGTGTTTCGTTCTGAAGGGACGTGTGATCAGTGATCAAGAATTTCAACTAGCTGGTGCTAGCTGTGGCAGGGGCGACCTACTTAGCCAGCAGCTTAGTGAGAAAGGGATTGCTTGCTTATGGGGGTTTCCTTCATTGCGTTCATTACGGTGATTCGCTCTTCCTTCGGCCATAGGTCGGCTGGGGGAAACTTGGGTGCTGCCCCCTCAAGTGCGCCGGAAGCGGCTGCGTCCCAGCCTAGCCTTTGACTGTACCTAAAGTGATTTGCTGACCCCAAATGACGGGGATTTCTGCCATGGGTCGATTACGGAAGTTTGATTGGAGGATTGCAATCTGGTCTATCGGGGTTACCGTATATCATTTCCACTCGTTAACATAATTTGAAGTGTTGGATGTAGGTTGGTGAGCCTTGCAGGAGGTTGTAAATCCTAAGAATAGCACCTGATCCTCAGACCTTCGCAGTCGTAGTTTGCTCTTGGCAAGGATTCGGTGGCTTGGTGGAATGTACGAGCAGTTGTAGTCCGGTGTCGTCATGAGTCAAGCGTCATGAGCACTCCCAACATCTCAAATTTCAAAACATAATATGGCGGGGAAGCAGTGTTTAAGTATTATTGGCAGACGACAGCAAGTAATGTCCATTCTATTCCGCTGCTCACTCTCCCTAACACCCATTTACTAAACCGCAATCCTCCTAATGCCAAAGCCTGCGGAATTAACTTTGCAATACTAGCGAATATATATAACTATGGCTCCCAAAAAACGGAAAGCAACGATACGCAGTCGCAATGGCGTGGGTCTGCTCGGGATGCCTAACTACGATAGCGAGGACGACGAAAACTGGACACCTTGTGCCCAGCCACCTGATGATAAGGAAACTCCCACGATGATGGATACCGGCTATCCGATGGGTGCACAACCAGCGCATTCAAACAACGAAAGAGGTTTTGACGCACCTCTGCAGCAGCGGAGGTATGCAAAAATTTAAATGTTTTTTCCGGCAATAGGTGTATTGACTCCATCGAGGCATCGAGAGTTGAATGACGCTGTGGCCGATCAATTGCCTCGCAGGCGCAAGACACAGCATCGCCACGACAGCCTGACCAGTAATGAGGCTCACCAGGTGGGTATGGCCCTTGAGCGAAGCTGTATGCAAGGGAATAAACAGGCTATGACTTGATAATGGTCTATTTGGTTTCGGAGCGGGAAACACCGGTGCCACAAATTGAGGAGTCCTCTTCCATAGCTACCGCAGAACACCAAGCGTATCTCCGCTCCTGTCCACCTTACGCATATGCACGGCTGCATGACTTCCAACAGCACACGTCCGCTATTTAAAATGTCATACTTGAACGGCGCACAGCGTTATTGCCATAGGTCTGCTGCAGCCCCTCGAGCTGGCCTTGCCTCACCATCAAATACGCCGCCTCTTGCCACGCCCCTGCTTGCCACGCGTATGCTTGCCACGCGTTTGCTTCACAGCCATCTCACGTTCCCCCGCCCACTTGTCAGACGCACCCCATGCCTTCTGACCAGGCTGGCTGTTTTTCTATCTGTCATAAACTTGGACCCCGGCACCTCCTCACTCATCAACCACCCAACCGCAAGGGTGCAACCAACTTGCCAACCGATGCGGTTGTCCACAGGGTAATGCCGAATGGCCGCGGGGCAGCAGTACACGCACACGAGCCGGGTTGCCCGGGCGGCAGGGGACGCGGACCACACACCAGCACCAGCCACTGCCTCATGGTGGCGCAGCCGCACGGAGCAGTCCCCGGGGGCCCCGGAGACGCGGCACCACTCGACGCGGGAGAGGAAGGAACACTGCCGCCGCCGCAGAAGGAACCGCAGCGGGGACAGCGGCAACGGCGGCGACTTCCGACGATTGGGGTGGCTTGACGGCGCCGCTGCTGGCGAACGTGCTCCGCCGCGCCTGTACGGCATCGGCGTTGCCTACAGCGGCCGTGGGTAGGCAGTTTCCTTGGCTTCGAGGGTGGAAGGGGAAAGGCGGGGAGTAGGAGTAGGAGGGGAAGTGGGTGGAGATATGGGGGTGGCCCGTGCATGCACACGCGCGCGTGTGTGTGTATGTGTGTGTGTGTGTGTGTTCTCTGCTCACATGCGAATGGTGGTTGTACCGCGGCGGTAGGCAAATGCTCGTTCATGAACTTGTGCCCCTTTAGATTTCCCCATGCTGGTCCTGGTCCTGGTCGAAACACTGGACGTGTTACGGATCGGGTCGCCGCAACGGCCACTGCGGTGTAAACCACCACCCTCTCAACGAACCGGGAGGTCCCCCCCGTCTGGTACACTCTTGCCCTGGCAGCAGCTCCACTCGTTCGTGGTTCGTCTTTCCCCCCAAACGGAAGCCGCCAACCAACTAACCGCTGTTGCCAATGCAATGGACAACGTTCACACCTCTTTCGAGCTTCTTACTCCCCGCCCTCCCTACCGCTGCCCTATGCCGTGCCGCTGTGGCCAGCACCATGCGTATGTCGGCATTGGCGGCAGGTGTGTAACGAGATGGAAGAGAAGGATAAGGCGGTCGCCGCGGCAGTGACCTGTACGTCAGTTGCCACGGCTGTAGCAGAGGCGGAGGCGGCAGCGGCAGCTGCCGCCGCCGCCGGGGCTACTCGTGGAGTGCTGGGTGCCGCCGGAGGCATAACTGGTGGAGCAGCCGCCGCTGCCGCTGCCGCTGCTGCTACCAGCGATGGCGGAAATGCAGCGGCGGCGGCGGCAGTGGAGGGGTCGTCCGCAGCGGGGCATGCTGCCGGCGGCGGCGACGGCTGCGGCAGAATTCGTGATGGTCAGCACGGCGTCGCTGGCGGGCTGTGGGGCTGTCTGGACCTCCGCAGCCGGCCTTCAGTCCGCTTCGACGACCAGGTCGTCCAGGGAGGGCTCATCTCCCGCCGCTGGTCGCAAGTGAGGACGCGGAGAGGGAGGGAGGACCGGGTTGGGACCGGGGAGGAACCAACAGGGCTTCACGGGTGGATGAAGGTACCATCAGGTACCCATCTGCATGCGCTCGTAAAGAAGCTCGTGCCGTTTATCCTTCCCGACACGTACATGCTTGTTTCACCTGATTTTGAGTTGGATAGCCCAGCAGGCCTACATGGGTTTGACTCGATGCCTGTATGCCTGATGCATGCGAGCCATGCACCTGGAAACGCGGCGTGACCAGCTCAGGACTCAAAAGCGCCCGAAATGAACCTTTACGTCAACATGTAGAGGTTGTAAGAATCCCTGCTTGAGCCAGGTTGTACGGCAATCCATACACATCCGCTGCGCCCCGCAGATGTCCGCTAGCGCTGTAGCACTGTGTGGCTGGTAGGCCCCCTCCCCCGGCCCCCTAGTTCCACGTCAAATGGATGCTCTCCTCCTCCCGCGTTTTTTCGGAATGCCCGGACACCTGACCAGCCCAACCCAGCCCAACGCACACCCAATACCTTCCCACCCCTGCACCTCCCCCGCACCTCCCCCGCAAGGTCCAAACCCTCCGCCTCCGCACCTGCCCCGGTCTCACCCGCGACGGCTTCACCAGGCTGTGTGGGGGCTGTCTGGGACTCACATCCCTGGAGCTGACCCAGTGCGACTCACTGGTCAAGTGGGTGGCGGGGCGGGGGTGGGGCATTGGGTTCGTGGGGGTATGGAGCGGCCTGTTTAGCCACGTCGGTTGTCCTCATCCTTGGATGCGGAGCCGCGAGGAGGGTTGTGGTCCAGATGCCGCTCAGGACCACACTGGCTGGAGGGGGCTAGGGGTGCGTGTGGGGATGTACTAGGTTCCTCGTAACAGAGCCGCAGGTGCAGCCAGACGGGGGTGGAGGTAGGGCATACTGTGTGGGTGTATGTGTTCGCGATTGAACGTGTCAGGGTGGGGCCCAACCAACCTTACCCGAGTGAGTGAGGCCCAATGTGGTAATGGACTACTGGGCGTGTATGTGTGTACGTATGTTTGTATGTGTGTACACAGGCTGGACACCATGCGGGTCGTACTGGCGTCCCTGCCAAGACTGCGGCATCTGGACCTGAGCCACAACCAGGAAGGGGTGATGGACAACGTCATCAAACTGGCGCTGGCACCCAGAAGGATCTCAACGTCACCGCCATCAGCGCCGCAACAGCAACAGCAGCGACAGCAGGCGGCTGAAGGCGAGGGCGGCCGTGCTGCTGCCGATGGCGGCGCTGGCGGCTCCGGCGGGCTGCCGGATCCTGCAGGAGGTGCTAGCGGCGGCAGCAGAGGGTCTGGCACGGTGCCCTGGGCGCTTCCGTGTCCTCTGCGGGTGCTCCGTGCGTGCGGATGTCCCCGTCTGGGGCCTGGTATGGTGAGTCACTGTGGTACTGGGCCTCGCTCGAGTCGCTCACAGCTGTTTACCTTCTTTCCTACCTCCCTACCTCATTCCTCGTCTGCTCTATCTGTTTGCCTGTCTTGCCTGTTTGTGTACCTTTCATCTCTGTTTGTCTGTTTGTCTGTCAGACACATATAAACAGTATGTTGCTGTTAAGGGGGTAATGCTCATCCGGGGACACAGCCCGGGATTACGATTATAAAGACACACAGCCAAACTCAAATCCGAATGTGCATGCCGGATAGCTAGTCAACAGACAGTAGCGGATAATAAGTCATATCCCCAAAACCAACGCGACTAGCAATCAGGTGCAACTTGCATTCCCTGTCGGTCATTCGCTCGTTCACGGTTCGCTTCGTTTTATCCAGATGTTGCCAGTCTGTCTGTCTGTATGTATGTATGAATGCACATCGCTTCGTTTTGCTTCCCCTCTCACGCCCTTTCCTCCTCTTCCATCTTCATCTCCACCAGCCATATTTGCCCCCTCCCCCGCGTTTAAGACGGGATAGCTGGAAAGCAACAGATGCGATCCTTTGTCCTTTGTCTAACGGTATTCATATGAATGGTCCTACCGTCCTACCCATCCATCCATGTCCTGGCTCGCCATAATTCCGCCACACCACCACAACCACCACCATCTGCTCAGCTCGTCTACATTCACATGCACCCAACTGATTAGCTCACACCTTGGCCTCGTCCGACCAACCGACCAACCGGCGCTCCCAGAACGCCCCTCCTCTCTCCACCTCCCTTGGACCGTTACCTCCACTAGTGGACCTCACACCACTTCCAATCCACCAACTGCCAACCAACCACGTTTCTACTCATGCACACTTCTGCAGCAAGGCATTTGGTGGGGTCTCTCCCTGCCGTCCCCTCCTGATAGACCTCCTCCACTTCCCCCTACTTCACCACTTGCATCCCGCCATCACCTCCTCTTCCTCCTCCTCCTCCTCCTCCTCCACTTCCTCCTCCACTTCCTCCTCCACTTCCTCCTCCACTTCCTCCTCCACTTCCTCCTCCACTTCCCCCAGCTACCGCTGTCCTTCTCAGCACAGATCCGTATCCTGCCGGAATGGCTCCACGACAGCCGGCACCACTACCTGTAGCCGCAGCGAGCGCAGATCCCGGACATAGCCCTCCACGTCCTCGGTTCGAACCAGACCCGCCTCCAGCTCTCCAAGCACCTCGGAGAGGGTCTTGGTGCCGCCACAAAGAAGAGGTATTTTGCTGAGGGGTGTGTGCGGCGGCGGCGGCGGTCTGGCAGCGCTGCCGTTGGCAGTGCCGCTGACAGCGAGCGAGGATGCCACATCGCTGATGAGTAGGGCACCCGCGAGGGCCTGTAGGAGCGCAGTAGCTGCGCGCTTGTGCTTGCGCTCCTGGGAGAGGGGAAGGCGGTTTGGGGGATCGCATAGGGTTGTGGCACTTGGGGCGATGAGGGTTTGGAAGCAAACAGCATCAAGAGGCGCACGGGTGGTGGCAGGCCGCGCCGGTGGGTGGATGTTGACGCTGGTTGACTTCCCCTGCTGCGGAGCCGGAAAGTCAAAAGCTTTTCTCGGCCCACATGATATGATGTACCTAATTTCTATGTACCTTTACCAAGCCGAATTGATACATTTCTAGCTTCTTTTTTGTATATTTTATGTCGACACTTCGCCCAAACAGGCCATATTTTATTGTCGAAAGCGCGTGATACGGTTTTTTTCTTCCTCCTGAAGGGAGAACAAACATTTCCGAACCCTTTCGATCATGTCGGGGCCTTCCGAAACTGCTCACCTACCCGTTGGTAAATCCCGACAAGCGTCACCACATGCCGGGAAAGCGCGTCGTTTGCGTTTTGCTGCTTAGTCAACTCAGCCTCCAGCGCAACCAGATGCGCCTGCTTGCGGTCACGGCACCGCTTGGCGGCCAAACGATTTTTCTCACGCCGCGCGTCAAGGAAACGGCTCTGGCTGCCAGCACCGCCTCCACCCCCGCTGCTGGGCGCGTAGTCCGCCTCTGCGGCGGCGGTGGTTGCGGCTGCAGCCGCGGCGGCTGCTGCGGCCAGGGCCTCCGCGGCAGCGGTGGTTGTCGCTGACCCCGCGCGGGGCGCTGTAGGCTGTCCCTCATCGGTCAGACTGGGACCGCTGGTCGTCACTCTGGACAGCTTCATTTTCCACTATGATTGGCTTCGTGACTCAAAAACGTTTTCGTCTATCTAACAAAAGCAATAGCAGCGGGAAAAAATGTTTCCAGGCGTGGCGTGAGGAACAGTTGTGAGACCTTGGGGCCCTGCGGCTTCTCTCCTCGTTCTTCGTCCTCGAAGAAAGGAGAGCGCTGCAGAAACAGAGAGCTATTGCTGCACGTTTTGTAGATGAGAGCAGCTGTTGGGTATAAGCGCTTGTGCGTATGCAGGACCGCGTGACGCGTTGCAGCAAAAAGGGTAGGGTCGCGTGTGATATGACGAGGAGGGTGGGCATGGTGTTGAGCGTCATCGCATGTTTGATGACGACACATCAAATTGCTGACCCACGGACGCGCGGATTCGGCCATCGTCGGGCACACAATATGTCGCGCCTCGGAACGACCTGACATCGGAATATAAATCATGTTAAATCAATGAAACGCAAAGCAACATCTTCGTCACAATGTGATATTACTGAAATGCAGTGGTGTTTACAGGTCGATTTGCAAACAGATGAACTTGCGGCTGACCGCGATGCGATTATGCAATCGTGACTGCCCGCAGTCATCGGACCTTTCCAAATATTCGCATTTACGAACTCGATGGCTGAAGCGCAACGCACCCCCTTCATGATGCAAGCGAGAAATGCAGCCATAGCAGCTATAGCCGAAGAGCCGCCATAAGCAGCCGTAGCCACCGCTACGGAATGAGGATAACGGGCGAGACGGCTCACAACATCACAGGTCAACCGCTAAGTACCCGGACATCACACACCAAGTGTCCAGGGTTCAAAGCCAGGATTATGCCATAACCATTTTCTCCGCCTCCCTATCTCTAAAAAACTCAAAAGTGCTGAAACACGTTTGAATCTCTAAGCGAGCGGGTGCGATACCAACCGGCATGCAACCAACAGCAGCAAATATGCACACAGGACAGCACCCATCCGCGACCTGCACAACCCCATTCCGTCTTGCACTGTCGATCTCGTCCGCGCTTTGTATCCAGGATTGGCAACAAGATAACAGGTGAATGTTCAAATCCCCCTGCGTGCCCTGTTTAGCCCCGAGCTTACCTTCAGTAGTCTCATGACATACGTCTGTATTCCAAACCCGCTACCAACATCGTGTGCCGACGAGATTCAACCTACCACAAACGCTCTAAATGTGGCCCAGTCAACCCCGACCAGAATCGCTCCTGCTCGGCCCTGGCCAGCCGACAGTTGCGGGGTGCCTGAGTAGCGCCATTGCCCCTCTGTCCCACTGCAATGCGTAATGTTGTAGCTGCCAAGGTGAAACGAAATTTCAAATATTAAATATAAGAGAGATAGGCCTTTTTGCCCAATGGTGTGTGAGAAAAAACAAAGCCATCGCCCCTGGGGCTAACGCCCGGACCCCTCTGCCGGTCAAGGGAAGGTGCCTTTCCTCCCCTTTCCTTTGCATGGCGAAGGCCGCAAGCTGAGGACCCCTCGGCCCCTCTCTCCGGCCGCCCCACCCCGTGTCTCTTTCCTCACATCTCGGCAGTTCAAGGCCCTCGGACCACACGTGCCGTACGTTATGCTGCCGCCGTCACCACAGCCGTCGCCCGGTGGATCTGCTGCTAGTCCAGCAGCCGCAGCTGCCAACGCAGCCGTCGCCACCAGTGCCGTACCTCTCTTCGTACACCTGACGGAGCTGGACTTGACGGGCAGTGGCAATCTTGCTGCCGGAGGTCTTCTTGCTGTTGAAAAGCTGCAGGAAGCCGCGCCAAACCTGCGGATCCTGCGATTGGATGCGACAGGATCAATGGCGTCTGCCGGTAGGGGCGCACACACACATACACACACACACACGTGTAGCTCAGGAAGCGATCTAGGCAATTTGTCCGTCTACCCACTCACCCGGATGATATATATATACCCTGCATAAGATTCAGAACCTGCATACATTGCAAGGTTGTCGCTAACCAGGGAGCTATGATCCCGAACTTTCCAAGGTCTGTCGGTGGTCACCTTTTACGTGTTCAGGACCCGGGCTTTGGGTGGTATGTGGTAGGCAGGCGTGAGAATGCGGATTCTGACCAGCGGCAGAAAGGGGGCGCACGGCGAGCAGCGGGTGGGCGGCGCCTCAGAGACCGACAGAGGAGATCGGCTCGCTATCGCAATACCCCACCATACCTTTGGCTGTCATTCATACACCGCATCTGTTCCGAGCCCGTACCTACCTCTCCGCCTAGACACCCCCACCCTCCTGCCTTGCTCGCAGGTGTACGGCTGTCTGCTGAACCTGGGCAACCCGGCCCGGGGTTCCCACAGCTGCGAGTGTGTGAGGTGAGGTGAGGTGAGGTGAGGTGAGGTGAGCCAGCAGAGCAGCCGGGCCGTACGCAGCCGAGCTGAGCTGGAGCTTGGCTGGGCGGTACAGCCCGATTGAAGCCGCAGAACCGCTGCAGCAGAACAAGCGAATAGCTGTTTTGAAATATTGCCTGTACTTAGGGTTTACATAACGGCTTCGCGAAGGCTGCAGTACACGCCTGTACGGCATGCTTTCTTGGCCATCATTCCAATCTGCTCAGTGCACATGTTCCTTTCATGTACGCGGGTCTGCCTGCAGCTGGGTCTGAGCCGTACCGACCAGATCCTCATGCTTCGGCCCAGTAGACGGTACGACTGCACCTGCGAGCTGCTTCGCCGGGTGGTGGGGGCCTCGCCGCTGCTGCACACGCTGGACGTGTCAGGTAGGTCGTCAGCCCGGACGTGAGCTAAGGGAGACCCCGAAGAGCCCAACGCTGCAAGCAGCTGTCGGTACCCCCAACACTCCACGGCGACAGCAGCAGCAGCAGCAGTCTGTCGGTACTACCCGGTGGGAAATCGTAATAGTAACCCACTCACTTACACTGCTGGATAGCGCGTTTCCACAAACAGGCTGTCTACACCGCGCCTGGCAGGCTCGCCCTTCCCTGCTACCCTGCTGATCTGAATTGAGGAGGTCATGAGAACTTGCATGGTAATGATGGTCCGGTGCCGCGCGGGGCGTCAGGCACAGCGAACGGCCGAACGAGGCGTTCCCTTTACCCCGCATGACGAAGCAGCATGGAAAAGGAAGGGGAGGGGAAGGGGAAGGCATGGACAGCGGACACAGTAATGCTGCCGTCGGTGCTGTGCCTGCCCGGTAATACCGCGTCCCAGATTCTAGCTGGACACGGGGCTCACCCTCTGGCTCCCCCACAATCTGAACCCGGTATTGACTGCATGTATCGGTTGATGTGTCCCAATTAGGCAACCTCAGCATTGACGACCAGCTCCGCCTGGACCAGGTCAGGCGGGTGGCCGAGATGCGGCTGGCTGAGTGCGGCCTCGACGTACCTTTCCCGTCAGCCACTGTGTTCTGCGGCGATGCTGTCGCCAACGCTGCTTACGAGAGTTCGACAGGGGAAGCGGCTGCCGAGTGGTATGCGGTAATGAGGACCGCAATCGCCGCAGAGACGGCGGCACTCTCCGTGGTCGTACACTGCGGCGGCGGCGAAGCCGCAGCTGTTCCGAACCCCCAAAATGGCTTCACGCTACGTCGTCAGCTTCTGGGTTGTCTCGGTCTGGAGTTTCGTGCATCGTTGGTCGGCCCGTTGCGAGTGCTGCGGGCGAGCCGGTCGCTGCTGGCGTCAGATGCGGCCTTGCATGCACTGGCGGCTCGCTTCGGCGGCACGCTGCAGGTGCGAGGACGATGGGAACAGGGCGGCATTGGGTGACCTATGGGACCCCGTGGGGCAGTGGGCGCTGCAGATGGGCGCTTTGCGGAGCCGCCGGGGTGTGTGGAGGGGTAGGAGCCTCAGCGGAGGTACTGCGGGCGGTCGTCATCCCCCCGGTGCACCCGAGCCTGCCTGCCTGCATTACCGATTACCGATTTGGAATGTCGTTGAGAGATGAGCGACTGTCTTCGTTTCGTTTCCAAGTGGTGACGAGGGGGCGGGAGATGACAGCGCGAGGGAGTGACGGAATGTTCGACCTGATTGCGCGAGGCGAGGAGGGCGAGGAACCCCCGAGGTGAACAAATGGTTTCGTTTGCCCTGGGGAAGGGTCTTTGTTTCCTGAGTCCCCCACTCCTCGCTGCCCCCACTCTGTGCGCTCCCTCCCCCTCCCCCTCCCCCTCCTCAGCTGTTGGACGTCAGCGAGAGCCTCAATGTCACGGATGCAGGTCTGCTGCACATCGCGAGGAGCTGTACGGCACTGACATCCCTGGACGTGTCCGGCACGGCCATCACCGACTTCGGTCTGCGGGTGCTGTTGGCCCTCCGATACACTGGTCCGGGATGCGCCGGGGCCCAGGACTCGGGACCCGCTTCCTCCGCCGATACGGCTGCTGTTGCTGCGGCGGCGGCGGGGGCGGCAGCGACGGCGGGGGCGGCAGCGACGGCGGCAATAGCGGCGAAGGCAGTAGCGACGGGGGAAGTAGCGGCGGCGGCAGCAAGCTCGCACACAAGGGCACCTCCACGGCACTTCCTGCTGATTGACCTGACGTCTGATATCGACGACGATGATGAAGGCGACTGTGAAGGGAAGGATGGTCGGAAGGAGGGCTACAGCGGGCTGCGGTATCTTGACGTCAGCAGCTGTCGGGGGGTGGACCGGGGGACACGGCACGCGGCGGGGGAGGGCCTGGAAGCGCTTTGGAAGTTGCTGTTTGGTGGGCAGCACCTGAACAGACAGGGCGTGGAAGGGCCGACCTGAGCGTCCGCCAGCACTTGCATATGTAAGGAATGTATGGATGCGTTGAGTCTTATCGGTGGGAAGGCCTTACGCCAGTCTGAACTGGCCGTGTCCAGTGCTAATCATGCCGGCCTTCACGTCGCCACCTTCCTAGAATGAGGAGTACATTTCAAATATAGACATACAAATATACACATCCGTTTACATTACATACACCGTGATAAGCCTATGCATTTGCAGGTGGGGGTGGTGGAGAATCTTGCGGACAGGTATGGACAGGCGACCTGAGCTGGTTTCGCTGCGGGAACCTGTGTGTCTTATTGCCGTGTTGTGGTTGCAAGTCCTCCAGGCCTCCATTTAAACCCTTCCTTCAGTAGCTTTGCATTACGCAGGCGCTCACAACATCCGTTATCGCGATACATAAAATAGAAATCATTACCACAATGCCGTGATGTAATGCATGCACGAGTGGCTCCCCCCACCCACACTCATCTGAGTCAACGTCAACAGCAAAAATACACCACCGAGCGTTCAACGGTTTCTCCTGCACCCAAACAACTGCATCATCCCCCCCTTCGCAATCATTCCATCATAAAAAGGCCGTCTGCGTGGGAGATCAGCGAAGAGGCACAATGTGTTGCGTGACCCGCGGGTCAGCAACCCCCGACCCGAAGTAATATCAAGTTAGATTGATGACACCTCCTTGAATCATTCATTCCCGTATTGAGGGTGTACAAAGTCAGCATAACGCCACCAAGCACGTGTCCTACAATCCACAAGTGCGCATACGAAGGCTCATTGGTACTCACCGCCGCCACACAAATCAAATCGCACTCCCTCCAATAATCCCATCATCATCATCATGACAGCAGGAAGTTCTCCGCACTAACCGCCTCAGCCCCACACGATGAGTGCCGTAGGGCAGTGTTCTCCCATACGTGCCTGCCTGCATGCCTCCTGTACGCGAAAAAGAAGGCAGCCACTGAACGGCCGCTTCGAATCATGCACATCCCCTGGGCAGGCGTCCTTGATGTGCGTTGTTGGCGCTGTTGCCGCGTCGTGGATGACGGCTTGTATAGGGGGCCGACGCGCAGGCAACAACACCAAAGCAGGGGCATTCAGGACAACAGCGCAGGACGCAGCAGCATCAGGCACTGCGTCGCTGCGCTGCCTTACGCGTCCATCCCCTCACATCCCCCCTCAGCGCTCCTCCTACGTGGTCCTCCGTGCATAACAACAGCCATGCTGTTTGGCGCCCCCGTCCGTCACAAAAGCCACAAACCGTTCGTCCACAGTCACATGAGGCAATGAGGGCAACTACACCGCGAGCGTTTGATCGCTCCGTTGGGTGACGATAGAGACAGGAGAGGGATGCGGGGGGGGGTGAGTGTGTGTGAGTGTGTGTCCGACCGCTGGCAACACCCGGACAAAACAATTGTACGAAATATCGACGTGGTGCCCCTGGGAGCTGTACGGCTTTTCATACCCGTACGATGAGCTCAGGTCTGGTCAAAACCGTCAAAACGCACATGCGGCATGACCGAGGAGCTTACTTGACCCGCTGCTGCCGCACGCCTTTTGCGCCTTTTGCACTCCACAACCAGTACAGCACAACCGCGCGATGCACTTTGCAGCAGCGCCCAGCCCACGCGGCATCCAGGTGAAACGGCATCTGCTGTGCCGCAAAAAAGCCCTGCGCCTCCAAACCGGCCATCCAACGCCACTCCATGAAACTATGAACAATCTCTATTCAAACATACCGTGTTCTTGCACCTCCATACATGTCCATGCCGAGTACACAGATTTTCGCGGCACATTCCAGCACACGCCCTAGCTGCCCTGTGCGACCGGCGACATGGAGACAAGCGTCACTGCTCCGCCACTCGCACTTCTTCAATTGGCATCTCGCCCACACCGGCGTATGCGCGACGCGAAACAGCCCGCCAAGCGACTCACCAACCTAACCATCAAACCTGGCAGACAACATAATCCACCCGCGCGCGATACACGATGTGGCCCACAGCTGTGAGGCACAACAACACAATTCGTTTTGTACATTTGCAAAAATAAATCTTCGAAGGCGGGGGCCGATTCTCCCCCCCACACACACAACCCGCGACTCCCGACCTTCCCGATCTTCCCCCAGCAACCAGTTACCTGGGCCCGGGGCCGGAGATCCACCCGCCATTCCCCGGTTACTGCGTACCGCGTGTAACCACAGCCTCATGGGCGTGAAATGGGCTGTGAAACGCCTGCCCTCAGAGTAAACACCCTGTCTGGAGGCGGCCCCAGCAAAACACCATGCGCTCGACTACACACCACTACAGCACCCTTCTTAGGCGCCCGTCCCGATTGGGGACATTCACGGCAGAGGACAGATTACCAGATCCGCCTGGGGGCCGCAGCGTCAGTGGCTCAGCTGGCCCCCTGCGCGGAGAGCAGCAACAACTGTGCCAAGATCTGTGGGTCTACGCCGCCGCCGTTGATGGCGGGGGCCGGCACCGCCACCGGCGCTTGCTGCGGCAGCGGGTGCTGCTGCACGGTGTTGGTCTCGGCTGTAGCCAGGTTGAAGGCGGCACGCTGCATCAGGACCTGCGCGATGGCAGTACGAGGACGGTAGTACGGGGAAAACACCCGCAGAACAGGAGATACCAAGGTGAGTGGCATGAAGAAGCGCAACGGAGAAGGTACAAGCGCAGTGATTCCTAAGTCCCTTCGTTTACTTTCACTCGCTGAAGATCTCACAAGGCAGGTCGACAAAGGAAAGGCCCTTAGATCCATGGACCCGCGTACCGAGTACGCCAGCTCCTCCAGCTTGCTGACCAGCGCCTGCGCAGCCGGGATGTTGCCCGCCGTCAGCACCACCCGCAGCGTGCTGCTCAGCTGCATCAGCGTCTCTGGAAGCTGGTTCAGAAGCTGACCGTAGTTGGCAGCGGCGCTGTTCGGCAGCGGCACGTTGGCAGATGCGGCGGCGGCGGCAGCGGCCGCAGCTGCTGCCGCCGCCGCGGCGTTCTGCATCAAAGGATCGCCAGCGGCGCCAGCGGCGGGGCCAGCGCCACCACTGGGCATCCCAGTGAAGCCGGCTGGCAGAGCTCCTGCAGGCACCGCCTTGCCGCCCTTGGCGTTGGCTGCGTTGCTGCCAGCGGCGGCCGTTGATTCGGACTTGGGCTGACCGCCCGACCGCTGCGGCTTGCTGCCGCCAGATGGACCCGCCTCTGCCCCTTGCCGACCGCTGCCGCCGTCGCTTCCCCGCCCTCGCCCGCCTTCGCTGTCCTGGCGGTCACCCTGATTGTCCTCTTCGCCTTCACGGCCGGCGGCGGCGCCTTCACCGGGGGCCACCCCTTCCTCCCTCCGCGCACCGTCCTCGTCTTCGGTACCGCCGGTACTAGCACCTCCGGCCCCCTTGGCATTATTGTTATTGTTGCCGTCATTGTTGTTGTTGTTGTTGTTGTTGTTGCTGTTGTTCGCAGTGGCGGCGTCCCCTTCTCGGTTGCCGTCTCGCGGATCCTGGTGCGCGAGCTGCTTCAATGCCACCGCCGCTGAATCCTCATCAGACTCGGCGTCTGCGCCCAGCAATCATTTTAAACCACAGCAGTTCAAGTAGTGGCAAGAAGTGACAGCAACAGCCCAAGGCCGTGCATTCTCGCTCTAAAATGCGGAACGACGGAACACCTCATGACCCCTCTGGCCATGAAAGCAGGGTTCACTCCCCCTCCCGGAATGTTCGGACCACAGCTATTCACAAACCTACGAACCTAGCCAATCTAATCTGTCCATAGCGTCAAGCGCCGCAGCCATCGCCATCACGCTCCTCACCTGATGTGCCCTGCTCACCATCCCGCCGGCTGCGCTTAACACCCCGCTGCTCGTCGGACTGCGAGGCCAGCCGAGCGAGGGAGGCGGATCGTGGTTTCGGAGCGGCGGATCCGACGTTCCGCTGTTAAGAAATAAATGAAAAAACTATTTCAAGAGTTGTAGCGTTACAGCACCAGACAGCCGAACAATTGACGTCGGCATGCAGCGCACGACACAGACGGCAAGAACATGTCCGCATTAACGATGTAAACCGCAAATAGACGACCCATCAAGAAATAAGGTCTCTCCCACAACCCTTATCCTCAACATTCAAAGGTTGCAACCCCGCCGATCCCCATGCCCGCCGGTACGCGTCCAACGATACAGCCGTGGTCGCATTCTTTTCCTTTTTATCGGCCCATCGCCATCGCTACAACAGCTCCCCCTGACACACCTGCTTCGCCCCGCCGTTACCGTAGGCTGAGAACGCACTGCCGCCGCCCCCCGCCAGTCGCAGCCGTCGCTCCTGATCCGCCGCCACCGCCGTCGCCATGGGCCCCAGCATCATCGGGGGCAGGCCGCCGGGCAGCCCTGTCCCCAGAGGCGGCGGCAGACCCGACAGACCCCCCGGGAGGGCCCCCGCGAGGGCCCCACTCAGGGCCTGAGGAAGGCCCGGGGGCAGCACTGCGCACGGGCACCGAGGGAAAAGGCGGGGGGACGGCGGATCAGGACGCCGGGCTCCGAAGTGCGAAAAAGGTGGCGGTAAACAACGACAATAAAGCTGCCTCCTTGTTGGGCTTCTAAACACCACTTCACCAGGATATGCACAACCGTAGCCCACCTCACAAAACTAGCTACCAGTCGCATCAGTTGATGGCGACCAACCTAACCGCATCGTTTCCATATCCAGCAATCATGTTAACCTTTTACCTCCCCGCAACTGAGCCGCAACCTCGACGACCTTTCCGACGACCCACATCAGCACAAGACCCAATCCACAAGTAGCCCATATGGACTTACGTGTAGGTGCGCCGCTGGGGTCGCGGCCCAGGGCTCCCAGTCCTGCTATCGGGCCCATGAAGGCCGCAGGGCCCTTGCCTGGCAGCGCGGTGGGTCCCGCACCGCGGATCAACGGGCCGCGGGTCCCTCCCTGCTGCTGCGAAATTAGGACGTTGTGAATGGCGGCGATGGACACTGCTCCGTCGGGGCCAGTTTCGTTGCGCAGCTGGCCCATGATGTCTGCGTGCTTCTTCTTGAGGGTGCAGTTCCAGCGGTTCTTGATATGGTTGTCGGTGCTGGGAGTGGGGATGGGTGCCGCAGCAAGGGGACGCCCGGGTCGGAATCGTAAGATGGGGTCAATCGTTAGATGGCCGAGCAGGGCGGCAATAAAACAATATAGTGAAAATTGCTGGGCACGTGGGGAGGAGGTAGGCACGCGCCAGTGACCTGTACGCGCGCCGACAGGCTGTATTTACCACGGAAGCCCTGGATTAGCTCTGCGAACCCGATTAGTACCAAAACACAGAACACCGAACCACAAGAAATTGTGTGTAGCTCACCGGCCTGGAAGATGCTTGGCGATGGATGCCCATTTATTTCCGTACTGCATGTGGGCCCATAGGATTACGGCATCCTGCGTGACATGAAGGAAAAGCATCCGAAGGGGACGTGGATCCAGTAATTGCACACACGGAGCGGTGACTTGTGTTACCAGAGATAAGCGGCAGTCTCCCATAACACTTTACAAGGGTGCGGGCCGGGGCGGTTATGCTGGTGCCGTTGGGTTGCGGTTACAGTTAGGAGTGCCGAAACATAGCGGACCCACAGTCCCAAACGGCTAATGCAATGATTTATATGATTCATGCTTAAGTTGACCTGGAATGCCAACCTTTGGGTTGCGCGATGAAGGATGCAGTGCGTGCGTCAAAGTCCAAGCGTACCTCCTCGGCGGAGAAGGGGCCACTTTTGACTGATGGGCTCAGCTGGTTAAGCCATCGCAACCTACATGAAGTAAAACAGCGAATATATTACGTGGCCAATGTGCATTTAGATGCTGGGCAAGGAACATGCTCCAACTTATTCGGAGCCTACAGGTCCATTCATGTTAGCGGCATTCATCCCATTAGAAAGGGATAAGAATAACCTTTCATGGGGTAGCCGGGAATAAATGTAAGCCTTGACCCGGAAGTTCTTCCATCGACAACTGCTTCAGGCGCCGGTTGTGGTGACAGCACCCAGCGGCCAACGGTCCCCGGCACCCGAGATGCGCGACTTAGTTGAACAGGAATCTATCTACAATCCGGCGATGCCCGTCTTTGCACACGATGCGCCGCCCCACAGTGGCGCATCCAGGTGTCTAACAGGGGCAAAAGGTATCTGACCTGCAACTTTTGCCGGAGCGCCCCGGAATGCATGCTGCAATAGACGTCCAGTTCCTGGGGCCTTGGGACATAACCAGCTGGCGCAGGATGGTATCTTCCTCTACGCACAGAGCGTCATCGTTGGTGAAGAGGCGCCGGTCCACCCCAAGAATCCCCCGATATCCTTGCGCCCCTGCGCGCCTGCCTGACCTGGTGTCCACGGACCCTTGGTAACATCGTCATCTCCATGAGCGCCGTCGGTAAACAGCGCCACTTCCATCAGGTTGAAAGGAGCGCTTTGAAAGGAGCTTTCGTGCTATTAGGAAAGGCGGTGCACAGGTGGCTACGGTTGGTTTGCAGTGTATTGCGTGGAAGTTAAGCTGGTAAAAGTCAGGTGAAAGTTGCAATGCGTTGTGCGTTAAGAGAACGGTAAGAGTCGTTCGGCCAAACCGCTTTGCACCAAACCGCCTAACAGACCCTAAACCTGGCAATGGAATTTACTCTGCATTTACGTCTATCGCACGAGAAGGAAACAGCCTAACAAAACGAGGTCCTGCAAAAAGTGCAGACCCTCCTGGAGTGGGACAACCGTCCAAACTCGTGATCGACGCTGAAGAAGGATTTCCTTGCGCGAACATGGATGTAACGCGAGGAATTCATATGCAATGTTAGGTAATCCGAAGGAATGGGCAGCCCGGGTCCCAGTAACGACGTTGCTGTCTGTGATGCATGCATTGCGCAGGCAGGGAAAGATCAGGTAACCCTAATGGATATCTCCTTGGTGGGCATATACTGGTATCCGTTTTGGCCCGTGTTCGCCTGCAAGGGACGATGGCAGTCTGTGATGCGTTTGGTGGCACCCAAGGCGCCATTGCCCAACGGCCAGGTAACTTCATTTTATTGAGCAGCATCATTAAGAGACTACAATAAGAGAGACCGGCAAGCATCACACAGGCCAAACCGTTTGCCTTGACCTGGCAGCGGAAAGGATGGTCCCGTGCCATATCCGCAAACAATGCAACGGTCTAACATCAGATGCAATTAATTAGCTCGGGACACTGCTCTCGCTGCTCCAAGCCGATTTCAACTTCCGCTGAGGTTAAACTGTCGATTTCCTAACGAATTTCACGCAAAGAATGCCTGTAATCGAAATTGTGCATTATATTGGTATGTACCAGGTTAGAACTGGTATTTGATAGGGGCAATGAGCTATTTGGTCAGCTTGCCAGCCACTTGTTACAGTGGGCTCTAGACTCACGAAGTGGCCGTGCACTGCATTAGAGATTAATATACAAACTAGGCTACCACCCAGATGAGACAACGCAAGTCAATTAGACAGCCAAAACCGCGACCAAAAGGAACCACAGGACCCACAAACATTATTGAAAGAGGCCTGAGCCCTCAAAAGTCCTCCAATTAAGAGAATCCAAAAGAGAACAAAAATAGGTGATACGGGAGCTATCTTCCATCGGTGACAGCTCCCGTGAGGATAACAATTCGCCTGACACAATTCGCAAGAAGGGGTGATGTGCTCCAACAGAATCCCAACCTTTCCGTGGAACTCCCAGAGCTGCGAAACCCCAAAAGCGGCCCCAAAAGTCAACAGCAACTCGACAAATGGCTCCTTCTGTAGGGGAAGGGCCAGGTAACAGTGCCGGGTTGGTTTTCATGGTTGCAGCCATATATCGTCTCCCATGCTCCATGGCTGACACTGCAGCAAGAGCTAGAACATCCCAAACACATTGTTGCACTGTTTGTGGTGCCACTGCCGTTTTTGCGCGTTTAGCTTCAGACACAAGGGCACCTTTGACACCACGAATCATACATTGCCCGTCCAACCTTTCGGGCAGGATTATAAGACAAATTACTCGATGCAGCTGGAGAAGGGGCGGACACATTGGGCCACGGATGGCCAAGGTCCTGGGCCAACCAAAACTCAGCCCAGCAAGCGAAAACGTTATAAGTATAGGGTTACCCCACACATTGGAGGGGTGTCATGGAATTAACGCTTTCAGATGCTTTTAAAACCACACACAGTCTCCGACGATTGCCCCCGTGCAGATAGCATGCGGAGTCATGCGGGAACTTTGCACACAGTGTTTGGAAGCAGAACGCAATCATTGCAGTGGGCCCCGAAAGAGCAGCATGCAATTGTTACAGTGGACCAGGAACGGGTCGAGTGCAGGGCCCCAAAGAACGCCTCCCGCACAATACTGTGGGCCTTATTCACAAAGAACTCGGCCAGGCCGTATTAACTTCACTGGACACAAAACCTTCAGTTAGTACGCTTATACGTGAGCCTCCTCAGACCTCATTGTACAGCGGTAAACGGCAAACAAGCTTGTTTGCGTCGTTGACATACAAGGAAGGATGGTTGTGAGGCACGTGTTCCCAACGTTTTGGCAGGTTATCCCGTGTCGTGAAAGCAGTTAAACGGGCCCAAAAGTTAGAGGTGACATCGTAAATAATGCGTTGAAGAGCTGACGTAGACAGGCCCATGTTGGCCTGAAGACCTGAAAGAGCAGGCAGCACCGGTCAAATCACGAAAGGACCATCCGTCATCATGAGCGCTTCCGGAGGCCAATGGACTTTGAGTGACCCTCCTCTCACAAAAAACTTCCGACGTATGCTTTCCAACAAAAAGTGTGCTTCTCCCATGCGGCTGTCTTTTAAAGCGTCCCAGTCAGGCGAGCAGGAAGGCCCTTGCACGTAAAGCGCCCTGGGCGTCAGATACCTTGTCGCTGACAAAGCCCCTGGATGCTCATAGTACCGGATGATTTCTTAATGTATAAGGCCTTTGAGCACGACTTTATAGCGAATTAAAGGCATTTTGTGCGTCCTGTTGCGCCCGCCACCGCAGCTCGTCTGATGACAGAAAGGGTACTCAATTAAAGTTCTTCCTATAACTTCCAAGAGTTTTGCATGTCTTCAGCTGCCTCAATCTTCGGCGTCGTTCCAAAGGTGAAAAGTTCATATAAAAGCTTTAGGGGATAATGCATGGACTCAAGGAGGAGAAAGGACCAATCTATGAGCGTCGATCACCCTTGCCACCGAGAAGCTTCAGTGTCCTGGTTAGCTGGTCGTCGAACGACCGCAAACGACTTCGACGTTGATGCAACTGAAAAACTGCATATTTCTATCGGAAGATAGCAAAATTTAACTCCAGCGCTTCTAGGTAGAGAGAATTATTTAGAAAACAGAACTGCGGCAGTGGGACCTACAAATAGTAGGAGCTTGATACACGCTCAAAGTGAAACCTCTCGCAAGCCAAATAACGTCTGTGCTATCAATCTATCTATACCTAAAACGCTGCTGCAACTGTAATCTATCGGGTGGGCAAGCGGCAGTAATGGCTCCCGTAGATCTGGAGCAGCGAGCAGCTCGTGCTCGCTCAGCTGCTGAAGCAAATGGGCAGGGCCATGTATTTGAGCATTGGGACCTGCTAACAGAAGCCGAAAAAGATCACCTACTAAAAGACCTTGAGGTGCGCCTGTACTAATCTCCCCACCCCCCGCCTCCCGTGGTGAGCCAATCCCCAAATCCGGAACGCACCTAGAACCAGATTGCTCTCCCTCTGTGGAGCATCTTGCACCTTGACGCACCTCTAGTAATTAATAGTTTCACTAAGCGTAGCCTAAATCATTTCGCTACAAAACGCGCAGACGCAGCATGTGGACGTGTGCCGGTCTTTGCCTGACACCCAGTCACTCGCACGCCCTCCCAAAACGCCATTTACGGCACGCAACGTGAGGGTTCAAACCGCATACCGGTCGCAGACTTCAGCGTGACCTACGGAGGGCCGTGTATGGGTTTAAGCTCCGGGGGGGGGCATGATCGGTGCACTGCCCTGGTCCTCCTACGGGTCTTAGGGCCCAAAGTGCGAAAGAGCTGGATCCATATGGCCCCGGTTACCAAAGCGCAAACGAGTGCAGCCATGGAAGCCTGCGCCGCAGCTCCCGTTTTCCCCAGTTTGAATGAGCGCCTGTTCTCTTACCCCCCACCTGTGGAATCGTGACCGATGCGCCCACTGATGCGCCTCAACCACGCAACAGAGTTACCAGGTCCCACATTTGCCGCACGACCAGTTACAGCACCGCCGTACCCCACACATTTGCAACACCCAACCCATCAACACCCGATGACATAACCCAGCCCAACCGCACGGGCATGCAGCTCGGCCGCTACACCCCTCACGTCCGTCTCATCTCATCCAGCCCATCTCCACACCCGCGGGCGCCCCTTCGCCCGCCCGGGCACACACCGCTTATTTCCATCGGAACCTGATCTGCCTCTGTTGAATCCCATCTGGTCGCACTTTGGTGTTTCAGAGCCGCGTGCAGCGTTTCAGAGCCCCCACCTGAGGTGATACCCTGGGCCCCCTGCGCACCCCGCCCAGGACCTGGACTACGGCTACCTGACGCGGGTGTTCAATGCCAGCATGGCAGCTGCATCAGGTGAGGGTATTGACCTGGCGGGTGAGGGGGGGTGACGGGGGGGTCCGGAGGTGACGACTGAGCGGCCGGTGGCCGCCTCCACGGAATGTATCTGGCTTCCGTGGCTTACCATGAACACTGCACACTCCCACCTCACATTTCCCTGGCCATCTCGATAGCTGTCTCCCATTGTGTGCCTGCCTGTCTGTATGTCGATCTGATGCCTGTGTAGCCCTTATCTCACCCCGACAAAAAATCAACCACCATCTGGCTTCTTGCGTACACCCCACCCCGGCAGCACCGAATTTTGGAGATATTGAGCCGGCAACCGACGTGGTGCAGCTGCAGGTGAACCAGCCTGGCCGATGATCGGACCGACGGATACACTTGCGTCCATAACTGACCTTAGCTGTCGGGCCGATCTTAGGGGGGCAGGGCTGGGCGGAGCAGGGCAGGCGGGAAGTGGGGGAGGCCGCCTCAGAAAGGGATGTCCAGGAGGGGTTGGTGCGCACCGGTTTCCTCTCCTGCGTGGGGTGGAGCGGGTTGGAATCTGGGAAAAGGGGAGGAGGCTACGGGCGGGGGGGTAGAGAAGGATGGAAAGTCCCACGAGCCATTGGGGTTAAAAAGAAGCACCGCACGGGGGACGGCGGCGTGCGGGGGGCTCGGGCCCCCTCAGGGCCGCAAGGCCAACCGCCAACCGCCACTGCGAATGTTGCGGCACGTCGGCGCTTGACCACGTATGATGTAGTTGGCGCTGCAGGGACTGAGCAACCACCCCTTGCCGTTTGCATTGTTGTTGCTGTTGTCCGTGGTCTTCGCAGAACACGACCCCTTCAGAGACGGCGGAGTGGGCGCAGCACGGTTACCGCTTGATAGCTGAGGTAGGACACCCCTCTCGGGGTGGGAGGGAAAGGGCAGTCTGGGGACCGTGGGAAGGTGTCGAGCTAGGCCACCGGCGAGATTGGTGAGATTCGGTACTGTTGGCCGATGGCACGGATATGCCATACGTGGAGTACCAGAGCCTGCATTGCATTCATTGTTATTGACGAAGGTCTCAGCTGCAGTCAATCCAGCCACGTCAGGTACCCGCGACTCATTACGTTGGCCCTGCCCACACCGTCCTGCACTGCCCTGCACCCAACGCATACCCCCCATCCCCACCATGCCTGTATGCGCCTGCAGGGTCGAGCTGCAGTCCTGCTGCTGGCAGGAGGTCAAGGCACTCGGCTGGGCAGCTCCCTCCCCAAGGCCTGCTATGACATCGGACTGCCATCCCGCAAGTCCCTGCTCCAGGCACGAACGGGGGCCGGGGCGGGGGCGGTGTGTGTGTGTGTGTGTGTGTGTGTGTGTGTGTATTGGAAAGTCGGGGGGTTCCAGGGCCAGCGCCGTCAGGGCCACACACTCATGCCGCCATCCCATAGGTGTAACTGTAGTTTACGCTGTTGCTGCTGCCGCTACGGCTACTGCCGCTACTGCTCATCTGTTTGTGGGCTCACGGAGCTTCCCCTCTTCGGATTGCTTGCGGTTACTTAAGAGGGTGTTTGTGTGCTTGTGCTGCAGACGGAGTTCTGTTGGTTCTGGCCCATGCGTCCATCGTGACGAGTGACAGTAATCTTCTCTCCCCCCGTATTCCTCCCAATCCTTTCCTGGGATGATCCCCCGTGGCGGCGCGCACGTGCACGCACGTGGGAGGTGCAGCTCCAAGCGGAGCGGGTGCTGCGGCTGCAGAGGCTGGCGGCAGCTGCTACCGGCACACCGGCCGCAGCCACCAAGCCGCTGCGCTGGTAGGTGGGGACAGCTAACAGGCCTGACCGCAGTCCTGAATGTTGTGCTGAGCCCCGTAGTTTAATGGTGGCATGGTGGTACCGGCGGTATGCTTTAAGTCGCCATATGACAGCTCTCTCTCTCTCTCTCTCTCGTGTGCAAATGCGAGCTCGGGGGGCCTGTTGCGGCTGCGGGTCCCTGGCCAACCGCTGTGCGCTACTGAGTTATATGTGCTGCTACAGCTACAGCTGCAGCTACAGCTACTACCGCCAATGCAGCAAGGAGCTGCTATAGCTACAGTCACTATCTTTAATGGGGGCATATGCATAAGAACAACTCGCGTTGCTGGGGCTTGTCACTTTATAGACTTGTGAGGGCGCCACTATGCGTGCAGGTACATCATGACAAGTCCCTTCACGTACTCCGACACGTTGGCGCACTTTGAGGCTCACAGCTTCTTCGGGCTGGACCCGTCCCAGGTCGTATTCTTCCAGCAAGGCTTCCTACCTTGCTTCACCGAGGACGGTGAGGTGGTTGCGCCGGAGGGCCAGCCGTGAAAGTGGGTTTGCCTGCGTCCCAGATGGGCGGGCTGCTTGAACGCCGCGTAGCGCATCACGTGTGGCTAAGGTACGGCATACCGTTGGGAGATATGAGCTTACTGTTGGTTCCATGTAATTTACACATATATTGGGTTCGAATGACATCGTCATGCGTGATGGCTTCCTACTTGCGTCCCTGATTACCCCTTACCTGCCTCCTCCCGCACGCCTGTAGGCAAACTGATCCTTGAGACCCGGGGGTCACTCGCAAAATCTCCCGACGGCAACGGCGCGGTCTACTTGTGGCTCGCTCGCTCGGGTTTACTAGACGCCATGGCGGCTGCTGGCGTCGAATGCCTAGACTGCTACTCCGTGGACAACAGCCTAGCGCGGCTGGGCGACCCACGGTTCATCGGCTACTGCCACAAGGTCGCCCAGGCGGATGTGGGCGCGAGGGTAGTGGCCAAGGCCTACCCTGAGGAGAAGGTAGGAGGAAGCTAGGGAAGAATGCCTCCCTTAGAGCTCAATAGCGGGAGGGTCCGCCTCCATGAGAGCTGATGCCGTAAGTCGAACGCCGGTCCGAGCTGCCTGGCGCGTCGGGTTGTCCTGGGCCCTGTACGTTCCTGCCCTCCCGCCGCACCCTCGGAGATCCGTATGGTGGAGTGACGAACATTCAGATCAGCGGGGATCGTGCCCTTCCCCCTTTCCTCACATGCATGATGTTCGGCAGGTAGGCGGGTGTGGGACTGCCTCCAAATCCGATGCCACCTACAAGAATCCACATGCACGTCTGGGGAGGTGACGAATGGGTTTCGGAGCAGACGTGTTTTCTTTGTTATCCTTTGCTATCTCATGGATGCCGTAACCCCCAGGTGGGGGTGTTCGCACGCCGCCGTGCCGCCACGGGCACTGCCGCCAGCACTGGCCATCATCTGGCCGTCATCGAATACAGCGAGCTCGATCCGGCGCTTGCCTCCGCCACCAATCCCGCCACCGGGCAGCTGTACTATAACTGGAGCAACATCTGTATGCACTATTTCTCCGTAGAATGGTTGCGAGTCGTGGCTGCACAGCTGCTGGCTGGCGGCGGTACGCCGTACCATGTGGCCCGGAAGCGCATTCCGTCGGTTGGAGGACCGGTGGGTGTTGGGGAATCCGTTCCTCAGCCTGGTCAGGAGAAAGGAGGGTAGTGAGCTCAGGGGGCGCTTGAACCTCAGGCCGCTTGACGAAAGCCAATTGTGCATTAAAGTCGTAGTAATTTGGTTGTGTATGTATGTGAGCTTAGGGAGGGATCCCCTAAGGCCCAGGCAACACGGGCGTTGCCATGTGGTCGGCGGGGCATCGGAATGAAGGTGGGAAATGTGAGGTGCCCTGAGGTGGGGTAAGATGGCGTAAAACGATTGAGGAGGGGCAGCTCGGGCAGCGGAGCGCTGTGCAGCATCAGCAGCATCATTAACGCGGGCACAGGAGGGGATTTCAGGGAATCGAAAACAGCCTCTCGGTGGCGCGCTGTGCCTCCAGATAGATTTAGAGGCATGATTTTACAGCTTTGGAATAGGTGGACAGATCATTTCTTGCGCAAATTGTAAGCGACACACACCGCCCGCCAGACGCAATCGTTGTGGCCGCAAGCCCGCTGCATGATAGGCGCCGCCGCACTCCTTACCCCGGTTCTCACGCCCCTTGAACACGCGACCCCAGGTTCAAGGTGTAAAGTTGGAGCTTTTCATCTTCGATACCTTTCCATTGGCGGGGAACAAGACGGCGCTGATGGAGGTAGATCGCAGGTAGGTGCGGTAGTACGGAAGGTCGTACAGCGCAACAAGGTGTTCCATACTGGATAGTTCCTCTATTGCGCGAGTTACTTCCAACCGAGTCCTGGGCGACAGCCTACCATGATCTCATGGCCTTTGCCTGCGTCCGTCGGCTACTGCTTCTTTGCGTTCACCAGTCTGCGTCGGTGCCTCTTCGCGTGTGCAGAAGCGACCATGCTTGGATTTACTAATTCGCAACCAACTATTCTCTGCACCGGCATCCCCTATTCGCGTTCGAACTCACAGGGCGGAGTTTGCGCCCGTCAAGAACGCGCCTGGTAAGATGTCCTGTGACGGACCCGAGTAGAATGGGCGTGGTGTGGCGAGTTGAGAGGAAATGGAAGCTGCGTTATCTAGCACCCTTGCTTCCGACGCTTGAAGGGAGAGAGGTCCATGCCTTGAGCGCTCACTCTTGCGGTTTCGACCATCATGAGTTTCCGGCCTGTCGTCTTGCAAAGGTGAAGGCCCTGCAGGAGTACCTACCAGCCGCGTGTCCTTCCGTCCTCTCCTAACTCCGTGCAGGCAGTACAACTGACTCCCCCGATACGGCGCGTGCGGCGCTGCTGTCCTTACACGCCGACTGGGTGCGTGCTGCGGGCGGGACGGTGACATGCAACGAGGGAGTGGAGATCAGCCCGCTTATTAGCTACGCAGGCGAAGAGCTAGAGGGGATAGTGGCCGGGAAGACGTACGACAGCCCATTGGCTTCAGATCTGCAGCAGCCACCACAGCAGCCTTGAAGAGGAGCGCTGTCCAATGTTGCACGCCGCGACACCGCACAGCGATCGTGGGGGACTTTGGCGCCCTTCATCGCGTAACTGTGCGCCGCCTGCCTTCAATATTGTAAGGATGCTGTTGTGAATGACGCCTCTCCCGGAGCGGTTCCGGAACCCATTGAAGAAATCCGATGCCAGATGACAAATGCTATTGTAGGGCCGCAGGCGGCAAGCAGTGGCAGATGGGTGTGCGCTTGGCATTGATGCGTGTGGATGGATTGCATTGATGCATATTGATTGCGGGTAGTCAGGGAGTCGGGGCGCCTTGCCCCTGCGGTCGGAGGGGCGTTTTAAGCTCAACGTTGCAATGCTGTATCGCCCGCTCTGTTGTGGTCACTGGTAGCGCGATGCACAGTCCAGATGTATTACACTACAAAGGTAAGCAGCCAACTATGGAAGGGGTACCTACAGCAACACTCGGGCGGAAAACCCTAATATGTAAAAACTATCAACCAATTCTTGGCGAGCAGTAGTGCCCACAGCCAACGATGCAGTTTCCCTGAGCATAACGAAGCAAAATCGACGTGTTCAAAGCATTAGATGTGAAGTTCCTTGCACCACCCATCCCAAAACAGCCCAGCAAGGAAAGCTGCCAACCAGCTCGCGCCTCGTAACCTCGTAACGCTTCCATCTCTAGCTTCGCCGCGCTTTGACGGCCCAACACTGACGCCTTTCCGTAAAGCGCGTGCCAGACGTTTCACCACTTTTCTTACGACGTGCGCACATTGCAACCATATACTAGGCGCATCCAGCGATCGCTGCGTGCAAAGGACCCGTTGCAGCATCACTGCCGTAAGTACGGATACTGTGACCGTGCACGTCCCCTCTTCTACATAAAGGCGCACAAAACTGATCTTCATGATAGGCGCCAGCCACTGCAGGAACACCACATGACTTTTCCAGCCCTGAGACTTGTACCCGAATTTTCCCAGCGCCTATCGCCACGGACGCACAAATGGAATACCGCACGTGGTCTCCACACGCTCAAAACATCAGGACAGCCCCACATGAAGGGACCGACTACGGTTAAGGAACCGACCCCCTATGGCCGTCCATCCTCACGAACCGTATTTGCGTCACACAACATCCAAAAACGTTTCTCCGGGGAGAGCGTGTATAAGCACGCGCACCCATCACAAGGCGTAGCCAAATTACCTCAGCGAATGAATCACTCATTCACGTGGTGCTCAATCACCGCCAAAAAAGCACTGGGATGCTCATGCGATGATGCGTACCTGCCTCCACGCGTCCCCAAAAGCGCTGGAGGCTCGTTCCTCAGCCCGCAACAAAATGCAGGGCACCGGCCCCCTAATTTGCACTTGTACCTACCGGCACCCTACATCCGCATCATGAAATGCGGCATTGATGCCCTCAGCGCCACCACGCCAACCGAATGCCAAGCCATCAACGCGCACGGCATGCCCTACGACAGTGCACGGCACGGAGGCCCATCTGCAAAAAATGGAAAGCCCAGAGCAATTACCACCATGCATCCAGCAAGATAGTATCGCGCATTCATCGGGTTGGCCAGACCCGGATCCGCATTACCGGAAGCGTTGCGGAAGCGCGTTTGGAGGTATACGGTTACGGTACAGGGCCTTATGTACGACATCTTGTCCAGCGCAAATCACTACTCGATCACATAACACATAACTGAAGGGCTCCCGGCTACAGCCGACACCACGACGTGCAAGACTGCAACAATTCAGCCCCGGCAATGCCGGAGGCGTATCAACCGCCTCATTCTCTACACTTAGCCACGTTCTTCAACAAGACACACGGTAAGCAAGAAACCCGGACTAACATCATCCACTTTCCGGGATGGTGTACACAGACGGCAACACCAAAAATCAACCAGCCCACGTACCCGTCCGAACAGGCGGCAACACATGAAAACGAGATAAAAAAGCGGACAGGCTTCCGGATCATTTCCGCGCGCGGGGTCGGAGCTTATGAACCGGAAAGCCAGAAGATGAAAGATCCGCAACAATACGGGGTTTGACAGCAGTGCTTAACCCGCGCCCCAGGCCACTGCCTGGACGTCAAGGGATGCGCCACGCCACACCCAGCATGCATGAGTTAACCAGCGTCAAGAGCGTTTTCCATAGCTTCATGCCAACAGAGCCACCTTATGATATGGTTCTTTGGCACTGCGACCGGCGCTGGGACAGATAGACGTCCAAGTCCCATTTCCCGGTCCATTTCCATCAGAATGCACTTGCTCTGGACACAAAAACAAGCCGTTCATTCAGCACTCAGCGCTCACAGCTGACAGTATTTTGCACGTGGACAGACCCGAAACTATAACCCACCCCACGGTTGACAGTCTCCAAAGTGAAACAACGGCGTTAAAGCGAAGTCTGAAGCTGGTGGCTTCAGCGCCGCGCGCCTTCCTGTTCCAGCCCCTCTCCGTCACTACATCTGTCCGCGCCGTTACAACGGTCGTCGCCAAGATCCATCCAGCACAAACACGCAGAAAATGCGAAGAGGTGAAAGGAGTCATATGCAACACATGTTTTTTTCCTGATATGCATGTGTACCTCTTACGCCTGTAACACACGGTACCTTGTAAGCTGTTGTAAATATATGAACAGTCAAATGTGGAAAAGGAGTTGCTACCGCTGCGACCAAAACGAAACACGCAGAAGATAAAAAAACGTAGCAGGCTGGCCGCTGGCAGAGCCGCTCACAGACACGCATATTCCTCTGTCATTTTCTTTACCACTACTAGCATCAGACCGATTGTCGCTCTTGCATCCGTGAGGGCCCCTGCCCTGCCATCAATACGACCAATATTACGACCCCAACACCTTGATTACCGCAACGGTGTCTGGGTCACTAGCTGCCTTACCCGCCCACCGTCCCTGCGCACGGCTATGCCAGCTTGCATTCCGCGAGGCACTCTGTTGTGGACTGCGGACTGGCTTGCATGGCTCCACCCCGTCCTGCCCAGCCCGGCGGAGCGCTAATTGCATAGATAGCGCAAATTGCGGTGAAGCAAGAATGAAACACACGAATATAAAGAATGGCGAGCAATGCCTTAGTACACGCTTCAAACAGTATTCCGAATCCTGCAGTAACCCATCTCATGGAAGGCCACCCAGCCCCGCACCCGGAAACCTCTCTGGGCCTGAGCAGAAGGGCAAGGGTGCAACCCTGAGGTCCCAGAGCGACAGCGTCGTGCCCTTTTTAGGCACTGCCAGGACCCTTGCTATTTCCCAGCCTTCCGTCCGTAGCGCCCAATACAGGCGCTCATTAGGACATCGGAGGTGGGGAGGGCAAGCTCAAAGCCAACAACTCGTTTCACTCGTGCCGACACAGCCAATGGCATCCATGCACGACCTGGCCCCTTGAACCCCGCATTTAATCAAATCCACGCTTGGCCGGCCTCATGCCTATAAACCCTCACCCAACTCTTCCCACACAGGTGAACCATAAGCATTTTCCGTTAGCTCCTGTAATTTTCCCTTCAAGCCCGCCCCGTGCGGCCTCCGACAATCTTGGGTCTGACTCCGTAGGCAAGAGACACATCCAAGCCGGAAAGCTGCATGGGCCTGGCAGAATACAATCCACTGCAGCAGGCAACGAGCGACCAACACGCCCCTCCCGACAGGCCATGTCAAGTATCCAACACGACCGCCGCTATATGTGCGTTGCCACTGCGGGCGCGACGGTTCGTTAAACGATTTCTCAGTCCTTATATGTCAAGTGGCAATGCCGCTGATCCATGTGGATGTTCAAGCTGTTAGCATATCTGCACAGTACTGCGTCCCAATGCTCACACCCGAAAGGATATCGTACCACCACCTGTCTGCCTATCGTACTCACTTTTGGCTGGTTTGCCTATGCAACTCCATTTAATCGGTAGGAACGACCACGAAGCAGCGCAACATAGAAGGGGCTCCGCCGAAGGTCGTCGGACAGGCAGGCAGCGAATGGCAATGCCCAGATTTTCAGGCGACGGCGGCAAAGCATCCCATGATAGAGCCCCTATCGAATCTGCAAGAGAAACGACAACGGAAAACTACGTTGGGATACCTTTGGGAACTTACGGAAGGCGTAGCTCTGGCATCGCAGGCCTTCTCACTTTTAGGCGGTCAGCTGCAGAGGCACGCTGCCACACCCAGCAAAGTTGGCGAAGAGCTCAACGCACAATCCATTCGGCAGAGACGCGAAAGGCAGACGGACCACAGCATGGGGTATGGCTTAGAGTTACAAGATGCCGCGGTTGTCTTGCCTATGGACAGGTGGTCTCTTACCCTACCATGTAAGCACAATAAGAAGCTAAACGCCGCAAGCAGTCGCACCTGAAGTTTGACATCGTTCCAGCCGCAGTTGGCGAGAAAGCCTGCACGCTCTGGTGTTGCTGCTGCTGTTGTAAATGTAGCTGACCCAGCTTCTGTTGCACATGCTGCAGTAGCATATGTTGCTGGTGGGCAGGATTTGACGTCGTTTGCTTTTGGCCTTGCTCGTCTGATGTCGCCACCATCGATTGCGCCAAGCGGCTCGCCTTGTGCTCCTTACGACCCTGCTGTGGCTGCTGCGGAACCAGTGGAAGGTTAACCGCAAGTGGCGACGGCGACACAGGTAAAGTGGCGGATGCTGCCGATGTCGCCGGGTGCAGTGTCCCTCCCGGCATGCCGGGCGTTGAGATGGAGGACGCGGACAGGACCTGCTGCAGCTCTCGCACTGGCATATGCACTGAGGAGGCAGCGCTGCTTGTGACACTCCAACTGGACTGCTGATGATGATCCTGCTGCTGCTGCTGCGCTTGCTGTTGGTGGTTCTTAGCTACATGCCGGCGCCGCTTCTCAATCCACCTGCAAAGCACCATGCCGAAGGGCGCTCAGCAAACATGTTCGAGCATTAATGCGTATTACTTTGTTCCTACGGACGAACACGAACACGAAAGGGGACCACACGCATCCTATCAAAGATTAAACCGAGGTTTTTAATCCAAGGATGACAGATTGTATAGCAAATGTAGGAAAAGCCAAGCACCCAGCCGGCGAACATGTTCCTTTCCTGGGCAGCAAAAGCTTCCCCTTCCAACCCACAAACGGTATTGCAGCTTTCAGCTCGCAAAATTAACCTGCCATGTTCCCCACACATTGTAACCCACTTGCGCAGGCGACCGACAAAGGGATGGATCATGAAGAACCGGTGGCGCACCCCATCCGGCGACATGTACACCTGCGACCAACGTCTCATAAATATGACCAAGATGCGAAAGTCCACAGAACATTAAGAAAGACCAAAGCATCAGACGCGACTAGCTAGAATCAAATCAGTTGCCCGCCGATGAGACTTGCGCACGAATTCGCGTAGGGCTGGCGAGGATGCAACAGAGTCCATGCCGCTATACAAGAGCCTTGCCTCCCCTCACCACGTCGCGTACAAAAGTAACAACTCAAGACCACACCATCCACGGCTTTGTGCCCAGCGCACCTGGCTAGCTTCGTCAGGTGTTGCTGGCAGCGCGTCCACACGATGCCATGCATACGCTCCAATTTCCTGAAGCATAACGAGAGGGGAGTACATGCAACTACTCATCTGCGAGCCTAGTTATCCGAAACTGGCCTAGGCCAAGAAGGTTTATTGTTAAGGCCTGCATGCCGACATCACCGCACGCCTGTCGATGCCTTTGGTGTGCGGCGTGCTGTTGCCAGAAGACAGCCCTGTGACTTACCCATTTGGAGTGTGGCTCGAACTCTTGCGTATTAGGATCCAGCCCGGTTACAATGTATAGCTTGTGCCGCTTGCCATCGGCTGTGATTTCCAAATAATCAGCCTCGCGCAACTGTGACCGAATGTCGTAACCAGTCTCCTCCAGAACCTGACAGACGTGAGTGGATAGGGATTACCATGTACAACCAGGCAACAAACCGCAAGCGGAAGAGCAGCCGCTGCTGTTCTTTGCTTCATCCTTTAGGCAACGGACTGGCTTCATTCAGCGCATCGAATTTAACCTGTTCACTACGCATGCGGTAAACGTTGCACCACGCAAATGCCACTGAGGATTGCGCCGCAGCAAACTGCAGTCTCAATGTGTACGCACCTCGCGAATTGCACAGTCCGACTCCGACTCCCCTTCGTTGACCTTTCCGCGCGGGAAGCCCCATCCCATGCTGCTCTTGTTACCCCGCACAAGTAAAACCTGTCCGCAAGGCATACGAAGCTCCTATTAATCCATGCACTCAGCCAATGCTGCACAGCATGACCACTGTATGCAGTTGCGCAAAACTACATGCCCAGGTACCTGCTGTGTCTCTCCCTCTTCCCCACTAGAGAAAACCATGTTCCCTCGGACTCTAAGCTGACAACCCGCTATTGAGTTTCACAATTGTTTGAGTATTTCCAAAGCTCCACAGGCACGCTGAGCCCGCAAGAGTTTGATACAAAACGCCGTGCCCCAAGAACTTAGCCAACTGCGCACACCTGCTCCATAGCCGCATCCAGCAGGATTGCGCCATAGACTGGGATACTCTGTTTGTATCGTCGGTAGTCCTCCAGGTAAGCTTGCAGGTTAGGCTGCACAGGCCACAAAACGTTTAGCTTCAAAGCCGGCAAAGATAGTCAGGGCTTCAAGAGGTAAGCCGGGGGCCGGCCGGTAACCGTGTGTCTCCATGACCCCATGAACCCCCGGCACTAGGGTAGCACAAAGGCACTGCGGTGCTTGTCCTCCTCAGCAAGCGTTGGCACCTAACTGAAAAGCAAGCACTATACAATCATTCGTGCTTCCACACCAACACACACGGGAATGCCCGTATCCATGCACAGAAGCAGGGTAGACCCACAAGGGAAGGGCCGGGTCTTCAACACCTCACCCTCAAAGGGCTTAGCGCCTCGCACTTGCGAAAAAGCGGTTCAGCAAACGTCGTATAGGATGAGTAGTGCTTTAGGTTCATGGAAGACGTTGGACGGACCTTGTCCTGTCGGGACGACAAGACAAGAAAGGGCGATAAGCAATAAAAATTGGCGCATCCTTCCGTTTAATCGTTATCGCCGCACGCGGCAGCAACAGCCTAATAGAACGACAACTTGTGTATAGCACGACAAACAAAGATAGAGCTTTTACAAAAAGGCAGGTTAGCCGGCTCTTAGACTGAGTCGGTACGTGCGTTGCTCCTTACAAACGCAACCGATGCAGGACATGTCGCGTAGAACAGTACACAGCCACAACCCGTAATCGTTTCCAAAGACCCTTAGAGCGGTGGGTGCTGGGCGCGACAGTAGAACCCCCTCACCTCGTAGTACCACCACGCTTGCTCTACAAGGAAGAACAGCTTGTCCTTGCTCCTGTATGCACCATATAGTAAGATAATTAGGGCAGCTGCACGGAGACCACCGCTACCGTAAGCGGAACCCACAGAGCATCTTTTGGGGCGGTGAGAATGAACTTCGCGCACAGCTCCTCCAAAAGCTTTCGAGGTGGCTCCTCAGGCGCAGATGCACTGTTACCCCCACAGTCAGAAATGCTTTCCATCGTTGCGTTGACAAAACCGGAGCACTCAGTCACGGTCAGCTACCAGCATGTGTAATCCGAGAAACGTAAAGACAAACCCTTCTAGAGCATCCATGAAACGACAAATCAGCGAAAATATAGCTTAGGAGAACCCAAAGGCTTGAAATGTGTCTTGCTGTACAGTTGCCGTATGCTCACGTCGTTGACACACTTCTGTCTGCAACAAAGAACCGCGCGTTCCCATATGCGGAAGAGAACCTGCTGGTTGCGCGACATGTTCATTTGGCAAAAAACTGTTGACTCAACAGCTGAGGAATCCCGCGCCTGGCTCAGGCCCTCCAGGTCACGTCCGAAGGGCTGCGCTTCGCAGCAGTTCTCTTATACCTTTTCAATATTAAAGCGTAAATAAATAGCATCTTGGTTGGCATAAGGAGTCAACCATTCCGACGTTCCAGGCTTGATAGGGCTATCCTTTTGGTAAAAAAATAGCATACAGCTGACTTGCTGCCTAACCTGAAGCGTTTTTCTCCTTGGCTCAGCGCCATGTCTTCGCTTGACAGCAAGCTCGACCTTAGCCTGGATGAGCTTATTAAGCAAGCGGCCAAACGCCCAGCAGCTAGGGCGCTCCCTTCAAAGCCCACTGTTGGGGGCTCGCGGGGATTGGCTCCGAAGCAGGTCGGGGTAAGTGTCGATCTGTTTGGAACTTGCGTCTCCCGTTCGCAACGCAACGTTGTAAGGAGTACCCTTAGTTGATGTCATGCGCGTCTTGTGTTGTAATTGCAAACGCTTCTTGTTCTCGAGGTTTCAAAAGAAGGGATTTTACGGCCCATGTTGAATTCGTTTCTTAGCATAGCCTTGGGCCAGATGCTATGCTCGCTGCGCTTTATATGAGGCATCAGTTCCAGGTCGTTGGTCGCAACAGGGTCCGGAATCCTTGGTTACGTGTCTCGGTTACCTGGCTAACTGAAACAGCCAAACATACTTCGTTCGAAGGCCTTGAGTAGTTCAGCAGCTTCCTGGACTCATTTGGGCGGTGGACTTGACTCTTCTAACGTGGTCACTCCTCAGGCACGTGCACCCGTGACCACGGCCAGTGGAATTGCCGGCAAACGGCAGGTATGTCATCAGGTTCGCATGCGGTCTTCGCCAGTGAACCCACGTGCTATTTGACTTTTGTGTATCGATGGCTGGATCGACATTGCCACTTCAAACTCTCAATCTTCACTTAACAGGCCATCCGCACTAAGCGCCAGACGGTACCCGCCACGGAGGGCGTCCCAGGCGTGCAGCGCCTAGCCCCAAAGGTGTTACTTGTCAAGGCGTCAGACCTGAAGCGCAAGGCGTAAGTCAAGTATGGGGACTCTTCGCGGGCCATCTACGCGCAGCTCCTTGTTGCAGCTGTTTCAGTCTTGGTTTCCTCCTTATCTCCTTGGGAATGTCCTTGGGTTGTGTTCTGGGCGGCATCAAGTACCCTTCGCATGCTGGATAAAATAATCACTGAAGGCGGTGCATTGCGACATGCTTACGCACTTCAGGGCTGCGCCGGTACCTGGAGCCCGCGCTCTTGCAAAGCGAATCGTCAACAGGGCCGTTATGGCGCCTAAGCAGCCTGCTGCAGCGGTCATGCGCCAGCGCGGCACCACACAGCGTCCACAGGCCATCGTGGCGCCTGCTCGACCTCGGCAACAGCCTCAGTTACAGCAGCAGGCCCCAGCGCGGCAGCCACGGCAACAGGTGCGGTCTAGCTGTCGCTTGGTGGACCTTGATTTTGGGCCGCTGACATACTACAGTGCAATCAGTCATGGTTAATCGACCGTATGATTTTTTATGGGGCACATCCTTTGTATGTGACCCCCTTGGTCGCATCGTGTTTTGGGGGCCGCAAAGCATTTTGCATTCTGCTGAGCACGCATGCATATTGAAAGTGTGGAAAGGAAGGCATGCCGTGTTCCCCAGTTTAACCCTGTTGGGATCAGGTTGTTCACCTGCACTGTTCACGGTCATGCACGCAGATTAAGTACGTGCAACAGCCGGTGATGCAGCAACAGCAGCAGCAACGGCAAGTACCCGTGTCCTTAGCGAAGCGCATGCGGCAACAGCGGCAGCAACAGATGGTGGTGCAGCCCCGTGCGCATGCGGTGGTTCCTAGAGGCCAACCATTACAGCAGTTAGCGCCTCAGGGCCTACCGCGGCGGGGCCCGCAGCAGCAGCAGGTTGGACGAAATCAGATTCCGCGCATCGTGCCTGCGCCGCGCCTGCAACAGCAGCGTCAGATGCTGGGCCGGGTGCAGCAGGGCGGGATACGGAAGAACGGCCAAATGCACCAGCCACCGCAACGGCGGGCGCCAGTCTTCGCTGCCAACGGTGGCGGCCGCAGCGGCAATGCCCAACGTGGCCAACAGCAGCGCATGGCGGGTTTACCAAGGCAGCTGCAGCGCAGCGGCGGCCGCAACCAGCAGGTCCTCGGGGGCAACACGCGAAATCGTGCGCCGATTTTGATGCAGCAGAATGGTGGGGGAGGACGCGGCGCCGGTGGTCGCGGCCGTCGGGGGCGCCGGTAATCCCGATGGACCCGATAAGGCCTCTATTTGATGCAGCCTGGAAGGCACGTCCCCAGATGTCTGCAGGCTTGCCGTTGGGTGGTACATATTAGTACATGACGGTGTATCCCAATCGCACCTGCAGGGGTGTAGCTTGGGAAGCCGGTGTGGAGCATAATGATTGACGCCGAATTAGGCATTGACAGCAGCGGGGTGGAGTTTTGTTTTTGCGTGGAAGCCCCCCGGGAGTGTTTATGCCCTGTACTGTTATTACGACGACGATGATCCTGTCGCCACAAGGCACTTGTGTTATTTCTGCACTATGAACTGGTCCATGCGGGGCTCTTGGTTGGACTCGAGTTTCACCTTTGTCGTGCTTTGGCTATGCTCGGAACCAGTCTAGGGGCTTACCGTCTGTGTACCGGCGTGCGAGAGGATTGCTGAGGATGTTGCGTTTGTTCAAAAGCGTCTCGACATATCAGGGTTTGGGGTGCAGTCCCGCATTGAAGGCAGGGCGTTCTCTTGTCGGGGGCGGCCTGGTGGCGGCTTAAGCAGTGAAACGCTGTAAACTCCCTATGCACAGAGAGCTTGTTTTCCAGGGCCCGTGCTATGTGATAACTGGTTCTCATAATACTGTAACAAAGAGCATAATATCACAGCCTTTTCGGACCCGGCCCCGCTGTTGTGATGGCAGTTGCATGGTGGTTGATGTAAGTTACCTGATAATATCAACCAAACATATTCATTCCAACCTTTTCCGGACAAGGTCGCCTAAAGTGGATGGGTTTTGCTCTTATGATGTTGAGTAAGAAGCAGACTTATGGCAAATGTAGCGCGCTGCTGGTCATGGACTATACATACAGAGAAGCTTAGGCAAAATGCATGTCGTCTTATTGGCCCTTCTACTTTCATCAGTAACCAGGCTCAGTCATCAACGGACGCTCTCCAAATTGCAACAGGAGGATGACCTGACTTTTTTCTTTCCACGGGTACCATCAGTAACCACGGAGCAGATTAACGACGTTCTCAGTCGCGCTCATGATCTCAGAGAAAAGGCTCGTAAATTGGATCAGACACGGGCCGTCGCCGCTGCTCTTGCAGCGGCAGTGGGCACACTTCCTCCCATCCAGCTCAGCCAGTCCTTGCGAGTGCTCAAAATGCTTCCCAGTGAAGTACAGGTCCATCTCCCAGATGCAGTGGGTCTCGTGGCTAGAATTCGAGCGCTGGGTATAGCGGCAGAGTGCCGAGAGCGCCAGGGGGGTCAAGGACCGCCTGACTGGCCTCGTATCCTAATTGCCGCAAACCTGATGGACTGCGAAGAAATCATGCCAGTAGGTGCGAGCGGTGGAAACACCCTAAGAACGCTGCCACGACGCCAGCAGGTGTTCTTTTCCTGCAACCCATGCGACCTTTTCAAGTAAACCCCTGACCCAATCCCCGTCTTGCCGAAGCTTTTCCCCCTTTTTCTTCCTTCCCACCTTTCTTCAGCGGCAACGCGACTATAGCAGCCTACGCAGCAGCCATATCATCACAATCATCGCCTGCATTGCTGTGCTCAACAAGCATCGCCACCACGACCATCGCTGGTGCCCTAAGTCCTGCACATGGCAAACATCCCCTCCGACGCACGCGTCGCCTTCCCGAGCTTTTCCCCCGAACACAAATACTCACGTACACACACACACGTGCGCACACAGACACACACTCAAACATCCACGGCACAAATTTACCACCTTACCTTTGCCATTTGCATCAGCGTTCAGACCGCATCAGCCATGGAGTCCCTTTCCCTTCAACCCGACCCATCATTCTTACCCGCTGCTCGGCCACCCCACACCGCCAACTCCGCAGTTTTGGATCCTGGAAGTTCTACGACTGGCGTTACTGCTCCAGGGGGACCCCGTACTGCAGGCCATATACTCCCCCTCCTCGGGAACCCTCCAACTCGACCTGAACGCCAAACACGTGCAGCGTGTGGGTATTTCCGTGTATGAGAGCGGTAGCCGTGACCGTACAGCGCTGTGGCTGCTGGTGGCGGCGGCGCTGTGGAAGGCTGCCGGTGTGCCCAATGCGGTGGTGCTCAACGGCACCCTCACGCGGGGAGCCGCAGTGATGGAACCCGTCGGTGGCAAACTGATGAAACAGCACCGGATACAAGTAAGTGTGTGGGTGCGTGTGTCGTGTATGGGTGTACACGTGTGCCTTTGTGGGGGCGATACCTCACACCAACACCGGTAATGCCGGGGAGCTGCGACGGCTTGGGGGTTGCTTCTTGCTTCTTGCATGTTGTGTGGGTGTGGGGTGTGTGGGTGTGCGTGTGAAGGGGGGGAGGAGAACTATGGGCTGCGGACTGATGGAAGGAGTTGATGTCGGGTACACTCCGGCTGTTCCCGGGCCGCCGCTTCCCCCCTTGACACCCACGCTCCCTCACATACGTTGCGCTTCCGGTCATCGTGAAATCATATTGCGATGATGCCATCATGCTGTCATGCCGTCGAAGGAGTCCTGTCAGCCTCCCCTTCCGGACCCTGTTCTCCCTTTCTCCCTTGTGCAATTTAAGTCGTACACCTCCGGGCTTTTGCAGTTTGATTTACTTATGTTTCCCAACCACACTCCGCATATACACGTAAGAACACACACACACATACGGCCGCGCGCGCGGCCCTTATTCCCAGCAAGGTTACCCAGCAGCTGTCCTGTTCCGGCTTTCTATAATACCGGTCTAACGGTGTTGGCACACGCATCCCCAACCCTTCCCACCCTGCAATGCAAACAGTGAACTACACCAGCACCTGACTCAGTTGTACCTCTGAAGGGGAGGGGTCAAATCACACATCACCCCCGGTTTCCCTTCGCTACTTAACTAATTGTTTTTTCCTTTCCCACACAACGAGAAACCCGAACCCCGGCTTTGGTGACCCCCAGCACCTAGCCAACCTGCGCAACGCGGCCCTGTCGCCGCTGTACCGCAACCCGGGCGCATTTCCGTACGTCATGTTTTTGAATGACGTGTTCTTCTGCGCGCCCGACCTGGTGCGACTGACATACCTACAAGCGGACATTGCATGTGGGATCGATGTCGAGGTGTGCACAGCGGGATGGGTTGGGGGGTAAGAGGTGTGAGCTGTATGAGAGGTGGGGGGTACGGGAGCTGTGAATTGCGTCTGGGGGCCAGAGGGGGCGAGCTCCGGAGTGCGACGAATGAGTGGGGAAGGGCGGGCACACACACATACATACACACACACTCGCTCTCTTTCTCATCGTGTCATGTCCGCAGGTGTGGATTGGGGGTCACGTACCCAAGGTGCGGGACTCCAGGACGCAACAGGAGGGCAAGGCCCTGCGCCGGGCGTTACTATTCCACACACCACCATCCACATCCGCGCCACCATCAACAACAACAGCAGCAGCCGAGCCTGAGGGCAACACGCCATCGGCAGCCCAGCATTCCGCCTCCTCCTCCACCCATCTACCCACACAATTATCTTCCATCGCATCTGCTGTTGTGGAGACGGTGCTGGCGGACATCCGGGGCGAGCTGAAGCAAGAACACTTTCCTGCGACCGGCATCCCTGGGAAGGGGCGGGGCCGGGGCCGGGTGGAGGGTCTTGTCAGCGACCACTCGGCGGGTGGTGGCAGTGCGGCCACTGCGACCACAACCGCAATTTCAATGGACGCGGGCGAAGGGTTTGCCTCTCCTTTCAGACGGCTCCTCGCATCCTCAGGCTCCGAACCTGAGTCTCCCGCTTCCTCGTCCTCTTCCTCAGAGTCAAAATCGGAGTCAAAACCGGATCCGGAATCGGATCTGCAGCAGCAGGAGGATGATGATTATGAGGGGGAGGGGGTGGGGGACGGGGAGGAGGATGAGGAGGGGGAGTTCGATGTGGATGGTGGAGGCGGCGGTGGCAGTGATCCCGCAGCCCAGTGGCAGGCGGCACTAGACCAGATGACCGGGGTGCATGCGGAGGAGGTGGCGCAGCGGGTGGAGGTGCGGAAGCGCATCTCCGCGGCGGCCGTGAAGCCCAGATACGAGTTCTATGGTGAGGTTGGCTTGGATAGTCGGTGTGGATGGTGGGGGATGGGGAAGATGTGTTCTGAAGTCTCCTGCAGCGGCGCGCTACCGCCGCCTTGTCGGTTCCCCTCCCTCCCCACCTCTATCTACACTCTTGCCCTGGCAGCAGCTTCACTCGTTCGTGGTTCGTCTTTCCCCCCCTCTATCTATCTCCAGCTTCGCTTGTTCTCGTGGTTCGCGTCTTTCCCCCCGTCCCTCCCTCACCGTACAGCTTTTTATGCCCCATAGGACCGTGTGTTACCGTTCCACGTGTCTTGGCTAACCTGGGTTGTGTCGGACGCTTCTGCTCCTCAGCGCCCTCCAGCTGCCCCTCCAGTCTCCCCTCCGCCATCCCGCCCCCCTGGCCCCGCTGCAGACATTTGGGTGTCGAGGGATCTGGGCGGCAAAGCGGTAAGTCTCAACGTGACCCCGCGTGTATTAGTGCGTGTGTTTGTGTGTGTGTGTGTGTGTGTGTGTTGCATTTCGCCCCGGGCCTGACACTGACCAGGAGCACCTAGCCGTACCCCAACGGGAACGACCGCCGAAGCACTCTCCTCCCTTCCTTGTGGGGGGAGAGGTGCGTGAGGGGTCCCCACTATCCCCTCCTGCTCGACCGAGGGCGTGCAGCCCCCCCCCCGCGCTTCCCCTTTTTGTCAAGAGGAAAGAGAGCGCGGTGGGTACCAAGGCCCTCAAACAACCAACCAACCTCAGCACGCGCTGCGGCACAGTTCCCCCCATGCAGCCTGCGCCTTGAGCAGGCGCGGCTGCGAACCCTGGGTCCTTGCAATACCTCCCCGTGATGAGGGGCCGCACTACGGGCGCCTTGAGCCCGAAAGCTGAATCCTACAACCAAAACTGTTTCCAGCTGCGTGCGCGAGCGAGCGCGCGCGTGTGTGTGAGCGTGTGTTTGTTGATGTCACGGGCCCCATGCCTTGCCTGCAAACCACCACAACCACCACCAGCAGCCTAGCCTAGCCATGAAAACCTTTGGATGACAAGGCCCATCTTCATCGCCCCCGCACCCACCCGTATGTGAAAGCATGTGGCAGCGGTGAAGGCACTGCGGGGCTGCTGCGGGCAATTGCTTTGCTGTCTTGGACTCCTTCGGCAGCTGGTGTCAAAGGACATATCGGCAGAGCCGAGGACTCCTATTTTACAGTTGCAAAAGACGCGATCAAAGTACGTGATTGAACTCCACCCACCCGTGTATCTACCGCTGCAGTTCATCAAGCACGACCCCCTCGCCCGCGATCCCCGTACTCTGGATGCCGTACACCGGGGCTTGCCCTTCCCCGTCAAGTGCTGCTGGAACGGTGCCGTGTACTTCAACGCGTCGCATCTGTCAGCAGGTGCGGACGGGAAACAGAGAGAGCCACACTGCCCTCGACATCGGGCAAGCCCGTGGGCCGTAGGTCATGTCCCTCCTTTTTTCCACCTCGACCCCGCCTCCCCAAGTTTTCTTGCGGGCTTACCTCCCCTTCCCAGATTCTGCTTAGTACGGCTGCACGGAAGCTATCTCCACTCCTGGCCTTCTGCCCTCTCACCGAGCTAGGGGCCCCCAAAAGAGCCCCGGACTCCTTAGTGGTTGCCACTACATGCACAGGCATGTAGATGTATCTCCCCCTCCCCGTCTCCCTCCCCACCTGGCACCCCCATCCCTCCCGCGTTGAGATGCGGTTGACGTGTTTCAGAATCCGCGTGCGCCATGTCTTTGAATTACCCAACACCGCGATCCCCTTCCTTCGTCATCCCGAGGTCACAGTCGTCACAGTCGCCACGGACGCCTTTCGGTCAGTTTTTACGTTTGCTACTCTCTTGCTCTGGCAGCAGCTTCAATCATGCGTGGTTCGTCTTTCCCCTTCCTTCCACCCTTTTCCCCCTCGTTCAACTTGCTGGGGGGCAAGGCTCCCGAGCTACGGGCAGTTGCTTCATCGCTTTGTAATTGCGGTAGTGGTGCAGTGGATGTCGGAACTTGATTTTTTTACTTCACATCACTTGGTTCTCCCCTTTCCCTACTCCCTCCCCCTCCTCCCTACGTATCCCCCATGGGAATGAACCACCCGGCAGGTCTTCGCTTCCGTGCGGGTCAGCGGGACGCGGGCGAGTGTGACGCCAGCGAGTGCTCCATTTTCTGCGAAGACTACCGCAGGTTGGGATCGGGCCGCGTCGTGGTGGATCCCTCCGTACGCTTGTCGTACACGCCCTGGACTGAGGTCAGTCGGCGACTGGTTCACTCGGCCGGACCATGGCGCGCTGTCGCCGATCGCGCCATGATACTCGCCATCCCGCGTGCCGCCTTTCCTTTCCCTCCTCTTAGGCTGCCATGCCTTGTTTGCCTCCTTTATTGCGTCCGAACTTTGCTGGATGCCCCCAAACCGACAGCTTCTACACCCCATCCGCCGGACAACCACCACCATTGGTTACGGCCCAGAACCCTGTCACCATCGCCAGCGCCACCATCACCCGCGCCTCAGCCCCGGCCACGTCCCCCTTTCCCCTACTTGGACGCTTTTGGCGTTGTCGGCAGTTGATCCTTTGCTTCTGCTTCCATCATCGTCAACATCGCCGTAAGATTTTCCCCCAACCCCCCTCATCCAGGACATTCACGGGCCCCTGCCCGGCGGCCTGCCCGCCAAGGTGCTTTGGTCGGCTGTGAAGCGCAGTGGAGCACTGGAGAAGTTGCAGAGCCTGTGGCAGGAGACTGCGGATGACATGATGGTGGAGTGTGTGCCGCTGAGTAAGTAGGGGAGGGGGCCAGAAGGAGTTGAGGGCGAGAGTTAAGTGTTGGGGCAGATGGGTTTTGCGAAGGAGTGCGGTCTTGCGAAGAGGAGGTGCAGGTTGGGGTTGGGGTTGGTGGTGCGGGACTTGGTCGACAGGGTATCATGGACCAGGGCCATCAGGATGCGCACTGGACGGAGTTGATATGACGGCGCTGCAGCGCTGTTACATTCCCGGGGCCCTTGGGGCCTTATGGCCGTACTTACCGTACGTTTCCCCACATGCCGTGCTGTCAGCTCGGGACCCTCTTTCCCCCGTGGACTGTTCCCCACACCGGCCACCAAGGCCGGGTCCTATCTCCCCCAACTGGAGTTTTTACATTCCCCCTTTCCCCTCCCACCTCCCCCTTCCATCCGGTCGATAGGTGCCGGTAAGTCTCATGCCGTTGCGTGGTTGCTTGGACTGCAGCACTTCGCAACTTTGGACGTCGGCAGGTGTTTTCCCTTCTTGACGTTGCTGTGCATATCCCCCTCCACCTGCTCCCAGTTATCCTTTTCGCCGCCTCGTGCATGCGGCCGCTGACATGGTTCCCTGGGGCTTTTACCCTCGGACAGAGAAGGGCTTTGACGGCGCGGATCTCGACCGAGTTCGCCAGATTGATATTCGACGGGAGAATTTCACACAGCTGTTTTTTGAGCGTCAACGACAACTCTCGCCTCCGCAATCACGCGCTTGCAACTTGATCATGGGGCCCTACGGAGCCGATGACGAGGGCGAGTTTTTCGACGACCTATCGTACGCATCGTGGGGCAAGAACGTGATCACGCGCATCGTACACAAGGCCGGCGAGTACGTCGAAAGCATCCAGGTGGTGTACGGCTCAATGCCCGCCAGAGTGCATGGTGGCGACAGTGATGGCGAGTTACACGATCACCGCGTCGAAGGGGGAGAGTTTATCAACAGCGCTGTGGTGTACTATGATGAGAATGCTGTACATGGGATGGATTTGGGTACGAATGTAGGCAGGCAGATTGTGATAGGTTCTCTGCGAGATGGCGTGCGGCGCGCGGTGGCGACTCCGTGCCCTGCAGACGAGCAGCACGAGGGCCGATACCGATTAATCGCGCTTGCGGGAACTGCAGACCGGTACTTGCGTTCGGTCACTTTGCTGTGGAGTTAACCATTTGAGATGACCTAGTACAAATACGACTGTTTTCCTTCTTGGCGTGCAATATTTAGAGCGGAATACCGCAAGAAGTCGTTGGGGTAAAGGAGCGTGTTGACTGGTTGTTGAATAGACCTCTCCCCGAAGGAGCGGTGATAACGGCAGTAAGGGAGCGTTTGGTGAGCGGCTGGGACCATGCGCGTCTGACTGTCTTGCCAGAGGAGTACCCATCAGATGGCAAGCAACCGGGAGTGCAGGTGGCGAAGTATAAGCACTGAATTGGGCTGCCCTTTTCGGGGGCCGCAGCCGTTATGTGGCCAACACATGCTACATTCCTCGTTTAACACGTCGTAAGGTAATGCAGTTTCGTTAATGTTGCTGGCCTTTGGAGGCAAACAGGGCACGAAGGGGCAAGTACCATGTCCCCAGGGAGCAGCGGTTTTGCCGCTGTTGTGGTACCAATAGCCAAGTCGAGGATGAAAAACACGTGTTATTGGAATGCCCAGCCTATAATGATATTCGTGCGGAAGAGAGCAACAGAGCATGTTGGAGGCCATGAAATGGGAGCCAGCACGTCTGGCGAGGATGTTGGAACGTATGCGGGCTCATCGCAACTCAGTTATCTCCTTTGGTCGCTAGTCTGGGCTGATAGTGCGGTGTTTTCCTTTTCTCCATGGCTTTTAGACGTTGAAGTATTGCCCTTGGGCCTTCGGCTCGTATGGGTAGATTTACAGGTATGGGGTCACTCAACCCCCCACCCATGTAACACTCTCACACAAATACATGGACAGGAGGCCAACTTATGGGTCAGCGGTTTGGAGGTCTACATAAGGTGGCTTTCTGCCCCTCTGCTGCGTATAGCTTCAGGTGGCAAAGCGTCATTTCCCGGGTATTTGGGACTTAGGAAACCAGATCAGGTTTAGGTTGAATTGGTCAAGGTGATATGACGCGATACTGCGCGAGGTTGACGTTCCATGTGGTCGGTAGGATTTTTACTCTTATCGACTTATGCTTTACAAGATATCTCCGCGTGGCATAGACTTTCACAGCTAAGATTGTTTTCAACTCAAATTTAAGTATGCTACATTGCCGTGCTGACTTTTGAAGAGACTGTAGGTGCACGAATCGGACTCGGAAGGCAGATATCACTTGTAGCTTTACATGTAACCAGCAGGATGCAAGCGTTCGTCGGCAAATAGTAAACACAGATTTATCTTCTCTAGACTCCTGCAAAACCTATAATCCACGTGAGGATGGGAGATAGATGCGCAAAAAAACGCGGACAGTGTGATTGTGGGAAAAATGGCAAAGTTACACTGTCGCATGACCAGCACCAATACCCAACCCATCTTCAGCCTCAATTCATCGCAGCGAAGCCACTACGCCGCAACAGCCCCGATGGCGACTGGGCTGCCGCCCAGCCGATGTACGCTTACGTGCACCAATTCGCCTTCCGCAAGACCGCTAACCTAGAACCCATGCGACCCACGTCAGCAGACTGACGAACCACTGCACTTGCAGGTCTCAGGATGAAAAACACCCATTCTCGCGATTCACGATAAAGCACAGGGCTTAAGGTCAAATCAGATGTGCTGTGTGAAAGCGTGTCAGCATGAGTGCTTAAGGCAGAAGGAACTGTCTTTAGGCAGTGCCAGCCAGGACCTCGGGCAGGTGAGTGACGTAGTAGGTAATGTTCTTGCCGAAGGGGTCTGACAGGTGCTTCGTGAGGCCCTCAATCGGCTGCGTGCGGGTCACCAGGGCCTGCACGGCGAAGCCAACGAAGGCAACCTGCACGGCGCAATGGCAATGAAAACACAAACCTCGATTGGCATCATTCAAAACTGCAACATGTCAAGCAAACATCAGAAACGAAGCGCCGTCCGCTTTCCGTTACATCAGTACTAACATGCGCTATAGCTCAAATCTTACCATAGCAAGGCGGCCGTTCTTGACCTCCTTGGTGGCCATCGACGCAGAGTTCAGGCCAGCCGGGTCGAAGGGGAACGAGTTGATGAAGCCCGACTACGAATTTGATAGAAGGCAACGGGCAGGCAGCAGATGGAGAGGACAAAGTCAGCGAGGGGCAGCAGGATCTGTGCTAAGGACTAGGCAAGGAGTTTAACAATATGCAGAAAGTCGGCACTGCTTCCCAAACAGATGTTTGCAGGACTTGCGGCGCGATGGCAGCCTTCCGAGACACCATAGCAACAATCGCACAGGCGCTCGTATGCTACAACGCGTCCATAGCCCCAAGGCAACCCAACCCCTTAGCGCACCGTGCCAGTCGTCTTGAAGCCCTGGTAGCGCTTAATCTCCAGGAAGCCCATGACGATGAACTCAATCGCAGTGAGAGGAGTGGAGGGAATATCGTACTCCTTAGCGCCGGCCTCGTACCAGGAAGGGGTCACGCCGAGAAGCTCCTGGCCCAGAATGCCGGTCACAGCCATCATGGCCCAGCGACCGTTGGTCTTTTCCGCCTCAGCATACCTGAGCGCAACCAGGAAGGGGCACTTGGTTCCTCCGCAAATATGGTAGAGAATTGCCCTTAAAATTGTCCTTACCACTTGAGGCGGCCCTCATCCTGGCCCAGACCAAGCGGGTCAAAGCCACTGTCACCTACGAATAGGAAAGGATTGCGTGCCTTAGGTTGCTGGCGTATCCTGACTATAACCTTTCAAGAGGGCTCAGCAGCTCTTGCAGGAGCGAGCGAAATCATTGCTGATGAACAGTGTAATAGGAAAGGAAGTAGCAACAGGCTAACATAATTAACGGACGGACGGCATGCAGCAAAAGCAGCTGATTCTAACATCATACTACTAGCAAGTGCCATAACCGCGATCTGCCAGCTGCCCTTACCAGCCAGAGAGCCCTTCAGGTGAGCAGGAGGGCTCAGGCCTGGCAGCCAGGTGGGGCGAGCAGTCGCCGCGCACACGGCGCGCTGGCCGCGAACCGGGGCACGGCGGCCCAGAGCAACCTGGCTCTTAGCAGCAATCATCTTCAGCTCGGAAAAGGCAGGGGTGGCACAGTCGCAGTGACACAACAGAACTTTTGCGAGGCAAGGGTGTAAATACAGGCGATCGTACGGCAGAGATGAAGATCGGAGCGTTTTGGAGCCGAGCGAATACAGGCAAGTACTCTTATTTACGGGCTTCCTAGACCAATTTTTTATTTTGTTGTGTGATTTCGCTGCAATCGAAAGATGCTTAATCAGTGTCTAGGTATTTTTGCTGCTACGTCGCTATGCCATGTTAACCTGCATAACTTCATCTTACCGGAAGTATGGCTCTTGTATATTTAATGGAAGTTTATGCGATTGCAATGTCACTTTCTATTGCGAACCGACCCAGGGTCGACATGCAAGGTCATGCAGCTTTCCATTACAAGTAGGCATTGCTGCTGGCGACGCTTCACGTGCTTGGGGTAATGGGTTTTCAATGGACGTCCACACTGCATGTAACTGCGCGGTGAAGAACATTAAGCCCGGGCTACATGCGCAGGGGTACACAGGGGTTTCCTAGGCTATATGTCACGCACGATTTCTGAAGAAATTCCCTTGACCAGCGCCACATCGGCTTTGGAGCTTTACACGATTACCGCCCATTGGGTTTTATGGGTGGTCATTTCGACCTGAAACCCCAAGGAGAAAAGGCTGGCATCGCTCTTTCGCCAGAAGTCAACAACCCTTCTCGTTAGTAGTGATGAAGCTCCTTGTCTAGCCGAGGATTGATATAATGACGTCGTGTGCTGGTGGGACCTAACTCCGTCGAACAGTTTAATTACTTAATTACGATTATGCATACGCTGACATCAGCGCAAGACAATTCCTCATGCATATGCTGACATCAGCGCAAGACAATCGCGCAAAACACAGCAACTTCTCCCTCGGCACGTTTCAGTGCAGCGGTAATATTTACATGAATCTGCGCATGCAAGCGCAATCCTAGTTTCATGAATTCCCCCACTTGCGCGTGGGAAGGCCAAAAAGACATTGCAACAAAAAACACAATGGTTTGGAGATTTTGACCCTGCGTTACGTTCCTGACGATTAACCACAGTTATCGAGCAACGCGCAAGCTTCGCACTCCAGCTCTAAGAAACCATACAAACAGACGGCTTGAACCCGTCTTTTAAGTTTGAGCACAACCAAAGAGTAAAGACAAAACTCTCCAGCAGCCTTCCCCGGGCCAGCGACACATCACCTCCCCGCTGAGTCCGCATCTCAACATGAACTCCATTGAACATCGTCATACTAGTGCATGGCTTCCCGCCCGTCAAATGCCCCACCCACTACAAATGCGCAAACAGCACACCGCGTGCATACACTTATGTGCGCACACACCCCGCTGCAATTCAGTTACGCAGTGCATACTAGACGTAGCTTTTTGAACAATGAACGTGACCCGACTCCATGGAAATCCCTGACTTCCCTCTGGAACCATCACAGTTGTGCCACGGCCTCGGCTGGGTGGCCCTCGCCTGCACCTGGCCCCACATGCACACCAGTCGCCCCACCTAAGGCGGCATTCTCGGGCTTCGGATGATGCGCGTCCCCGTGCGCGTGTGCCGCCGCATGCACATGTGATGGATCGCCAACATGGGCCCCCAGTCCGGACGGGTCAACCACGCCACCCGAGTCACCGCCGACAATAGACGCCGCGGCCGCCGGCGCCCCTGCCAGCAGCAGACCCAGTTGCTGTTGCAGATCTTGCGGCGGCAGGTCACTTGGTACCGGCCCCGGTGGCACAACCGCAGTAGCAGACTTGAGGAGGCTGTCGAGGAACGGCGGCGCCAGGTGCTCGTTATTCATCGTCTGGAGCGCCAGCAGCGCCGCCTGGTTTGCATCAGGAGTAGCCAGTCCACTCAGCAGTTGTTGTGGTAGCTGTGGTAGCTGGTTGAGGAGCGCGGTGAGCGCATCTTCTGAGGGGGTGATACAATGAACCGGGGGCCGAAGGATGTAAGCGGTTAACAGGTGGAAACTATAAGGGAATGCAATGCAAACAATGACGCGGGGCGCAGGTGCCTTGGCCGTATATGTCCGGAACCAGGCCCACGTCAGCAGACCGGACCTAACATGCTTTACCTAGACAAACCTCACGTCCCACATAATATAAGGGACAGCTGAAATCAAATTGAGTCGCTACACATGGGTGACACAAGAGAGACGTACCAGGTTTGCCCTGTTTAGATGGGTCGTGGGCGGCGCCTGCCAGAGCGGAGTTGAGCAGGCTTTCCATACCGGCCTGTGAGAGCAGGTCTGTAAGGTTTTGCTGCGGCCCCAGCAGGCCGTGGGGCGGCTGCAACGGGAGTTGGGTAAGCGCGGAGAGCCCCTGCGCTTGAAGCGCACCAGGAGGCATCCCAACTTGAGCCTGTGACTCGGCCGCTGCGTTCGCCATCTGCTCCTCAGTGCGCTTCCGTCTCCGGACGTTGTGACTCTGCAGCCTATAAGGGACAAGCATATCGAACAAGATCCTCAATCACCAAAACATGTGACAAACCAAACATACAGTGAAGCGCTAACGGAAAACCTCCGCGGTGACCCTAATAAGGACGGTTATAGCTCTCCCAGGCTGCGCATCTGCTCGAAGCTTTATGGATCCTTATGGATCATATAATAAATAACGGGACAACACAACCCGACAGGGACCCCATGTGCACTGCTCGCATTATGTTATCGTCGATGGTTTAGAGCATGGTATACAGGACCAGCTACTTTGAAATATTTATCTGTGTACAAATTTGCAAGTTGCGTCAGCAGAGGTCGTTCTCATACCTTGAGCGACAGCTGCGTTTGTTACCGTCGAACTCCGACAGTTCGTGAAAGCGGCCGCATTGCTGACAAAAGCGCTGCTGCAAACCATCCTTCATGATTGAGGGGGCCTTCAAGTGTATCTCGCACGTGCGATACCGTTGGTAATAGGATGACAGACCCGTGAGATCCGCGTTGCAGCCCTCCACATGGCACTTGCCCTTCAGATGCGGGAGGTTCGGAATGGACTGCGTGTGTTCGCGCCGGCCCTGCCATGAATGGCATTAGAAAACGGAAGGGGCACGGGCAGCGCTGAGGCGAATAGCGGGGTGGGGTTTGGCCGAGAAACTGGACAGAAAGCAACTGTAATCGTTTTAGATTACACCAATAATGTATGCCAGGGAGAGCTCATGGAACTGCAACATCAGTCGGAAAGCATTAAGGCTATCTTCTAAGGTTGCAATGAAGCCGCCCATTTCGTAGAGCTTGACGTCGTGAACTCCGCTCACCTCGCGCGATCGGCCCTCCTCTGAACGCTCACGCTTGTAAGGTGCGCCAGCACTTCCATCAGCAGGACGCTTGGAACCCGCAACCCCCGGTGTTTTACGCGTCGGATCCAAGACCGAAAGATCAGCCGCCTGGCCTTCAAGTTCGAGACCAGTAGCCCCAAGCAACGCTGCAAGGTTGAGCTGTCCATCAAGTCCCAGAGGAGGCAGGGCAAACGGAACACTGCCATCACCTGCCCCCAGTCCTCCCGGGCCAAGACCAGGAAGCAGCTGCAGATATGGCCCAAGGTTTTGCAAGCCTTGCAAGCCTGGAGCATTAAGAAAAGGTAGACCCGCAGGCAGTAGTATTAGACCAGGGGAAAGTCCCACACCCTGCGCGTTGGCGTTGCTGCTACCACCGTTGCTGCTGGTTCGGGTTTGACTTGGCGATCCACCAGGGCCCCCCTGTCCAGGTGTTGTCCCTAAAGGAGCATTAGATGGAGGTCCTGGGGGTAGAGCTGCTGTTGTGTTCTGTAGGATGCCTGCAATGCTGGCAAGGAGATTCTGTGATGCGACGGTGTCCGCTGCCGCTGCCGCGGCCGCATCGTCGCCTGCTTGCATTTCAAGCCAACCCTCGATAGTCCTGGCTTAGATGTGGCCTCCGATCGCCTTGTGCTCCCTGCAGTTGTCGACAGAGAGTGCAATATCCGTTGACCGGCCTGTAACTGCTTTTGTACTTCTGGTCCTTCAAACAAGCGTACATATGACATCACGTATGTAGAACATACAACATTTGCTAGCAGCGCGCCAGACCTCAGCGAAAGGACGATAAAAGAGGTCCGCGTCACCAAGTTAGCTTTTGGCCCTGGCCAACGTGACGCGCGAAGCGAGTGCAAAAATAACTGTCCAGAGACTTGAAGTTGGCAGTATGATGTTGCCTAAATGGTCCGCAAGAAAAGCTTTAGCTATGTCCAGAGGGGCGTGATGGCCCCGCCTAAATGGCGCACCGGGGCGGTCCAGGCGAGGCCCAGCCCCGGAATCAGCAACGAGCCTGTGATCGTCAAGAAGCCTTTGGCGCCCTGCAGGTACGGGTCGTACCCCTTGCTTGTCGTGGAGAAGTGCCGGACAAGGAGTTCCTTTAAGAGAGCCGGACGGGCTCCAGCAGCTCCAGGGTGGCCGCCGCCAACGCCCCTTGTCCCTTAGGCTCTGCCTGCCATATGCCTGAAACTATGGGATGTTTAGCTAACATCCATTTTGCAGCTGGTTCTGAGTTATTGTAGAACAAGGACCGTGACCCTACCGACCCGAGTCCTCCTACGACACTTACTTGCCTGACCGGAAGCTTATATATTTATCATTCCTAGTAGGTTAGCTATGGATGCAGTCAACAGATTGCAGATCAATAGCTCCCGCTAATGATTTTGTCTTTGTTGCGTTTTCACTGCCTGGAATCTGTGCGGTTAATGGACTTTCGCAGTTCTAACGATAAGAACATGTACAAAGGAACGTTTGAAGCTTTTCTAGTGTGTCCGCCCGCCACTTGCTAAGTCCAAGTCCCTGCAAGTTACCCTCCAGAGAGGTTCGCGGTTACCGCCGCCTGCCATGCCTGCATCTGGAGCACATCGTGGTAGTTTATCTCTTTACCTTCGTGGTTCGGGGCATTGTACATACTCATGCGGAAATCACAGTCAGAAGTTGTCAGCACGTCATCGGAAGATAGCCAACAGACGCTTTAACATGCACGTGCTCCAAAGTAAACGCATGCAACGGTAACCGAAATGTTAAAACTATTTGCTGACGGCGGCACGTCCTGCCGACGGTTGGTTTCATTGGTTTCAGCGCAAAGGGTGTACCGCAGGTTTCTCGCAACACGCTGTCGGCACAAACTTTCATTATCGCAACTGTCATAGATACACATGTATCAAGCTGCCTGCACAAGTCGACTTGATACACAGCTGGCAGTTGCTGCACGCAGCTCCATAAGCAATCGCGAAGCGCCCACAACAGTACACGACGGTGCTGCCAGCTGTCCTGAGCGCTGCAATGTACAGTTCGGTGCGCTACCAAGATGCATTCCTTTGTGCGCTCGTGCAACCGCCCTAAAAGAAGTCGGCTGAAAGCCGTAGTCAATGAGCCTGGGAAGTCTGCACGCTGGCCCTGTCGGGTGCACTCGGTTCTTAACTCTTCCACTGAGGGCTTTTGTTTAGTGTTTTCTGCTGGAGGTGGGCTGCTGGAGGTGGGCCATGCACCTAAAGGGCGCATACATTTCGTGCGATGCGGGCAGTGGCCACTAACGGCATCTACAGCTAAGAACCCCAGCAATCGTTTGCTCACACATTCGCTCAAAGCGATACAGCCGTACAGATGGCACGTAAGCACAGCACAATCCGCCCCAGCCCCTCCCTCCTCCCCGGTCTCAGCTGGTTGAGAGTATTCAACCAGCGGGAGCCGCTCCGAACCACCCGTCTGTGTTTTTTTATAGTTAGGAGCTGACCACCAATTATCACATATTACTCCACACAAATGCGGATTATACGAACAGCAACCAACAAAAGTGACCGCTTATGCCTAACCCATCCGCAAAACACTCGGCATGGCCTATGGGACCGACGTCCCCCTGTTTGCTGATTGTGGTCTGCAGTTGGCGGCCTAAATGTGGCATGCGGCATAACGCTGGGGATTCATCCCGGAATTCTCCACCCTAAATCCCTGCACTCACACAAAATCCGCCACCGCTATCCAACCTAATTTCTACCTGCCAGCGTCCATTAGTGTGTTGCGCCAACATTGCACGCCCCTTGCTCTTCCATGTAAGCCCAGGTCTTCACCCAACCCCCGTTCGGGTAGCTGAGCGTTATCCCGTCGCCGCCAGTACTGCGACCCTCCTTCGCGCATGCAAGCAACCCCTTCACCATACGAGGCAATCTGCTGCACCCGCCCCGGACTTTTGCGCCACAGCCATAATCCGCGCTGCACTGCGTCCCGCCGCTGCCGTATTCTCTGCGCCGCCGCCCAGCCGACTGCCTGTACCCGGGGCACCCGTGCGACCCCACTGCTGCTGCTGGGACGCCGGGGGAGGCGTCTGCATAGCCCCAGTGCCCTGTGACCCCGTCCCTGTCCCATCCGAAAGCTGGAGCGCCGCCACCTGCAGCTGCAGCGCCCGCAAATGTGGGCCGCTGCCTCCACCATCGCGGACCCCACCGCCACTGAGAATGGACTGCAGGGGGCCCCGGGTTGGCGTAGAGCTCAAAGAAGGCCCTAACTGCTCCAGTGGTTGCGGTGTCCGTGCCACCGACGCCGCCGCGGCAGGGCCGTAGCCCGACACACCTGTTGGGCTGCCATCGCCACCGGGCAGACCGTCGTCCACCGCCCATGGCGGTCGTGAGGCGTAGCCACTGCGGCTGCCAGGTGGTACGCCAGATGGCCCCGGCCCTTCCCATGACGCCGATTGCCGCCCGCCAGTACATGCGTTCACATGTGACCTGGAGAAAGCGTCCAGGGAGTCGCCAAGGGAGCGATTGTAGCTGCTGGCCTCACCATCGCCAACGCCGTACGGTGTGGCCGCTGCGCCGGAGCTGCTTTCCTGCCCTGTCCCTGGCCCGAAGTTTCTGGACGCCCAGCGGCGGCCAAAGCTGGGCGAGCTTCCCGGCATACCACCCGCGCCGCCCCAGCCGGGGTGCGCTGGTGCGGAGGGCAGGGGCGATAGCGGGAGCCGTGACAGCGCTGGCGGCGGCACCGGCGGTGTGGATCGAGAGCTGTGAAGAGGGTGCACGTTGGGAGTGGTGCTCCCAGACGTGGCCGAGCCGCGACTGCCCAGGCGGCCCTGCGGGAAAGGGATTACATCGTGATCCCACAATCGGTCCTCCATGTGACATGTTTGCATACCGGCGGATGCTGTGCCCTTGGGACGCACGATTGAGCTCACCTGGCCGCGAGATGTGCTCGCCGCGGTTGGGTTCAGCTCGAAGTAGCGGTTAAACACGACGTAGTTATTGCTTTGCGGAACGTACTCCTGGAGCCCTGCGTGCGACGGAGCAGGGCGCAGGGCAGTAACGGCCTATCACGATCACATGGCACGCACATGCAGGGTGACATAGCATATATAGACAGACCTTAGGAGTACCAAGGCACTCGTCCTCAAGAGGTAACGTGGCCCTGGGATTGCTGACCTAGCCATTCCCGCTATACCATGGCAATGGGGCCGAAAGGCCGCAATCGTCCAAACGGGAAACCACTGCCAGGGCGCGGGTCGCCAGGCCTACCGCAGTGGAAGCAGCCTACCGTAGTGCTTCCGCAGAAAGGCCAGCAGCTTGGGGGACGGCCGATCGTACGCCAGGCAGGCCGGGTCGCAGCCGTCTGCATTCAAGAAGTGCTGCAGGGACGCAGGGGGGAGAAACCACCAAAGGGGTTGCGGCAGAGTCACGTGTCGCGCCAGGCTGGTGTTGGGCCCCCAGCACGAGAAGATCAAAATGCGAGCGGCAAGCCTTGCCTTCCCAAAATCGTTCATCGCAAGCAAGCAAATGCAGGGCCAGGCCCTTAACGTTAAGGGCAAAGTACCTCCGAGCGCGGATGCTCGCCCTGGTCTGGCCTCACCTCGAATAACGCCTTGCCGATGCCTTTCCGCTGGCAGGACTCGTGCACGTAGAAGTCAAGCACGCATACGGGCTCGATTTCTACAAGATCTGCCGTTATCTACGCGGAGGCATTGGGTATGGAAGGTCAAGGACAACCGACGACGGGGATGGGGAAGCCCCGCGGCCTTAACCACCTGGCCGTCCCTTTTCCCCCGGCCGCGGCCTACCTACCGTTCGCACATAGAGGCGCTTTGTCCCAACCTTCAAGCCTCCTAGGACAACAGTTTTGCCAGACTGTCTGTACATGTAAAGGTACAACCGCTGGTCTGTCGTCCGCAGGCGGTGGATGTCCGTGACGGGAGCTTGTAGCCCCTGCGCTCCACGGCTCAGGGGTAAGACCAGAACATCTATTAACGCAGCCTAAATTGATCATCCGCTGATTACCTGCGCGGCCGCTGACTTTTTGCCGAAGACATCGAGTACCTTGGCCAAGTTCTGCTGGTCTTCCGGTTTTAAAGCGCCTTTAATGCAGGTAAAGCATATACTCAAAACATTGAAAGAGTTGACTTGCGTAACGGTCAGTCCAACCTCACCAATTCGTTTGGCGTCCCAAGGGATTATGTGTTGTTCTCCCTGGAAACATTCGAATGACTACTGTAAAGTCCTCAAAATGGATTAATACATGTGCGCATCCCCTGCTTACCCCAAAAGCAAGAGAAGTAAAATCGAACTCCATGAATTGACGTGGTAGCTCTCGTAAACCGTGTTTTTGAAGAGTCGAGCAGGAATATTATATAACATCGACTCGTAAAAATGGATAACTGCGACTGATTGCCACGAACATCTTACGGTTACCGTTGTAGTGGGTGGCCGTTAGCGCCGTAGCCCAACGGCTTCACCGCCAAGGCCCAAATTAACGACATTGCGATATTTACAGTGTGCACAGGTTAAGTGGCCATGTACGCTGGTGAGATCTGTTATTTAACGTAACGCCTAACAGACAAGAGAAGAAAACGTCCAGGCGCTTGTTTCGTCAATTCGCTCCACATACGCGGCAGCTGCTGCGTGTCCAGGATTGCGTCAATAGTTGATTGCTTTATCATCTTCACCATTTCTATGCGGCTGGTGCATTTTTTCCTATCTCGCGTAGTTCACGTGCGTAGCGGCCATCACAACTACAGCTCCTACCCCTCGCCGCAATGCAGCATGAACTCATATTGCGTTAGCTTCAAAAAAAGCTCATCTATGTGGGCAGATGATTGGACAACGGCGTTGGAGGGTCCTGAACGCGGCTCGCAGGCCGCAGTGTCCCACGATGTCCAGCACCATCCCGCACCCTTCATCTCCACAGATACGAAGGCCCCTCCGACCGTAAGCGCCACAACTCCGCTTCGTGACACAGACTGGGACCCTGATATGCTGCTATCGCTGCACCGCATGCACTACTGTTCCGCTGCCGAACGTGACGAGTGGGCGGCCGTACTCGACGACCGGGAGCTGCAAGCTACCCTTCAGGAATCTGTTGTTCCAGACGAAAACCCGAGTACGCCATCCGCTAAGTTCACGGAGTCCACCTCAGGACGCGCCAGAGCTCGGGTGAACGGAGCAGCAGCTGCCCTGCCGTTGGGAACAGTTGGGGGCCATCAACCAGTTCATGCCGCTGATCTTCCGAAACCTGCTGCTATTGCCGCAGCCGGTGAAGGCGCACCGGCGACTTCAAGCGCGACGCCAGCAAGCGGCTGCCTGACAGAGGCGGGAACGGTAGCGGAAGGAGCGGCAGGGGCGGTGCTGCCGCCTGGCCCCCCCGCCGACGCGAATTTCCTTGGTATTGTTGGTGGCTGCGGCGGCTGCAAGGTGCTCGTGGCTATTGAGCTGGGTTCACACTGCACGCGCGCAGTCCTTCATGACGGCAACTCGGAGCTGGTGGGTCTGCGGGCGGTTGGGCGGTTGGAGTTCTAGTTAGGACGAGATTGGGAGGCTGTGCGGTGCGGTTTACTCGGGTTGCTATGGATATAGGGGGAACACGGGATAAGTGGTTGCTTAGGAAGCAAAGGCAGCACAGCACAGCACATCATAGCACAGAACAGCCTGCTACATGGGTTGGTGCAGGTTCTTTCCCCCGAAGAGTCAGCTGCAGTTGTCGTCCTCTGTATTGGAACTCGGATGTCGCTGTCGCGGAGATTGCGGTGTTTGGAGCGCCACAACACAACACACAGGTTTCCGTCGTGTCACAAACGGCGTTTGACCTGCCGGGGGGCCCGGACGCGGTCAAACAAGCGATGTACCGGGCGTCCCACCATGGGTTGCAGGTACGGCTGACGTACGATACAATGCTTGGTCAGACTCAAGCCCCACACAGCGGCGGCTCTAGCAGCAGCGAGGAGCTCCACCCGGAGGCGCTACAGCGCACATTGGATGCGATACAGCGGATTATGGCCACGGCTACAGCCGCCGCCGCCGCGGCAGTACCACCAGCAGCGGTGCCAGCAGCTTTGAGCGATGGAGATGGAGCTTTTGCATTGTCCCCTCTGACTGCGGTGAATACGGCAGGAGTAGTGGCGGGACCCGTCGGCGCGCGTACTGCACCCGCAGGCGCGCTGCCGCATGGCCGCGTCACGGCGCGTGTTGTGGCGACGGCGGCTGTGCGCGGCGCCGGAGGCAATAGTCGGGCGGTGCTGGCGGAGGCGGCTGAGCGACTGGCGGGGTGCGAGCTGGAGATCCTGACAGGTTGGCGGGAGCTGGCGCCCTTAAGACAGCCGCGGCCACTTGGGGAATCGTCTGACAGCAGTGGGTTCGTGCTCTTGTTTGAACCCACCCATTCCGCCTCCAGGGTTGTCCACTCGCGGCTTCCCTCCCACCGCGGCTACTCCTCCGATCCGTGTGTTGTACGTGTCTCATATCGCGCATCTGCCTCTGGCGTTCTGACCTGTGCTGAGGACAGCATATTGCAGTACAATGTGAGCGTTAGGGAGGCAGGTAACCGTTGTTCTGTTCCGGACCCCGGGTGCCGCTGCAGGGGAGGAAGAGGGCCGCCTAGCTTGGCGCGGCGTGGTGGGCGGCTTGCCGGGCCTCCTGCACCCGCGACACCCTTTCACCGCCGCCGCCACCGCAGCATCACCCTCCGCGGCACGACACGCGGCTAAAGGGCCTGCTCAACAGAAACGCCAGCAACATGAGCAACCACCACCAGCACCACTACCTGACCACCTTCAGAAACCTGTACAGCAGCAGCAGTCTTTGTTGGTGGTGGACATGGGCGGCCGATCCACGGAGTTTGTGTATGGTGAGTTTTGGAGATCCCTGCCGCCAGCTGTGCATAGCTGCACCTCCCGCCCCACCGCAAAACCCCCCTCGCGATCACTTCATTCCGGCGGGTCGCCCCCCCCTCGCACACCTAGTGGGCTGCCCCGGGGGGGGGGGTCCAACCATGGACAGAATGATTCAAGCTGTGTGCATGAAAGCTGCACCTGCGCGGCGTCCTGCTTCCCGGTGTCAAGCTGCCTCTTCTGCCGCGGCGGCCCACGTGCACAACCTCCCTCCCTCCACCCACCTCCCCTCTCCGGGGCCCTCCCTCCCAAGTCCCAATTGCACCGCGGCACTGCTGGCTGCAGGGGCCACCACTAGAAGCATTCATGACGGAGCCACCCCCACCTTCGCGTCCCCACCTCCGAAGTGACACCCCGTTCACCTGCTCGTGTGTTTTACTGGACTGAGCCGCGAGGCGGAAATACGATCTAAGTGCCCAAGCCTCATACGGTCCCGTGTGGGTGCGCTCTCCCGTCAGCCCATCCAGGGGGCAACCCCTCCCCCCTTTCTCTTCCTTCCCCCACACAGCCGCCCCGCAGCCAAGCCGCTCTGCCCCCCTTTCTGGCCACCTGATCCGCAGGAACGCCCCACGCCGAACATCGACCCGCAGCAGTCAGCGTGCCGCTGGGGTGTGTATCTCTCAGCAATGCCGCGAGTCACATGTCCCGGCCAGGGAGGTGCCCAGTGGCGGCGGGGGAGCCCTCGCTAGAGGGCTTGCAGGCGTGTGTACGACTTGCACGGGAGGTGCGGCAGGCAGGAGGAGGAGAGAGTCGGGGTTTCAGTGGAAAACACGTGGAGGGGGGCGGAGGGGACTCACGGGGGAGGGGGTCTCCAGCCGACCGGATCCAGTTTCGGATCCAGGCACCTAGAAGCGAGCATCATACGGCTTCCCGCTGGCAGCCTGCTGTCCTGCGTCCTGTCCACCACCCATCGCGTCTGCTACCTATGGTCCTCGAGGAGGCATCACCCTTGTCCGGGGGCCCATTCCTCTCCCCTCCCTCTCTCCGAGTTGCCCCGCCTTGCGCGTTGTTCCCTATGTGTCTTGATCTGATTGACCGACTGCACGCAGACAGTGGAGCGGTCGTGCAGCGGCATGCCCTGGCTCCCAGCTAGGAAACCCAGACACAGGATGGCAACAACAGCAACGACAGCGGTGTTGACCGCAGCTGTCAATGTGATCGACAGTGCTGCTATCAGTGCGGAGCAGCGTGGGACTCCTGCTGCAACGTCAGAGGCACGTGCGGGGCCTAGTTCCGCTGGGGCTGCTACGGCTGCTGCCACCTGCACGGCACAGTCGCCGCTACCAACGGCATCGCTTCTTCCGCCACCATTGATATCACATGTCGAAGTGAAGAGCCATACGGAAGGTACGGATGGGAGCTGCGTCCCCGTCGCTACCGCCGTCGTTTTTACTGGCGGCACCATCACCACCCTGGCCGCTCTGCACCAGCAGCTGCCGTACTACGACCGGGCGCGGGTCCATGGGTCGGTCCTAACATCGAACGACATTGTGGGCCTTATGATGCGCCTAGCGGACGTCGAGGGGCAGAACGTATCTCTACAATCGTACGACTGGTTGACGGAGGCGAGATGTCGTACACTGGCTGCGGGTTGCGCGGGGTTGCTGGGGGTAATGGAGGCGTTGGGGGTGGATGACGTGGTGGTTTCCGATGCAGACCTTCTTGATGGGCTACTGTATGAGATGCTGTAGCGGGGCTTTCCGTGGTGATAATGGTGTGGTCGTGGTGGTGCTCGTCGCGATGAATAATTACATGAACGCCGTTACAGGCAGTCCGACCGGACCTCCTCACCGGCAGCGCTGCCCTAAAACACGACCCCTGTGTCGCACACCAGCAAGTGCCGCAAAGCGGGTTCCACGAGGCCGGTCCAGCGGCTGGCGGCAGCGGAGTGAGGGGCTACAGCGGGGGGGGGGAGGTTAGCCAACCGCAGGCAGGCAGCCCGATATCTACCAGTAGTCACCGACCAGCCAGGCCTCCCACCCCGCAAACAACCCAGCTGAAATTGGTAGTGGTAGCAGTGCCTCGCATGGGCACAGGGCTACATGGGCCGCCTGTGACCTGCGTGTGTGTGTGTGTGTGAGATAGAGATAGAGGGAGGAAGAGCTCCCTAACTGGCAACAGGGAGCCATGCAAGGTGAAGGGCCCACATACACCTGGCCGGGGGCTTTCTCTTGGGCGGGGTGGGATCGACGCAAGTCAAGATGGTACATGGCTGCATCCTGCGCGCTTTGCTTGCGCTCCATTGCGTACAGCGAACACCCTGCTCAAAATATTACCGCTTCCGTGCGCACCGACGGGCTGCCCCCTACGTGCGCCACTAGCACTTTCCTTCCTAAAAGAGTGCACTGTTCCAAGATCATGAGCAGCACCACCATTCCGAGCTTCAAACTTAAGCGACCCGATTTCCGACCAGCGGTCGGGGTGGGGTGGGGTCCTCACATGTGCTCCCGCAGCCACTGCCGGGATCTCAGATCTGCTTGGCGAATGGGCTCCGGAACCCGGTGCAAGCAGCACCGCCGTACAATTTCCACTGCGGTGGGCAAGCTGAGCCTGTGGCCTGCGAGGGAGGGGGAGGGCACGGCGGTGTCGTGAAGAGGGGGTGCGGGCGAAGCGGCTTTATGATAACGGTTCCAGACACGGTGAACATGAATGGCTCGGACGTGCCCCGGTAAATGGCCCCGGGTGGGGAGCCCAGGGCGACGACCCCAGCCCGGGTGGTTTTGGCGGAATGGGACATGGGGGGGTGTTAGACTGGGCATCAACGGCACGTCAGCTAGGTGGCCTGGAGCCGAAGACACTTGGCCCTCTCTGAAGACACTGGAAACGGTAAACAAATCGCCAATGGATGAGACTAAGTGGAATTCGGAGCCAGATGATCCCAGCAAGTAGGGAGTTGCAGCCCGAAAAATATTCAAGTACATGCGGCTCCGTGGCGTAATGGTGGCGCGTCGGATTCCAAAGAAGTAATAATCCGAAGGTTGTGGGTTCAATCCCCACCGGGGTCATTTTTGGTCCGGCCTGATGACTCCCATGTGTTGTGGAGTTTCTACTGCAGAGCAGGGCAGACAGGATTACTTTAGCTGCAGGGCAACGCTAGGAAAGGATAGACCTGTTCACCGTTCTCCGCCATCAGGACTAGCAGCAGCAGCAGCACATGTCCTCAAGTCTCTCGACAGCGACCCCTGTGGGGACTTCCTAAACCCGCGTTGATGCTGATGCCACTGCATTGCCGCCACGCTCCACCCCCCTACACACACAAGGTGCGTGGCCACCTGTACCAAGCGAGACACACTCACGCACCCACGCTGATGAAGAGCGGCTTCCGGGATAGGCCGGGACACAACGCCACGCCGTGGACCGCACCGCTGTGCCCCACCAAAGGAACCTGCACGTCCCGTACGGCAGCATCTGGGCCGCTGCTGCCGCCACCATCGCCACCATCACCATCGGCAGCAACGGTGCTGGCTCCCCGCCGCCGATGACTTCTTCTACCGCGATGGCAGACCCCGGTGCTGGCCACCTCACCGCCAGGAGGTTCGGGAAGCGTCGCTGAGGTCGCGTCGAGGCCGCACGTTGCACCGCTCGTTGCCTTAGTAACGGTGGTGGCTGTAGGAGGACAGCCGCCGTCCCACGGGTCGCGCGGGCAAGCTCCAGGGCCCGGGGAAAGATTTGCGGTGGCGGTGGCGGTAGCAAATGATGGCGATGAAGCCGCCGTCCCGGATGATGTCCCGAGGGGGCCAGACAGTGAGGTGTGTCGCAGTACTTCCGGGCCTGCGATGGCCCCAGCGCCGCCTGCTGGCACTTCAGCTCGAGAGTGCTTCCCGGTACCTTTCCCAGGTACGGGGGCTGTAGCTGCTGTAGCTGCTGTGTTTGTGGCTGTTGTGGTTGCAGCTGCAACAGCAGCTACAGCCGCTGCCTCCTGCAAGGCAAACAAGGGCGCCGGTAGGGTCGCCTATCGAGCCTGAGTCCGCACACACTGATGAGGACACATACACACACCATATTATCGTCCCGGATCCCTTCGCGCATGTCACCTTGAGGTGCGCTTTTAGTCCAATGCTAGGGAGAAGCCGAATGTGTACCAGCATTTCAAACGCTGCGCCAGCGGGACCACCGTTTCCGTCGTCGATTTCCGTACCACCTTCCTCACGTCACCGTGGCGTGCCCCACTGGCTGTGGCTAGCCACAGCGGGCGAACTCTACTCCTTAGCGCTCAGAAAAGTATAAGATGTACAACATGTCGTACCTGCAGCTGTCGTCGTACGGCGAATCGGTCCAAACCATCGACTGTCAGCAGGTTCTTCGCCACTCCCACAGCGGGATAGCCGCACGTAATCCCCACCTGACAGCGGGTTGGGTAGTGGGGTGGGTAGTGGGGTGGGGCAGTGTGGCGGCGTGGCGATGCGCGGGTGTAACGGTGGAGTAGCTGCGCCTCCTGCCTGCGGGGTAACCACAGTACATTACATCATCCCTAAACTCGTGGATTCCTTCCGCAGCGGATAGGACTGGCCCGAACTAGGGGTAGTCAGCAGGACGGCCGACGGCTCTGTCCACCTCAACACGATAACAGCCTCGGGCCCAATGCGGTAGCGGGTACGCCCTTGCCCCTTAGCTGCCGCCTCTGGCCCATACCTTTATCCACACGTACGGCTTTAAGTAATTGCCGGACAAGCGGATCTAGGTACGGCCCACATTTGGAGCCCGGGCGGCGGCATCTAGGCATCTCCCTGCCCTCAGCTACATGTCCGCCGGCCAGGCGGCTCCCCGCAGTGGGTACTACCTGGCAGGCGCTCCCACAGCCCCGAGGGTGCAGCAGCCCGCAGCCGTCCACCAGCAGAACCTGCAACGAGGCAACACCACGAAACACCACGAAACAGTGTCAACAGAGTCAAAAACAGCAGCAGCAGCAGCAGCAGAAACAACAACAGTGCTGCCGTCCGTAACAGCAGCTGTTCGAAAGAGCTGTGGCGGGACGCAGAGTGTCGCACGGGATGTGTGAGCGGCGGCCAGCCAACCGACCTCTATCCCGACTCATATGCCGACTTCAACCCAGAGGGCCCCCACCTCGGGTCCCCACCCCGGGTCCCCACCTCGGGTCCCCCCCCCCGGTCCCCCGGCCGGTTCGGTGCCTACCTGTGGTCGGTGCGGGGAGTCCTCCACGCTGCGCAGCAGGCGATTGTACGCGTCACACTCCCTGAAGCCCAGGTAGCCGGGCAGGTAGGGAATAGACAGGTCCACAGGCTCGTAGTCCTCGTACAACAGCTGCATGCCCTGATCAGGGTAAGGCGGTGCCGAGCAAAGAGAGGAACGGGCCCCGGGGAATGGAGAACCGCACAGAGCTCGCATGTGCATGAGCGGGCGTCACAGATTCACTGGGTAGCAGACTGGTGCAGCCGTAGCAGTAGCTGCAGCAGCAGTAGCAGTAGCTGCAGCACCAGTCGCATGATAATGCATGAGTGGCAGGGTGGGAGAAGTGGTAGCTAGCGCTAAGGAAGGTACATCGCGTCAGCCCTAGGGGACCTGGAGGCGAATGAGGTGCTGAAGGAGACCCCGCCACACGCACACCCTGGCGGGGCCTCTCCTAGGGGAGGGTACCGCACCCCCCGACCAGCCCGACAACCCTCCGCAGTTGCCGTTCGCCTGAGGGGCAATGTGGCTGGGGTCTTGGAAGCTCTCCACACGCTCATAGCGGCGGGTGCGTGTGCTGTACCAACACGTACGAGTGTGCTGCCATATGTGCTTTGGTGGGGCTAGGTGGGGCTTTATGAAGGTGCGGTCGCCTGGGAATCGTCACAGGCGACGCAGGGGCTGCGCTAGCCGTGTTTGAAAGGTCTACACTGCAGTTGCGGCCGCAAGGGGGACTTGCCGGGAAGCTCAGCACGACCAATGCAGCAACGCCTGGAGCGTGCGCGGGAGCTGCCTCCGTAGGGGTTTCGGAGCCAGAGTCCTCCTCCGGCTCTCCGTCAGGCGCCCTCGCACTGGACCTGGTGTGTCATGATGAGGTGTTGCCGTACAGGAGGGGATGTGTGAAAGCAGATGGAAGAGGAGCAACCTGGAAAGGCCCCCGAACAACGAGGGCCCTCACGCCGCCGGCGGGGAAAGGGGAGGGAGGAAGGAGGGAAGGGGAGGGTGGGGTGGGAGGGCGCATGCGGGGGTGGGGGCTAGGGAAGGGGGTGCGAGGAAGGGAGGTGGGGGTGGTCCCATGCGGGGTCCCGGGGCCACGGAGCCTGATGCTGGAGGTGTGGTTTTGCTGCGGTTGGGGACAGGGCTTGAGCTGGTGATGACCGTGTGGAGTGGGCTGCGGACTGGCAGCTGTTAGGGCTACTGCGTATTGGCCGCTGTTGTTGGTTGGTTATTGGTTGACACTTATTGGGCTAACGACGATTAACTTTGTGAGAAACAAACTTGTGACGTACCCTTTGTGTGCATACCTAGCCACCCCGCTGGCTGTGACGGCGGCTGTGATGGCGGCGGTCGTGGTCGCGGTGGTTGTGGTTGAGGCTGTGGCGTCAGTCCCGGTTGCTAGGACGCCGCACGGTGGTTCGGCTGCTGGGTTGGAATGCGGACCAACAGCAAAGGAGATGTCCAGACCGCCTACCCTGCTAAGCTGCGGCGTGAACACACGGTCACGGTTGGATGCGACACGGATCAAGACAGTGTGCGACTGCCCCTGCTTGCGTGTCCACCACCACCTCCCACGTGGGATCGGCAGCATAAGCCGATTATTGCGGGGCCGCGTGAGAGGGTGCGTAAGGGGACTCAATGCGCGTAGGTTCCGGCGTGCAGGCTCCTCAGGGCATTGGATTGCGTAAAAGGGAAAGCCGTGTTCGCCCGGGGGTGGTGCTTCGGGCTCACCCGTTCCGCAGGGCCGTCGACGTCCAGGCACCAGTTTACATCGTCGACTGTGACTACTTGTTTCGCCATCTCGAGCTGTCGCCTGGTGTGGGAAATGGGAAAAAATCATGGTGGCGCATGGTGACATGCAGGCAAGTTTGCAGCCTGTATGGTTACCTCGTCCATTCCGACAAGAGGCTGTTTCCAAGCTTATGTCGTGACATATGAGCTTGTGGATAGTGGTTCCTTAATGCGCTTGTACTCGCTTCAGCGTCAAGTGCGCAACACCTGAATTTGAGGCTAGCTAATGCTTGAATGCAGAATTTTCTCATTAACTACACATATCATTATAACCTTGTAGAGCAGATTAATAAACTCTTGCAACTCTTGCCCCTTGCCAGTTTTAATAAACTCATGCAACTCTTGCCCCTTGCCACTGTCGATTTTCACAACGACGACCTAACCACCTGCAACTATTAACAACCATGAGACTATAGTGCTACGGAATAAAGCTATATATATAAAGCTATAGTCTATCGCGTTAGGTCTGGAACACACAAAGCAATTAACATTAACATTACATCGTTATGTCCAACAGCTAGGAACGACGTTTTTACAACAGCAATGGCTACCCGCATTTTCACCTAACCTGAGCGCAAAAGAAGCTGCGCACAAACTTTTTCCAAGTCCCTGTAAAGCTCCTTCTTTCTCTGTAAAAGCCACTTTCAAAGCAACACTTTGTAAGGCAACATCAATAATCGCCGATCCGCCCAACGACACTGTTAAGTGCTGACCTGGGCTTCTGGGGCCAGACTCTCACCGCACCCCGAACCGCAGCAACCAGCGGTCACGAACCTGCACCCAACGACTGCTCACGAATGGAGCCGACCCAAGACCGTCACCACCACAATTCCAACGATACGGTACGGCGCTCTTGCGCCATATACGGCGGCGCCTTGCGTCCCATTGCCCGTGCCCTATCGAATAACGTGCGAATCGGTAACCATATCGAAGACCTTTGTGCGCCCACAGCACCCAAGACTTACCTCCGCCCAGGTGTCACCCCACGGCACCCATTCCCCCCATGCCACCTTGCGTAACGCGCTGGCCCCTCTGGGCGCGCCAATACGTCCCATTCTCCTCCCCTACCGTCACCCGCTTCCCCGCCTTCCCCTCCAGCAGCACATAGCCACATGGCCACAGGGCGCGGAGGTCCGTCGGGGGTGTTGCGTTCTGGAAAACCTTAAAAAAATTAGCCCAGCGAGCGCAATCCCGCCGCCGCCCACCGAGCCACCACTCCCCGATCCAAGCGACCCCGCGATCGGTACTGATCGGTACTGATCGGTACTGATCGGTACTGATCGGTACTGATCCAGCCAAGAGCCAACTGGTCTCACCCAAATCCCCCACATGGCGCTTTGCAGCACCTTCCGGGGCTGAGGGGGGAGGGCAGAAGAGTATCGGAAGTATCCCACCCTAGAGGGGCCCCATTGATCTCCCGATTTATAAGGGAGGGCAGTTTGCTGCTATTCGCTTCACACATACTATGTGAATACATGAATGAAGCTGCATGGAATCCGAACAGGTCAAGACACCGGCAGCAGTACTGCCGTACTACAGTACTGCGCGTGTAAATCAAACACGGTCCAGGCTATAGCGGAAAAGGACAGGAAAGTAGAAAGTATGGCGAACGCCGTACGTTTACGGCAATTATAATTGCACCTACCAGACAACAGCCGGAACTGGCCAGGCAGCCAGCAACCATACAGCAGGCCACGACCACCACCACATATTACACATTACACATTACACATTACACATTACACATTACACATTACACACACATGTCAACATCCAAAGCCAAAAAATTGCCCCATCGTCGTGCCGATTCTCCTTTTCTTTTCTCGCCACCACCGAAAGGACGTTGGATGTGTTCTGGTGGTCCATACCGGCATTCAGTTCTCTCTTTTCCATTGGAGATTTGTGTCCTGCTGCTGCTGCTGCTGCTGCAGCTGCAGAGGAGGGAATCCGCACCAACAGCTTGCGCATCCAACAGCGTTCGGATTGGAGTGTATTGAGTTCCCAGTGCCCTTCACCTTGTTGCCGCCATTAGACACCAAAACACCAAAAACACCACAACGTTGCGCAACGCCAAAGACGCCAATGGCGACGTCTTTTCGTCTGACCTTCCGAAAGGGGCCCCCACTCCCCCGCAGGAGGAGTGCGACTATTGGACTATAACAACATGGATGAATATCCAGCGGCTCCTATCCATGCGCTCCATGTACGGCAGTCACAGGGCGCCTCAGTTACACGGCACCAAAACCTCCGAAAAACACATCTCTCTAAACCTTTCATCCTCGCCACCAGGAATAAATGAAGCAGAGTAAAACGGTGTTAGATTGTAGTTCTGAGTGAGTTTCAGCTCCTCAGAGATTCCTAGCTGACATTGAGTTCACCTGTCCCACCAAAGCTGTGAGCCAGGTGTGCAGGCTACGAGGTTTCTTTGGCCACTGCATGTCGGCAGCGGCGGTATTGTATTTTCCGGAACCAGGATAAGAAGGGGTTGCACCACCACCACCACCACCATCCCCACTTCCACCCGAGCGGTATACTTCCCCCCTAGTGGAGATGTACAGCCGTTACTACGGAAATCCTGGCTAGTTTCTTTTCCACCGCTTAATAATATAAATAAACCCTAAGTTACCCTAAGTTCAGAGGGTAATCTAGCGCCTAAGCTCAGGTCGAGAAAACTGGGTACACTTGTCGTGCTGTTCGTACAGACAGGCTCAGCATGGCGGCACTGTCCTAAGCCCCAGATCCTCCACAGCTCTCAGCCAGTGACCACCATCCGCCCGACACACACACACACACACACACACACACACACACACACACACACACACACACGCGCGGCAGGACAAACCTGCTTTGGGAAGACTGTATGACGCACGTGCACAGACCGTCAGACACACGTACGACGCATGTGCATACCTCTGCCGTCACCGCTTCCTCTCAGTCCCTCACAGACTGAAAACATGTGCGAGTGCCGAGTTGATACATGACTAAAGGTTGATATAACATACGAGGCATGCGAGGCCGACCCACCGACCCACTCACCCACCCACCCACCCGCTCCTGGTTCAGACGATGGGGCCAAGAAGGAGGGGCCCCAGCAGGCCGCGAGCACTGCGAGCAACACGCCCTAGAGAGGCGGACATCGACATGGCGATGTGCTTCCCACGCCAATCCCACACGTATGGCACAACCTAAGCCCACAACCTAATCTAGCCTGAAGTGCGCAAAGGCAACGTAACACCAGCTTGCAGCAGCCAAGGCGCTACAGCGGCCAATGGCCGGAAAAAGAGCTGCAGCAGCGACAATGCCTATAACAACAAGATTAGCAATGACGGCAATTACAGAAATAACGATATTAACAGGAACAAAAGCAGAGCACCAGCGCCACCACTGCCAACAGCAGCAGCGACAACGTTACATGGAGGAGCCCATGCAGCAGCAGCTGCAGCGGCGGGTGCAGCATGTGGGACCAGACGACTGCGAGGCAATCACGGCAAACCGCTTGCACAGAGATGTCCCTCCCCTCGACCCGGATACATCCCCACTCTCCTCTCCCACTCCCGTCCCCCGACTCCCGCCTTGCCATGTGCCCAAGGGGGGGAGGGGGCTGGAGCCAGCAAATGAGGTTTCATCGCAACAGCCGTAGTTGTGGGAGCTGGCAAGGAAGGGGGAGAGCGCCCGCGGCGACACACGCGCGGCGGCAGCAGGGTTGGTAGCGGTGGAAATGTTGCGGGTAGAACAGCTCGTACTAACAGTGTTAGCCGTACTGACCGTACTAACCGTCAGTGGACTGTCTTGCGGCCTCCCGGGTCGTTGCGGCGGCGGGTCCCGCTGTGTCCTGGTGGCGGTCCAGGGGCTGTCCGGGTGCCTCCAGCCACAAGTAGGTCCGCAGGCGGCCGCAGCCCTTCACCTGCAAACACAAACACGACAGCAACAAGAGCGGCGGGTGACAGGCGCAGGCGGGCGGGGTGGCAGGCGGGCGGGGGAACGGAACACAACGGCGGCGGTGGCGGAGGGGAGAGGAGCGGCTGCCGCAAGCTGACCGCGCGCTGAGTCAACGCGGCTGAGTCAACGCGGCTGAGCGACGGACAGATGTGCAGACAAGCAGCGCATAATTTGTACAGGAAGCACTTGTACGACACGCAGGAGTGAGAACGCGTGACAAAGAACAGGTACCTGTGTTCGCCATCGGCCGGCTGCGCACCCACCTGGATGCCCTCTGCGGGCCGCCACTCCGCACGGGCCCTACGGGGCAGCAGGCGGTACGTCGCCTCGCTGATGTGTACGGCACCCGGCACGCCGGTGCTCTCCATTCGAGCCGCCGTCGCTACTGCGCCCCCTGTCAGGGACAAAATCTCCATTACCACCATATCCCCAACACCATATCCTCACCCCACGACCACGACCACCACCACCCCAGGGGAACCAGACCCGCCAGTGACCCGGGTTGCACCACCCCGCCGTGTCCAAGTGGGGGGGGTGGAGGAGGCTCCGTAGCGCGGATCTCCGAAATGGTGGCTGTCGGGGGCGGCACTGGGAGGGGCGCCGCCGGGGGAGTGCCGCCCTGCCTTAGCATCCGCATCTGGGGTGGAGAACACCCCTTCCCCCTCCGCTTCCTTGCATATGATTTCTCCCCCTATCCCTTCCCCTCCCCCTCTTTCCTCCCTTCCTCCGGTTTGCCATGTAGGAATTCCAATGTATCACAGACGTTTTACAGTGCCAGAGTCCCCTCCCTACACCGCCCTCTTCACCTGACTACCTTAACCCCCTTCCCTCTCTTCCCCCCTCTCTCCCACAGTCTCTTCCCCCATCTCTCCCACCCTCTCTTACCCCATACTCCCGAATTTTATTAATATTTTAAATAAATGGTTTCCCCCTCTCTCTTGCCCTCACCAAATAGACAGAATCTCGGCATCCTCCTCCCCAGCAGTCCGCTGAGTGCGGGACCCGTGTGGATGCCGATGCGGATCTGAACGGGCTGGCCATCGGTGGGCATGGATACGTGGCGGGCCGCGGATAGCATGGCCTGGTGGTAGGAGGTGGTTGCGGGAGAGGGGGTAGGGCAGGTCGCGGCAGGAGGAGGAGGTGTTGTGAAGTGCGGGGTTAGGACGAGGGGGCAGGGCGGTGAGGAGGGGAAAAGAAATCCGAGGCCGGGTCAATCCCCCCAGGCAATGCCGTGGATGTGGGGGACAGCGTGCTTTTGCGTGAAGTGAAGCATGCTTAAAAAAATACCTTGGCAAAGCCAATGACGCTGAGCGCATGGCTCGAGGCAACCCGCCTTGGAGCCCCCACTGCACCACCACCACCACTGCGACCACTTCGACCTCCTTCTAGGCCGGGCTGCCGCCAAGCGCCGGCGGGGGTGAGGGCGGCAGAGGGGGGATCTGAGGTTTCGCTGTCCCCCTCCTCCCCTTCCATGAAGGTGAGGCCACCCGCTACGAAGTACGCGTCCCCTATGGTCTCCACCTGCGGGTGGGCAAAACGCAGGTGTATACACATACATACAGATATACATACATTTATACATATTAGATACATATTACATACAGATAATGCACAGATGTAATGGGTAACATAATAGTTATGTATGACGTTGACTACTCGGTGGGCTTAAAAGCCAGGGGGACAGGGCCGAAACCCAGCGGGGGCCCAGACGCACATAGCTGGTTAGCCTCACGCATTCCGCCCCCGGGTCAGACCGCGCAAGATACGACAGCCGGCACTAAGCAGCGTTCCCCACGGGGGGTAGCGCACCAGCTAAACGGGCTCTAGGTCCGCTGGTCACCTAACAAAGACGAAGTCGCACCCGGGGAGTCCTACGGGCGGAAAGTACGGCAAAACTTCAAAGAGCACGTGTTCAGGACCAGGGCGACCGGGAGCCAGACGAGTCATCCGGGGCTGGGGAGGTCACCAAGCTCCAAAAAGCCTCAAGCAGAAAGAGCGCAAAGAGCTCACACCACAAGACGCCAAGCAGCCTCCCAAGACCACTTCCCATCTCGCCTCTCCCCCCCTGGGCCATATCCCCTCCGTCCTTTCTTTCCGGACGTTGAGTCCAAAAAGCTGGGTTTTCGACGAAATCGAAGTCCCGGCCCCATTTAAGGGTGGTTTCACTGTTTGTATCTGCTGTGTGGCAGTTGCTGCTATATGCATGTATGATGTTCTTACAGGGAGGTATAGCTTCACCAGCGGCCCCCTTTCCCGAGGCAGTTCCCTGCTCTCCCCTGCGAGAGGGGCACCCTAATCCATTCACCCCATTCGACTTCAGAATGTTTTCGTTGAGTTCAGCAACTCAACACAAATATCAAACCAAGTCTAGCGGATCAACGGCGCTACAGCTTAGTTCCTGGTCAGCTCGCAAGTTAATACAATCACGTCTGTGCCGACCATAAGATGGGGAGGCACCACCCAAATCAACACCCTTCACTCAACGAGGGATTGGCAGGTGGAATTGAATCCGGAACCTCCGGGAACAGAAGTCAAGCTGGCCATCTGCCTGTATGCCTGTATGCATATATGTTATTCCAAGGAAAGCCTTTTGCGTTATAACACGCCGAACAGTAACGGGCTAGCCAAATTCACCCCGGCCCCCGCCCTCCGGGCCCACCCCCAACAACAACCCCACAATCACCACATCCCACCATCATTACAAACCAGCGGTGGCAAGCCCAGCTCAATGGACTGAGTGGCGGACTTGGCGGTGAATTCAAAACAACTTCTGATGTTCACACCGGGGTCGGGTCGGGTCGGGTCGGGTCGGGTCGGGTCGGGTCGGTTCCGTGACGCGGTTCTCATTTCCAATTCGCTTGCCTGCATATCCTGCCGTACCCTGCCGTACTCACCTTGCGCACTCCAAACACGTCCAGCAGCGCATCGAAGCGAGTGAACAGTTCGTTGAGCATCACCATCACCGCACGAGGCTCCACCTCCTTGCACATGGGTGTGAAGCCTGAGCAGGACCACCGCCAACAGCGCCATAAACAACAACAACAGCAACAGCAACAGCAACAGCAACAGCGGTCAGCAGTGGACCAGGAATAAAGAGTTCGATCGAGCCAGCGGTGTACGGCGGCAGAAGGCGCCGGAGGAGCTGGATCAGGCGACAGAGCAATGTTGGGCTCCGCCGGACACCCCGCGGGAACCACCAGAGAAATTTCTCTCCCACCTTTTGGTACAGCGTTACCGCCCTTTCCCCCCCACACACCTTTGATGTCCGAGAATAGCAGTGTGACCTGTACGGCAGGTTTCATGTGGCGAGGGAAGGTAAGGGGGTTGGTGGGGTGGAAAGGCTGGTTGACCGGCGGGTGAGGGGCCGGACGATTTGTGTATACATACATTTAGGTATACAAACATGTATATGCGCACCTGAGGGTGCATGGTGGCCAGGGACGAGCGGTCGGAACCCGCCGGCGGGGGCAGCGGCTTCAGGAATGGCAGTTCGCTGCTGCTGCTATGCCGTGCACCACGCCGGCGACTGCCATCCCTCCCCTTCAACCTGTCCTTATCCGAGTCCAGCCACTCCAAACCCACAGTCCCCACCGCCCCGGTAGCAGTAGTAGCAGCAGTAGCAGCGGCCTGGCTCCTGGCTGAGGCGGTCTGCTGCAGCACCAGCCGCTGCATCTGCGTCTGTTGTTTCTGTTGCTGTACGAGCTCGTCCGCCAGGTGTCGTAACATGTGGGTGGGATAGAGCTGCTCCAGGAGGCGGTGCTCCGTCTCAAACATAAGGCCCAACTGGCGCTCCAGAAACACCTTGCAGGTGACATCGTCCTGGCCCCAGGGGAAGAGGGAGAATGGAGGTAATGATGGCTGAAGCACATTTTCAACAGAGGGTCGCACACAGCGGCGAGGCAGATGGGCACAGAGGACCACGGAGCGGTTGCGGCGGTGGCTGTACCTCTGGCTGAGGCTGCCTCAGGGATGTTGGCAGTGGTTTATTTCTCGTGCTGGATAAGAACAGACCTACACACAGGTCTGGAGTTTTCAAAGGTCGCTACCTACAAACTCCCGTACGTGCCGTACCTTACCGTGCCGTACGTACCTGCGTCACCACGATCGCGTCGCGGCCTGTGATGGGGTCCACCATCCGTGTGGCCATGACACGGTGCCAGCAGCACCGGGACAGGCACTCCTGGGAGGCGGCCGGGCGCTGGGAGCTGGTAGCGGGCGTGGTCCAGACCACATGCTGCGAGGTCTGGCTACTGCCCGGCCGCGAGGACGGGCGAGAGGAGGGTGCCGGCCGCGGCGATGGGTGCACCACCGATGGTGGCGCCCCAGGTGCGGCAGCCCTAGCAATGGGCACAGGCACTGCCACCGCCGCAGCTTGGTGAGCTTGATGCGTCGTTATCAGGTCGGTATTTTCGTTGGCGGTGTCGTGCGGGTGTTGAGGGTTGGGTTGGTGCCGGTCCTCCTGCAGCGGTTGTAAGGACTGCTGTGACTGCTGCTGTAGCCCCTTGGCCGGCACCGCCGCAAGGTCAGATCTGGGGTTGCCGCCACCGCCACTGGGAGCAGCACGTGCGGATGCAGCGGCAACGGCGCCGACGGCCAAGTGCAGGCACACAGCTTCGGGGCTATCGCGGCCCGGCTCGCAGTTGCTGCAGCCTCCAGCGCTGCTGCTGCGAAGTCCAGACACCTGATCCTGCGACCGACCTCCACACGCGAGTGCAGATTGACGAAACGTCGCGATGACCCCCCACTCCACCTCCCCGCTCCCCTCATCCGCGGACACGGGAGCCGCCGCCTGAGCCCCGGGTGCCGCGTCTACCGTCGGAGCCGGCGTGGCGCCAGCAGCGGCGGCGGCATCAGCGGCGGCCTCGTTTATGATGGCCCCCAGCATCCGGCCGCTGCCAGCGTGGACATCGCCAGCGCACCGTGTTGCTTCATCCTCGTTGCGCAATGGCTGCAAATACTGAGAAGCATCCGCCGCCGACGACGCCGTCCCCGCCGCCGCCGACGCCATCGAATGGAGCACTCGACGCCCCCGCCAGGCCGCCAGTTCGCTGTCGTCCTGCGAGAGGCAGTCGACCGGCTCCTGAGTTGATGCCCCCGCCGCAGCCGCCGCTCCACCAGCGTCCTTCGGCGCCGCAGCCGGCAGGACCTCCTCCTGCTGGCTCCTTAGGCTCGTGCGCCGTATCGCAGCTGAGTCCGGCTCCAGGAACGGGGATGCAGCAGATGATACGGCTGTGGCCGCCGCCGGTAGCTCAGAGCGGACGTCGGGTTGCTGTACACTCCACGGCTGCCCTGGCGTCTCCGCCGCCGCCTCGCGCCGAAGCGGACGGAGAGTTGGTAGCGAGCTGGGAATATCAATGCCGTTGGAGTAAAACGACGGCAGAGATGTTACTGGAGCCGTCGTTGCCGCTCCAGCTGCTGGTGGCGTCGGCCTAGTAGTCACTGCTTGCGCCATCGGCGCGGTGCACCCACTGTGGGTTGCGGCAGCGGCCCCGCCGGCTCCGCCAAACAAACCCTCCGTACCCGAGCTACGGCAGCCGTGCGCCAGTACCATGGCGCTCAGCCGCACCGTACTATTGCTGCAGCTAGTGGCGGAGGCGGCCCAAGGAGGGCTTACGTCAGTTAAGCCAACTGCCGGACCGTCGTCCACAAAGCTGAAGACCGCTGTACCCGTACGGCCGTCACCACTGCTGACATACGTGTACGGCAATCCGCGGCCGCCGGCGTCACCACCGCGGCCATCGCCGCTGACTGTCGTGCCATACGATAGCGCTCCGCTGCTCGGGCTGCCAAAGATAGCACAGGCCGCGCCACCACCGGCCCCGACGCTGCTGCCCCCAGCCATGCGGCTCCGTCTGTGATGAAGCGAAACAGATGGAGCCAGCGGTGCATACGGGCGGTTTGCGGACGGGCGGGACGAAACCAGCTGTGTGCTCAGGCCTCCACCCCCACCAAGGTGCGCCGGCTGGCTCAGAATCATCCCCGGCCCAAGCTCCCCCAGGGCGGAGAGAACGTCTGCAGAACCCGCGCCGACGAGACCCACAGTAGGGCCCCTGGAGCCCATGCCAGGCCTGTCCAAAGAGCTGCGGCGGGGCTCCATCTGGCGGGGGGGCTGCGGCAGCCCACGCCAGCCAGTAAGGCCCTCGAAGTTAGCGGTGAGCTGCCGTGGTGCTCCCCGCTGAGGCAGCGGCTGTGAGGGCGACGGCACGACGGGTGGCGTCAGGCCCGAGAAGTCAGTGTGACGGCCCCGCGGGCAGGCCAATGGCTCTCCAAGGCAGCCGGAATCCAACGCGGCGGACCTGGTGGTATAGGTGCTATAGGCGCCGACGGAGGGGTTGACGGGCCGTGGAAAGCCGCCTGCAGAGACTCGCATGTTGGTGGAGTAGGCCGAATACAGCGCCGACGGCTGTATGCCGCTAGGGAGGGTGAGATTCTTTATGGACAGTGTGCGAGCCATGTTGGGGTTCTCGCCTAGCGTCACCGTCAGCACAGATGTGGCCAGTGGGCCGCTGCCCGACGTCAGAGCATCTTCCAGGAGGTGGTGGCTGCCGCCGCCGGCGGGGCCCACAGCTGCCGCCGCCGCCGCCGCAGCGTCCGTTGATATTGCCGTACCGTAGCCGCTACCGTTAAACGACGGTGCTGTGCTGCCGTCATGGTAGTTAAACGATGACTGCTGCCAGATGGGTTGTGAGGGTGGCAGAGGTTGGGATATGCGCATCAGGCGCTGAGTATCAATCGTGACCGCTACCGTGGCCGAGTCGGCGACAGAGTGCGAGTCAGCTCGGGATTTCCACGCACGCCATGTCAGAACTCCGCTGTGCTGCCGGCTACTGCCGTTGGGTGCGGAGCTCAACGCCGACGAAGACATCGCGCCGCTATGGGGGCGGCAGACGTCGCCGTAAGGCGCGGGCCCGAGGGCCGAGGTATGGGCCGCGGTTGAGGCGGCTCCGGCAGCGCAAGGCGACGCACCTGTAGCCACCAAGATGTCGTACGCATTCCTGACGTACGCGCCACCGTCGGCAGCGGCGCCCACCTCTGCCAGCGGCTCCAGCTGCGGCCATTGGGCGGTAGGGGCGGCCTGCAAGATCTCTTGCTGCCGGTGCTGGTCCTGGTGCTGCTGATTCTGTGGCGGCTGTGACGGCTCCCGCGGATCGCCGTAGACATACGGGTTCTTAAGCTTGCGCGGTTTGGAGGCGCCTGGGACCGTGCCTGCTTCCGCCGTTGTTGCCACGTCTGATACAAGGGCCGGCGCCGCCGTCGTCACCTCGACCTGCCTGTCTCGGCCAGCTTCCGGGACCGACAAAAGCGGCGGTACACGCACCACGCCTACGAAGAAGGGTAAGAGTGCATGGTGTAAAACGCGCAAGGCTTGGCTTTGGATTCACATCACATCACATCACACCCCTGTCTCAACTTCATGTGCAGGAAAGACCCGGTTGTCCTTTCCCCTACCCAGCCTGCGTTCTCTCCACGTACGAGCTCCGTACAGATTTCTTAGTTATTTGCTGACTGACCTCGCTGCCCGCTGAGACCTCTCTCGCAGGCACGTTCACCACCTGGCATCGTGCAGGGCGCACGCTTTCCCGATCCCCTCTGTCGGCCCTCAGAGTAGCTCAGGACACGCACCTTTCCAGGTCCGGCCCGCCCCCTGTGGCAATTCGCCGGACATCACGTCCTCCAGCAGCCGCGTCAGCTTGTCAGGATCGTATGAAAATAGCTGGCCCAGAAGGCTATCGGCCAGGTGGGTGGTGCCATTGCCTGCGTGGACTGTGTAGTCCATGCACACGAACCAGCCCCAGGCAGCACCATAGGCAGCGGCGGAACATGGCAGGACCGTAAGATGCAACCTCACTGAAGCGTCTTTCTCCAACATTAGGTGACATCGCAATGCAATCAGGCCTACGTCACCACCCGTGGTGTCGTACCGGCACAGGTGTAGACGGCACCAGCAAGTCTCAAAGTCTCCCGACGGCATCACGCCACGCCGCATCTTGCTCTGCCCATTTAGAAGATCACGCGATGGGAGGTGTAGCCGACATCGGCAGCACATCTGGCAAGCGCTATTCACCAGCACCACCAGCACCACCAGCACCACCAGCACCACCAGCACCACCAGCACCACCAGCACCACCAGCACCACCAGCACCACCAGCACCACCAGCACCACCAGCACCACCAGCACCACCAGCACCACCAGCACCACCAGCACCACCAACCGACCCAATGCATGCGGAAAGGTAAATCGCTTCATCCCCATGCGGTCCCTGCCTTACCTACCTACCTACCTGTAACCCGGTGTTTGTCCTGGCACGCTGCTTCTGGGCAGGACTCAGAGCTGACAAGCTTCGGCTCCGGATGAAGCAACACTGCTGCTGTGGCTGCAGCTGTTGCCGCCTGTGCATTGGCCGCCTGCATATTGGTCGTATCATTCCCCATTTGCTCTCCAAAGTACAGTTTGCTGCGGCCGTTCTGGAACAGGACGGTGCCGTCGTGCACGGCGAAGACGGTAATAATGGAGGTGGAAGCTTCCAGAAGCAACATGTCCCGTAGAACCTGGAAGGCGTGGGCAGGAAAACGCAAAACGATGCGCACGGGAGGGAGGTACCGACATCAAGGCTGCACGACCGCTAGCCAAAAGGGCGGAAGGCTCTCAGTAAGTGAGAAATCATCGTTGTGCGAAGATGATGGATGGCATGGAGAGGCTGGAGGAAAACAGTTGGTCTCCAAATGTGTGATTTGAGCAGGGGGAGAAGGAAGGTAGGGTCGCGAAGTATCGCAGGTGGGCAGGTCAGCCGCCCCATCCGTGTCCTACTCGGGGAGAGGCGGGGCCCTGCGGGAGGTAGTGCCCGGTCGTGCGGTTGCTCAGGCAAGCGAATCAACGGCCTTTCCACGCTTTTGGCTTGTTAAAGCAATCACACGCTACGTTTTTATTAGGATTGGTCTGCAACGATACATGAATATTTACCTACCTTGGCATCCGCAATAACATTACACATATGGGCGGAGGGACTGCGCTGTGGTGGCGATCGTTTGGTTGCAGACGACGGTGACTCCGGCAGCGGTACTCGCTAGACAACGCAGCCGCAGGTAAGCCATTACGGAGCATATTGTCAGTTGGAGTCGCAATTACTTTTATAATCATAATCAATGAGTTTAGCGCATGGTGCTCTACCTGCGCCACAGCTTGCACATCGGGCTCCGTGCCCTCATCGACGGCATCCGTACCCCGACCATGCTCATGGTCTGTTTTCTTCTTGAATCGTAACTTCAGCCAAAGAGTCGAAAGACACATTTTCAAGAGCCTGGCTTTGCATAGACTTCCCGGTACAGGAGTAGCGTCAGCGATACGTGGATGGCTCGAGATGGCAGCGAACAGTGTTTACCATGCCTTGGCTAGGATATGTGAACGCTTATAAAGGTATCATTAGGGCTGCGTTACCGTTACCGCCCTGCTACAGGGGAAATGTGGGTTAGCTTTCAGCTGCAGTAAGAGCGGTTATCATAATGCATCGAGCATCCCGAAAGGCAATTGATCGAGCGCCAAACTTTACTTATGAAGAAATGCGACTTTTACGTGACGTTATAACCTGTTGTACTCGAAAGCTCGTTCATCATGCATTTCCATACGGCTTGAGCCATACGTTGATATACCGTACATACGTCCGGTGAGCGAGAGAAACCGCAGCTAGTTTGTTAACCCTACCTAAACGACGACCTAGCTGCAGTTTTTCTTGGGCACCAGATGTTATGTACGACGTGTGGCTAGAGTTTTGTTGGTTATTAACGTTGATTCTCATTATGACGTAGTAATATCATGCTTCTTTGTTGCGATTCACCGTTGCGGCAGATGCCAGCTTAGCAGGATCGTGGCACTCTCATCGAGCTTAAAAAAAGCAAGCTGCATAGAATTTTAACAAAGTTCTCAACCAGGCGGTATGATACACTGTCCTGCGCATCCCGTATCATCATCGGCGCAAACACACATTTCAGCGGACAACATTATTTGCAGCCCCAGTGGCGTCCTTGCACTGCGTCATTAATCTTAGATCAGGAGTAGCGCCAAGTCACAAGCGCGGAGCGCACGTGCCGAGCGCCGCCGAGTCAACACCCCCCCACTTGAGGGGCGGCAACGAGCCGAATGCGGTGGACGACGCACAAACTTCGTCGCACGAACTTTAACGCGGTGAACTGACGCACGGATCCGTTCAACAAGGCGACCCAGCAACCCAGGCTCTCCATTCATTTCCCACACAGCGAGCGCCTAACACGGCGACCCGAGGCTCCCGCATCAACCTTAACCTACCCGTTGTAGCTCCCTCACCCTGGCACGACGGACCGAGCTCTCCGCCTGCCATATGAGTTGTCCTTGGAAGCTGTAGCAGGACGACCGCAGAAAAGCAGAACCCATGTACCTGGTTAGTTAGTTCTGGAGGTTGAGGGGAAAACAGCCCCTGGTTCTCTGGGTCCGTGCAACAGCGTCGACACCCCTGTGTTTCGTGTCGTACAACTGCCCGCCAACCCGTCCACAAACCCGAGTCCGCTCTCCTTAACACGCCGCCTCATGCCGAGTCACGGGGCCATCTGGAATGCCACCTTTGCCAGCTCGCAGTGCCCAATTTGACCCTATTGGTCAGCAAGAGAGTAGAAATCCCGGCTCTCGAGTTTTCCCGAACAAATGATTCTTACCTCAGCTCCTCGCTCCGAGAATCAGCTCACCGCCATTTAGTTGCCTGTCACAGCGACATCCGCCCACGTCCCGCTTTAGTACCGTTCCCACCTCCTCCATCACCTCCATCACTGTAACAATCGCATGCCATCACCTCGGGCTCTCCTTACCCCCCCCTTTCGGACCATTCATTGACCGCTGCACTGGGAGAGGAGAGGATACCACAACGACCCACCTCGGACGGTGGAAGCAACTAAACCGCGACATCCTAATGCTCTTTACCCCTGATTCGATTTGGGACGCAAACGGTGCAGAGCGCCCACATCGCATCCAAGCATTAACTTATGTGTGTTATCCGCTGAGGACAGTAGCAGGTGTCGTACATGACTCTGGCCGTGTAGGAAGCGATGGCGCCGGAGACGTGGACCCGGACGGAAGGGGTAGACTCTGCTCTCCCCAGTGGATTTGGAATGTGAAGAGCACGCGGGATGACATGGTGCGCCCTCAGGGTCTCCCCGGCACCCCCTGACTCAAGCAGGGCAGGGCAGTCACCTAGCACCTGTACAGACCCCTACAGCAACAACCCCAGTAAGGACCCGCGGCAGGTCTTCTCCAGGGCAACGAGAGCAGTAGCGACGCGTCCGGTGTGTGGCGCATCATTGCTTTTGCGGACATATCATAGGGCGCGTCGGGCACGATGGATGTGGATTCGGGTTCGGATTTTTGGATGTGGATTCACGGCCCATGCGCGCGTGTGTGTTTTTTAGTGTATGTATGTGTGTATGAAAAGTATGTGCGTTTATTGACCAGTACTGCGAGTGTGGATGCGTAATGGCGGAGGAGCACTCCGCCCCCCACACACACAGCCGCATGGAGCCACAGCAGTGCCGTGAAGCGCCCTTCGAGTACCATCACGTCGTCGTCGTCATCAAGGCGGGTTCAGCAGCCTCCGTATCTCCACTCCTTTGTCCCGACGTTTTAGGGTCACGTTCACTTTACCGTCTTTTCTTCTCGCCTTAGTTAATAGCAGTATGAATATGTGTAATCCCGTGTCGTCGTGCTGTCGTCCCCTCCCACCCACCCGCCCATCCAGCTGGGGCACCGTCACCTCCCCACTCATGGACACCGTCCTCGCTTATACTAACGTCATCTGAGGCTAGAGCTGTATCTAGAGCTCCACCCCTACTCCGTCCCCTGTCCTCGGGGTTGGTCCACAACGGCAGTTCCGACCCCTCTTAAAGTACCACTGGGTGGTGGTGGCCGCGGTGAACCGGCACACGCACTGCCAGGTGCACCGGGTGACGGGGGAGGGCCGGAACACACCGCCGTGTGCGCGCCTTACCGACCTCACCACCCCCCCTTGCTGCTTCGCTTACACCCGCTCTGCCCTGTCCTGACCTAGGATCTGGCACCTAGCCTTTCCCGCCACCTGCCCTCGGCTCTAAGTTCGTGGCCGTATTCCCCCGTGCCCCTCCCCTAGGTGGGTGGGTAGGTAGGTGGGGGCCTCCGTCGCCCGTCACCATCCCCACCATCATCACACTTGTGGCGACACGGCCTCTTTGAACACCGTCACCTCCATCACCCCCGGCACCTCCGTGATAGCCGCCAGGGTCTCCAGGGAGGGCTCGCTGTCGATGCCGATGGCCATGATGGCCTCACGGTGCTTGGCAGTACGACACACCGTCATGAAGGAAATATTGACCTAGGGTGGCGGGGGAGGAGGGAGACAGTTCGACAGACGATTTACCGTACGACTTGATGGTGCGCAGTCCCCAGGACCCCGCGTGTACGGCGCAAATGGTGGTGGCGGCGGGGGGAGAGGAAGGGGTCCCGGGGGTGTGTGCCTGGTGTGGTAGGGTTGTGTGTGTTTGTGTATAGATACCCCCGAGCCGGGAGTGCCACGCGCCGTGACGAACATTTCGCGTATCACAGGCAAGAGAGCAACCCGTGTGTGTGCTGCGAACGTGTCTCAGTACACCTGGTTCCGGAGCTTGCGAGGGGGCTTATAGTTGCGGCCAAAACACCCCCCCTCCTCTCAATTCCCCCTGCAGCCCCCCCTCCCCCTCCATTTCCCCTACCTGGTCCTTGGCCAGCAACATGCCCACTCCTCCCACGATGCCCGGCTGGTCCCTCTGCCGCGTGAGCAGCACCGAGCCGCCCATCGCCAGCTCCACATCGAAGTTGCCAATCTTTGTGAGGAAGGGCTGTCCCCCCGCCACCTTGCCCTCCACGTAGATGCGCTGAGTGCGGTCCACGGCGGCGGAGAAGCGGGAGTCACTGGTGCCCAGAGCCACCGACATGCTGGACAACACCTTGGGGTGGGGAGTTGGGGGAAGGGAGGACAGGAAGGAAACGGACAGCGGGCGAGGAAGAGGGACCTTGGGGCGGACGGAGGGGCAAAGGGGAAGCCCCACCCCACCAACAGCAGCACTGGATCCAGGATAGCTGGATCCCTACCATTACCCAACACCTTTCATCGGCAACTCCCCCACCTCCCCTCCCCCTCCCCCTCCCCTCCCCCCCTGCCCACCTGGCCTCCGTCCCCACTGCGCACATGCACCTCCGTGATCTTAAGGTCCCGGTTCCTGGCCAGCAGGTCCGCATTCACGTAGTTGACCCGGGCGGTGGTGGTCCCCTCCAACACACCCTGGGGGGGTCAGGCGGGGGGGAGGGGGGGGGGCCGAGGGGGGTTACATGTGCAGTGAGTACTTAGGGCTGAATCGACCCCCCTGTCCCCCGCCCCATCCCACCACGGCGGCCCCCTATCCCGCCCTTACACGGTCCAGCTACTGCAGATAACAACACCCCGAAACAGCTCCCAATACCTTACAGGTCTTACACCCCCTTACACACCCCCTTCCCCCCTTACCTTAATGACCATAGCCCGCAGCAGCCGGCTGTCCAGGTCATCCCCCCGGGGGGAGGAGTACGTGATGGCCAGGTCAGCAAACCCGCGATCCCCCACCAAGCCCACCGCCGCCCGGCCCAGACCCTCAGCCAGGGCCATGTACGGCTGCAACTCCTCCAACAGCTCCAGGGGTACCTGGCGGCCGGGTCGGCGGGGGAGGGGGAGGTAGAAGGGATGGTAGGGAAAAAGGGGTGGGGGGACAGCTCCCGGCCACCCCTCTCGCACCCCCAACCCCCGACCGCCCCAATATCTTCCTGCAGCTGGACATGAGGCCGGGATGTGCACCCGAGAGGACACCCCTTCTTTTCCCTCCCCCTTTCCCCTTCCCTTCCCCAGCAGGAGAGAAGTAACCATGGTTTGCTCCCCTCCCCTCTTCCCCCCCCACCATAGGTGCATTCACAGCATTGCTGCACGGCCTGCCGGCCAGCGCCTCCATCACCGCCTCCACCACCTCCGTGGCCACACCCTCCTGAGCCTCCAGTGTGGAGGCGCCCAAGTGGGGGGTGCAGATGACGTCGGGACGGCAGATGAGGGGGTGGTCTGATGGACGGGGACGGGGACGGGGGGGACGGGGTGCAGGGGGTGCAGGGGCGGAGGTGGAGAGGAGAGGGCATTAATTGCGAGAAGCAAAGTTGGAGAGGTGGAGGGCCATAGAGGGGGTTTGTGCGGGGTGGGGAGTGTGTATGGGCGGGGCGGGGCGGGGTTCCTTCCTTCGCTCAGGAAGGGAGGAACACGACAATTGCACATACACACATACATACCCACGCACACACCCAGCAACCTCGACTCGTTTCCCTTGAACCTTGCTCAGAACACAAAAACACACATACACATAACACATACATACTCATAGTCACAGCAGCTCAGCCCTGCCATCTACGTACACACATACACGCATACACATGTACATACATGTGCACACACACACACACACTCTCTCTCATGTACACACCAGCACACACACCCACATACCGACCCTACCTCTCCCCCCAAAACACACACACGCACTCACCCTCGAAGTCAGGCGGCTCCTTCAGGAACACGTCCAGTGCGGCCTGTACTACCACCCTTGCCTCCAGGGCACCCAGCAGGGCGCCCTCGTCAATCACCCCTCCGTGGGCCAGATTGATGATGCGGCTGCCGGGCCTGATGCGGCGAAAGGCATACTCCCCGAACATACCCTTGGTGATGGGGGTGAGGGGCATGTGGAGGGAGTGGAAGTCGGCCGAAGACAAGGCCACATCGAAGGACACGAGCTGTACGCCCTGCGCGGCGGCCTTTTCGTTCGATGTGTACGGGTCGTACGCGAGGACGAGCATCCCCAAGCCCTTGGCGCGCCGCGCCACCTCCGAGCCAACCTGAAGGGGCCATTCGCAAGTGGCCATTGGATTAGGTTGGGATTCGTTGCGGCGGTTGGGGTGATTAGGTAGCTGTTGCAACTGAAGGCAAATCCAGGGTTGCGAAGAGGTGTAAGAAATTCGGAGACACGGAGGTGAAGTGGGGGTATCACATGAGGATGAGGATGAGGAGGTCACGGCCTCCAGGGGCCCTCTCGGCCCGTATAGTTCTCCCTCATATCATAGTTCAGAGATATCGTGGGTGTGTCAATCCAATATTCAACATCATCGAGTTTCTCATGAGGTACCGGGGTCGAATCCTGCGGGCCGGGGGCCGGATACGCGATGAATCCAAAGCACGGAGGAGATGTGCTTCACGAGGCACGCGTATGACATACGGCACTCCAGACTCTCGTACCGTACTGCATTGCGCCTTGCCGTACCTTTCCAAAGCCGTAAACGGCCAACGTCTTCCCCGCCAGGCTCGTCCCGAGGAAGCTGCTTCGGTCCCACCTGCCCGACTTCATGGCAGCATCTGCCTTCATTGGCGGGGGGTCCATTCCATCAGGCCTTTAGGGTTTCAGGGTTTTGGTATTGGATCAGGGGGAGGAGATGGCCCGCCTCACCGGGGGAAGTCATGTGCGGGTTGGAGGGCGGGGGACTCAGCGGGAGTGGCCGTGTAGGTCGAGTTCTCGCCCCATGCATGCAAGGCAATGCCCCCCCGAGGGGGGGGAGACGTGAGCCATGTCAGTGAGACGTTGGCAGCTGGCAGTTAGCAGTTATTGTTCAGTAGTAGGACCAACGGCTTGTCAGTGCCTACCGTCCCAAGCTCACATTCACCAGAAGAGCCTTAGCCGCGTCCCACCCAATCCCACCTGGGGAATGTTCCGAGCCATAGCACACAATAACGCTATGCCGTGCTCAGCTGCCGCCAGCGTGTTGGCCGTGGGTGCATTCACGACAAGGCAGCCGTACTGGGGCAAAGTAGGAGTACAGCCGCGGGAGGGAGTTGAATCGGAACACTCATACCGCAACGACGCTGGCGAGGGGCCCCGTTCCCCGGACGAATGGAAACATATGCTGGGGTGACGGACACACACACACACAGAACACATCCAAAGGTTGCAGCGCATGCTGGTTCGCGTTTCGACAACAGCCCGACACTGCCAAGCGAGGGGCTACCTGGTGCGGCACTACAACCCAAAAAAAAACAATCCGGGGGGGGGAGTGTGTTTTATAGAGTTCCTGAACCCCTGGCATCCTGAACCCCCCTCGGGGGGGCCCGTATATGTGAGGATGTAAGTGAGCTGGTGGATGCAGTAGCTGCATGGGGGTGAGGCGGGTGAAGGGTGGTAGGCATGAGGCTGTGTGGGCGGGTATATGCTCGCGGTGAAGGGTGTGCGTATGGCAGCACTGCCGTTCTGGTTGTGGTACTGAGGATGAGCGGGCAGGATTGAGACCGCCTCCCCTGAAGCATCACGGTTGGGGTTGTAGCTTAGCTACGTCACCGGTACCCCGCTACCCGCTACCCAGTACCAGGCGTACCTCGGTCGCCGCTGTGAGGTCGACGTGGTCGACCCCCACGCCGGCTCGCCCGACAACTTTAAGTCGGCCTCTGCTGGCCTCGAATATTGCACGGGTCACCTGACAGGGAGAAATTGGCGACATCGTGGAAAGGACACGTAGGTAGCGCAAAAAGTTCGTTGCGATAGACCCTGCCATGCCCAGCACGTATGGGTCAGGAAGGTAAAGCCAGCATAAGGTGACTGCTCTCAATGTCGCTGTTGACACTTTGCTTGCTTAATGTTTTTACCCGAGGCAGCACAACGCACCTTTGTCCCGCTGCGCACAATCAAGGCATCGAGCTCCGGTGCCTTTGCGCAAAGCTCCTCTGGCGTTAAGTCGTAAGCAAGTTCCACGTTACATGATCTTCTTAGCAAATCAATGCCTGCGGTCGATCCCTTAGCTTATGCTTGGTCAAAGATGATGCGACTTGCCAACGGTCCCAACCACTGACACCAAAAGCTTACCAGTCAAGCCTATTTTCTCCGTGATAAGAACATTGTGCCTTCTGACCAAGTCCTTAACTGCAGGGAAAGTGGTATCATTGATCCATTTTGTGTGACGCACGCATTTTCGCAGCACCCCGCAACTGTTATTCCTGCATGAAATCCACCTGCTCTGACAACTATACATCTTCGACTGTATATTGGTAGGCGGGCTTGAATCCCTCTCCTTGCCCAGCACTGGAAGGCAAGGCACGTTGTCCCAAATCCAGCCGGTGCGATAAGTGCAGTTGAAAAGGAGCGCAAAACTTCTTTTGAGTGCAATAACAACTGTTATAGGGGACGCACTTTAATCCAAATGGGCTGCTCCATATCCCGAGATGGCCGACACAGGACTCAAGAGGCCCCTCCAAGTTCCAATTCTCAGCATACCAGTAAAACATGTACATGCACGAAGATGCTTGTGTTTGTATATATGGTTCAGATTTTTCCAGGCACCTTGGCAGGTAGGATTTAGCGGCCTTCCTGGAGCTCCTTTGCCATGTGACCAGTTATGCAGATGTATGCGAAGGCAGTTTCTGCTGTATTGTGTTCATGGCCGATGAGCTAGTTCCAAGAGCGGTATGGCACACGAAACACGGCCGCTGGAGGCTAGGGTACGGCCCTTGCCAGCGGGCAACGGACTGTAGGTTAGTGCCATGCCGCCATCACTGCATCTCGCATGGGACATGCCAGAATGCTATGAACGACAGAGAGGACACGTACATGGAAAAAATTACTTGCTTGGTTGTAACAATGTAATGTAGACATTTCCCCCTTGCACATGTGAAGGCCACCTAGGGGCAAGATGTTTGAAGACTCCGGATTGAAATGTGCCCATGCCCTTCGAGGTCTGGGGACCATGCTCGTCGTAGCTTTCCAGCAATGCAGGTGCATGCCAGGAGAGTCGCGAGTAGATTTGACCTGGACCCTTGGGACAACCTGCACGTGACATGTCTAGTACAAGATGCGAACCTGTTAACCCAACCCTGCCTTTTTGTAACTTATTATATTGACAGTGGTTTGATGAAGATTGCCACCAATGACTTAAGAGGCCCATTGCATCAGTCCTGCCAGGAGCTGTCTATCCGGCGCGCCACGTACATTTCCGTGAATAACTGTCGCCAAATTTCCTGTAAGGTGCCTCAATAAGTGAACATCACGCTAGTCATACTGATCTTAGCCGTAGGTTTCGCCTGCTCATTTGTTTCTTCACACCCAGTTCCAAGCTTTTGGTTTGCACATGACCAACACATGCTCAAATTGAAAGAGTCCACATCTGTTCACCTAGAACAAATGATATTCTATTTTACACAAACATCCTTACCTCCCAACCTGTCTAGGGCGCCTTTGCTGGTATATTTGAAATAGTTCGGAGGGAATTTCTGGTGATTGCTTATACTTGTCGTCCTGTCTCAGGTGTCTCAGGGGTATTCTGAAGTTTTTTATCTAGACCCAAGCGCGTTGCGGGCACCTTTTGGGAATGCTGCGTGCGGTTCGCGGTTGGGTGTCTGGGTTCACAGAACAGAAAGGTAAGGCCATGTCCTGAACCAGTTGATCGAACTATGGCTTTCAGCCATGGGTGGATGATTGTGGTCCTTTGTCTGGTGAGGACGCTTGAAATCTATGCGCCCGTAGGCACCCCTAATGCTGTTGGCACCTCAGGTGTCGAACCGCCTCGCCCAAAAGAGCCACCAACAGCTTATATCCGTGCCCAAGTCCCGGAGCCGGCGCCATATGCGGTTGCCAACGATACGCGCGCTGGGTTTATGAGCCCGCCGCGGCGGGCTGGCGAGGCCGCCGGCGGCGGCAGCGTCGTTAAAGACGTGGGTACCTCATACCTGATCTCTGCGCGCAAACCTGGCAAACGGCCCGCAAGTGAGCTACACGACCAGGAGCCACCACCTCCCTTCGCGGAGCTCAGCCGGCTGCCTTCCAGCAGCAATTACCAGCACTTCACCCCAGCCGCAGCGCCCCGCGAGACACCCCTTGACAGCTCGGATTACCGCTCTAGCAAGCGCCACCATGGAAGTGCCTCCGTTGGGCCCCACACCGGCCCCTGGTGGCTGAAGCCCAACGCTGGCGCCCGCACAACCGGCGCCCCGCCGTCTCTGCCGCCGCCACGCAACCCTCAACTTTCAACAGATTCGTTTCGGTGTGGAATTACACCGTTCAGCTCTCGCCTGGGGATGGGCAGCAGCGGCAGGCCTCCTGTCCCAGCCAGCAGCACTGGCGGCGGTGTCGGCGGTGAGGGGGCCGGGGCTGGTTCCCTAGTACCGGCTGCTGGCAGCACGGCCTCCAGCGACGGTGGTACAGGTGGTGACGGCGGCGCTGGATCTATCCTTCAGGACGCGGGGCGGATGCAGTGGCAACGTGCTGTGCGGCTGTCCGTGAGCACCATCCGGACGGGGGCGCGTGGCGGCACATCGGTGCAGCCACGATCCGCATCTATCAGGTCCGCGCTGGGGCGTAGAGGCCGCTGCGCTGTTTGGCTTTTGCACCCACGGCTGTCATCGTCCCGCACCGCATCCTTGCAATGAGTTCTTCTATGGTCGCCTGGGAGGCCCAGTGGACTGGCTGGACCTTTCCTGCTTTCCTTTTCCCAGTGATGAAACGAGCACCTTCCACATGAAGTGCCTCGTGTAGATTGTTTAGTTTGTTTTCTGTGCTTGATCAATCTGTAGCATTCATTGCTAGGTCGCGGACTGACACTGTCTCCAACGGGGATTTTGCTGCCTTTGCGGCAGGCGACCCCAGAAACGCTGGTACGAGGGCGGACCGGATGATGACGATGAGGACGACGACGTCCTGGAGCCCGGAGCAGCGGGCGCAGGGAACGGCATGCAGGCTAGGTAAGCAACCCGCAGGCGAGGCCGCAGGATCCGGCGCTGCAAATCTGTGCAACCTGATGCATTCACCTAGCGAATTCGTTTCAGAAGCGCTGTGGTGAACTCGCGCGGCACAGTGCGTGCGAACGGGCATTTCTGAGCACTGCACTCACGTTGGCTGCCGGGTCGTTGGGCATTCCCCGCTGTATCCCATGGCCAAGATTTGCAGCCTGCAACCAGTCGTTTTCACGTTGCTTCTCATCCTCCCTGCTCCCTGCAGCACCTTGGGCGTCGCAACACCGGCCGCCGTGTCGGGCCTATTTGGCAAGGCAGCTGCGACAGCACTGGCCCTGGCCACGCCGCCTCCACCAGCGCCCGCCGTCACCACCACAGCGGCATCGCCGCCAGCCCCGCTTCCGTGCTTTAGCTTTGTAGAAGCTGGAAGCAGCGGCGGCGCAGAGAATGGCACGCCTAGCGCAGGGCTGCTGTCCCGTACAGCAGGCTCCGCTGCGGATGCATCCAAGCCTGTAGAAGCTCCCGCAGCTGCTGCCCCGCCGGTCATCGCAGCTACACGTACAGGCGAAGGTAACTGTACCGCTCCAAGTGGCGCAGCCGGTGGGTCAGCCGCGGCGGTTATTCCCGCAGCACCTAACCTGTTTGGCTCTCTTACAGCTCCTGGCACCACGGCAGCTGTCGCTCCTCCATCCGCAGCGCCAAGCGCGCCTGCGGGCGGTTCGGCTGTGCCTCTGGGCTTCTCTTTCGGCAATGCGGTAGCGGCACCAGCGGCTACGCCGACAAGCACCACGGGCGCGGGAGGCGCACCTGCTGAACCCGCCGCTAGCTCGGCACCAGCTGGCGGTGCCAGCACAGCTGCGGCGACCGCTGCCCCTGCTCCAGCTGGCAGTGCCGCCGTTGTGACGCCAGCACCTACCGCTGCTGGTTTTAGCTGCGGTTCAGGCACCAGCGCGGCAGGGTTATCTACCGGGACCGCCGGCGCTACAGGCGTGGCACCCAGCATCAGCATTGCGCCCGCTGCACCAAGCTTTTCGGGTTTTGGAGCCTCGGCGCCTGCCGCACCAGCATCTGCAGCGAACCTCCTAGCATCTGCCAGCGCGTTGAAACCAGCCGAGACGTCCACCAGCACGGTGACAGGTGGTACGGGCGGCAGTGCGGGCACGGATGCTGCTGTGAAGCCCGCCGCATCAACCGGGTTCAGCTTCGGTACAGCGCCAGCAACGTTTCCCGGTTTCGGTAGCGGGAACCCTACCACCGCCGCACAGCTAGCTGCAATCGAGACATCCACGCAGCCCGCTGCAGGGATTACGACTCGGGGCTTCTCGTCCGGCGGTGCAGGCACCTCCACAACCACCATAAGCAGCACAGCACCCGCTTCAGCGACTGGAACCCAGCCAGCTAATCCCTTCGCAGCGGCCTCCAATTCACTCACTCCCACGCAGCCGTTCACCTTCGGTACCTCTTCGACTGCAGTTCCGGCTGCTGCTGCAAGTGGAATGACGCGAGGCGCCGCTGGCGCGGAGGATACGACGGCTGCAACCGCAGTAGGGGCGCCCACGGCACCAGCCTTCGGGGCCACCACTACCGGAGGTAGCGCCGGTGGCGGCGTGTCATTTTCCTTCGGCACTGCTTCCTCGGCTTCCGCATCCTCCGGTGACAGAGCCACGCCAACGTTCGGCGTCTCCACGGCCAGTACTACAGCCCCAGCCACAGCCCCATCTTTGCCGACGTTCGGTGGTTTCGGCGGAGGTTTCGGTGCCACTGCAGCTTCTGCCGCGTCCGCGGCGGCAAGCAGCGCCATGCCGGCGCTTGGTATGCCAACGGGCTTCGGCAGTACGACAGGGACGCTGACCTTTGGTGCAGCGGCGGCACCGGCCGTGGGAACAGCTGGGTTGCCTGCGACGAGCACTGCCGCGCCGGCTGTTACAGGCGGCTTCAGCTTTGGCGTTGGTTCTTCAGCGCCCGCCACGGGAGCAACTGGATCATCATGCGGCGCGGCCCCGGCCGCCCCTTCTTTTGGCGCGCCCACGTTGGGGGCTCCTGCTGCCGCTCCCGGCGGCGCGGCGCCGGCACCGTCGTTTGGCGGCTTTGGGATGTCTTCAACTCCCTCGCCGTCTGGCAGCTCAGTCCCTGCATTCGGGGCGGCGGCAGTCACCCCAAGCTTTGGTGCGACACCGTCGCCTTTTGGGGGTGCGTCATGGTGCAGCCATTCTGATAGGATTAGCTGCGGTCGATTCTCGACATCTCTTGACATTTTTTCATCCTTGTTATGGCTCAAATGAGATGCTGAGTCCGTTGGCTCTGCGGAGAACCGTCCGCTAAGGAATCCGGGGCCATTCCCTTAAACTTTTTCCACTCCTGGCTTACCGCTTCACGTGTAGGTGCGGCTACGAGTGCATTCCCTGCACCAGCCGCAGCCAGCACACCAACCTTCGGTGCCCCTGCGAGTGCGCCTGCATTTGGCGCAGCCACCAGCGCACAGGGCTTCGGTAGCTCCGCAAGTGCGCCGGCGTTCGGGTCAACGAGTGCGGCGTCCATGACACCCACTTTCGGCGGCGGGTTTGGCACAGGTGCGAAAGGCTTTCCTCAGCACAGCAGCACAGTATTCAGGCATGCGTGTGCAGGCACGACGGATCTAACGGTGTACTGAAGTGCGCATGGCTTGTCGCTGCGCCATAGTGTAACGTACTATCAGCGTGACTTCTAATCTCTGCCGGACGGACTTTTTCAGATTCTGTCGCTGTTAACTTCTCTGGCAGTACCGCAAGCCACCTTGACCAAGTCTCTGAGAATGAATTGCCCGTCTGCAATCCTCCTCTTTCTCCCGTCGTTCTCTCAGCCACATCTCAATCGGCGGCGTCCATCAGCTTCGGCAGCACAGCTGCCCCTGCACTGTCAGCGCAGCCGAATGCCGCATCCGGCGGGACCACGGCTCCGGCCGCCTCTGGTTTCTCGTTTGGGCCCACCGCCGGCGGAGTGCCGGCACTCACATTCGGCGGCAGCAGCGCACCTGCCACTATGAGCTTTGGGACTGCTTCGTCCGGACCTTCCTTCGGCAGCTCTAGCGGGACTGCACCGGCGACGTTTGGATCCCCTGCTCCGAACACCTTTGGAACGAGTTCCACGCCTTCATTTGGTTTTGGCTCAGGTGGGCGCATACATATTTATGTGTATGTACTTAAGTGAACTGAGCCGCGGGATGTAAGAAGTCACATGCATAACTTTACCGAAACAAGTATTGCAGTAATGAAGTGGTAGAAAAAGCTGTGTGCCACCTGGGTGTATGCCATGCAGCTCCCGCAGCCAGCGGCTTTGGCGCCGCATCAGCCCCTGCCTTTGGCTCGAGCTCAGCACCTACGTTTGGATCAAGTGCAGGCCCCCCGGCCTTTGGTACCAGCTCAACTCCCGGGTTCGGCGTCAGTGCGGCGCCGGCGTTCGGAGCGGGCTCGGCACCAGCCTTTGGGGCCGGCGCAGCTGCTCCGGCGTTTGGGGCACCAAGTGCGGGGTCGTCTCCATTTGGGGCCACGGCAGCACCCGCTTTCGGTAAGCGTTGATGACTACGGAACTCACTAAACGATGCGTTGGGCAGGCATATCTATCTATCTATTCGTATCCCTTTTTCCTCTTATGTCCGCGGACTTGCAGCTATTTCCATTACCTCCAGACGGCCCAATACTTCTAGCTGGGCTCCATGCCCGTTCTTTTGCATCACCGTGAAGGTGGCTGTGGTGTCCTCAAGCTCATGCACATGGCTCATGTCTTAAAATTGCTCCCGCCTGCTGGCCCGTAGGTACAGCACCTCAGCCCTCGATGGGTGCACCCGCATTTGGTGCGCCACAGCCTACCGCGACACCGTCCTTTGGCGCTCCTGCACCAGCACCCTCCTTCGGGGTCCCGCAGCAGAACCCCTCTGCCACAATGCCCTCTTTCGGTGGAGCGCCAAGCTTCGGCACCGCGCAACAAGCAGCCCCAGCTTTCGGAGCCCCGCCATCCATGGGAGCGCCGACTTTTGGGACGGCAGCACCGGTGCCCTCGTTTGGGGCAGCGCCGCCTGCCGGTGGGGAAGGTTTCAGCATTGGTGCGGCAGGCGGCGACCGACGCCGGGTGACAGCATCAAGGAACAAGGGGCGTAGGTAGGCATTACGTTCATGCTTTGTTAGCGTCTTCCTGCGCTCCTTGGTGTTTTATGGCTGGCGTGCTTATTAACACACCGTTCGGAGCACTTGTGACTCCGGAACCCTTGGGCAAGCGGGGCGGCTTTGCTTTTGCCTCGAGGGAAAAGGCACCGCGTGTCTGTTGGACTGCACAATCTCGGAGTAAAGCAGGGATAATACATACTTGCCAAGGCAGGCCCGTTTAGGGGATGTTTGGGGGGATGCAAGGTATAGAAGGCACTGAGGGGCTTTGCATGGATGAGGTTACTTTGTGAGGAAGCCAGTAGTTCGTGCGGTGGCTGGTGAGGCTCTTTAGCCGACTTTGATTCTTGGTGTGGTCTTGTTGTTTGGCGCAAGGCAGAAGGGAGGCGAGCGCTGCATTGCTCCGCACGGGTCGGGGAATTAAATTAAAATTCCATGGCTTGAGATGCTTTGGGAATGGCGGTGTGAGATGTGCGACCCGCTACACAGTGCCTGCTGCGCGCCGAAGGCTCTTCAGGTCATCCAGTGGTGCAAGAGGGGGCGGACATGTGTCGCCTCATCCTCTATATGTGTTTGATGGTAAACTGGGAGGGTTACATCACCTGGCGGTGTTTCTGTTACTGAGGCTAAGCTGTCTTCGCTACGAAGCTTCTACCTCGATGATGGATCCGCGCTAAGTTTGACCGTGCCAAGCTCCGCAAACGGGGCAAGCACAGGGCAATGCACTCTTTTCGCCTTAGTTGCAAGGGAAGCGGAATTTTGACGGGTACGTTCATACACCTGAAATTATTCAGTTCGTCCGAGTCTTAAAATAATCCTTTTTAAGACGTTTTCCAGCCGTCAGCCATGAGCCTATTCTGACTGTTGCAACAAAACTTCATCTGCGGCCATATTGCATGGCGCCGATGGCTCGAGCCCCGCAAAATTCCAGAGTATTGCCCGTGACGACACGAAGAGCAACTCAGTTTCCTCTCTCGCCCGACGCACACGGATATCCTCCTGCATGCCACCGAGTCAGAGTCTTGCAGCTACTCTCCCAGGATACTCCTTAAAGAGGGCAGAACGAGTGTTCCAATGCCCTCATTTCCTTTCACCGCTCTTAAATGCTACACCATTTATGACCTGCAGCGCTCTCAGACTTAGTAATTAGGAGCCGCAAGCACTCCATGCTCCAGCTTTCCTCTGCTCTGCACTCCGTGCTTTTTCAGCCGGCACGATAAAATTGCTCCACATATTTACTACCAGTTCTATATTCCTCGTCAATGTGCCAGACTAGTAATTATCGAGGTCACGCGGAGCCCGGGGTGAGGCCAGCCACCCCATTACTAGCTCCTCTAGTGATTAATCCATGCCCGAGGCCCATTTTAAATGTGAACCATCGGAGCTATGTAAAACACGACTATTGCTGTGATGCTAGGGCCCCGTGCCCCGCGCCGTTCCGGGTGTAACCTCCGTGTAGTCTTGCAGTCCGCCAATCTTCCATGGCGGCCAATACTTCACCACAGCGCGCCCCACAATGTTCTCCTTGGGCAAGGGCCCCCACAGATGCGAATCGTAGCTATTATTGCGGTTATCGCCCATCACGAAGACCTGAGGGGTAGTTGGGTCAAAATCCAAGAGCCAAAAATACATTTACTTGAGTAGAATCCTGGACGCCAGAGATCGATTCTGAAGGCGGTTACGGTCCTAGTAAAATGCTAAGGGTTCTTCAGCCCATGGGAACTGCCAAACAGCACAACGCCGCAGATTAAGGTGGAAAGGCGAACGGACACCTGCAATTCCACATGTTGGTCCGCCCATCGACTGATACACGCAACCTGCTGGCACCCCGTCACATGGCATTTCCATTCCGTGATGCCCTTCACTCACATCCCCTGGAGGCACAACAAGCTTCGGCATCTCGTACAGGGGTTGCTCCGCGATGAATGGCTCGTTGCGCGCGACTCCATTGACGTATGTCCGGCCGTTACGGACCTGCAATTAAAACAAAACAGGCCAGCATTCCAATCGGTTGCATTTCGGGGTAACATCAAGATAAGGGACGACACGAAGACGCACTACACAGCCTGCTAGGTGCGAGAAAAGCAAGCAGGTCCCCGGGGCTTGTACACAACTCCGTACTGGGACAACCTAACCTATCAAACCTACGTGTTATAGGAGCAATATAGGAAAACGGGAAACAGGCGCCCATGTGCGACACCCGGTATGGAATCCCATCCTATAATGCCCACATTCTCGACACTCCAGTGGCGGCCTCAGTTCGGGCTGTGCCTCCGCGTCAGGTCCCCCTACGAGCCACAGAGTGGTCCTCGGCAGGGTTGTCCCTCAGCTTCGGGAAAAGGAAAGAAAAAGAGCCAGATCATCCTCGGCGGCCACAGAGGTTCCACAGAAGCTTCTACCCCTGGCCCTAGGCGGAAATACGACCCGTCCCACACCATAATTATCGTGGGAACACCGCGTTTCTCTGATCCTGCCGTCTCTCAGTCCCTAAATGTTGCTGATCTTGACCCATTAGATGCACCAAGACCTCTCCTTCACTGGAGAAGCGATTACCAGATGACGACACCCCTTCCTCAGAGGGGAGGTGTTGCGATATGGACAGCGAACCTCTTGCAGGTGTCTCACCTGCCTTGCCACTTTCGCTGTCCCACGGGAACGTTGCTTCCAAGTGACCTCCCTTCCCAAATACATGCCGACGGACGCAGCAGCTCGCAACATGTGAGCCACAGCCACATGCTTTACGGCGAGTCCCCCACACGCATGAAAGCCCTCGTAGCCAGAACATCAGTGACACTTCTACACAAATGTAATCCCAAGCGTTTCAATGGCGCTAGACGCTTCACCTCAATGGTGTCTCCCTCGACTGCCACCACGCGCTTAATGTAGACGTTGTCATCTCCGAAGATGGAGGGCTCCGGGGAGATCTCCTTTGGCGGGTGGAAGATGATCACGTCGCCCGGCACCGGGTCCCTGCAGCAAATTGCGGTCAGGAAAAGGTGCTGACAAGGGAGGAAAGAGGAAAGGAGGAAGGCTGTGGGAGTGCGAACCCAAATGTTGAAGATCATTTGGCAGACGAAGCACCCAGGGCGGGGCCCCGTGAAAAGCGGCCTGACAACGGAAGGCGCAAAAGAGGACTCTTTCGCGGCTCCAAGGAGCTAGGAACGGTGGAAAGGACCGAAGATTGATGCCAAGCCAGGCACTAGTGGACAAACGTACAAAGAATAGGAAAAGAAATATGATGCTGGGTATCGCAGCGCGCCGCGGCACAGGGTCCTGGACGCTCGGGCATGCGGCCGCGTGAGACTCACACGACCTGGGCTCGCAGGCCTGCGCCGTGCTAAACATCCTGGTTTGAACCCGGCATCCCGCGCTGCTGTCGTCGTTGCAGACACGTTGTCGCACCTAATAAAGCTGTAGGTGACTTTCTCGGCTATGAGCCGGTCACCCACATCAAAGGTGGGGTACATGGATAGAGACGGGATGAAGCGGGGCTCTGCCACGAAAGTCCGTATCCCGTACGATATCGCCACGGCCAGCGCGATAGTTAGGAGGTCGTCCTTGCTGATGCGAAGTCCGAATGCGCTAACATAGTCCGAGCTGGAGCTTGGGGATCCGGAAGACGAGGAAGATGAGGAGGAAAATGAGGAGGAAGCGCCGCTGCTGCTGTCCCTACCGCTGCCGCTGCTACCGCCGGTGAGGGTCCGGCCGCTCACCGACGGGTCTGAACCGCTGCTGCCCCGCTCAGAAAGGGCAGCTGGTGCTGTTGTATCCGGTGATGATGTGCGCGCCTCCGTATCTGTGTGGTGCCAACCGGCCATTTCACACACGGTTCAGCAGAAGTAAAGGAAGCTCAGGACAGACCCCAAATATAATGCATATAACATATGCGCACCTGACGACGTCGACTGTATTGGAGCGCCCCGCGCTGGGACCCTAAGGTTGGGAACAAGTGGTGCGCCAACTAGCCTGCAAATTGAAGGCCAGAGCAAAGGAGCACCACTGCTCACTGACATTCAATAATCCGGTGCTAGAACGTCTAGGCCTGATGAGTTGCAGCAGCCAACCGCGAAATACATAGAAAATCGCCTTTAACAGCACGCATGAAGGCGCGACATGAACGTACCTAAAGCATATAGTGTTTACTGGGTGTCCTGATGGTGTGCATGGGACGCGAGGCGCCAAACGTGTTAGCGTATGCATGGCTGCCAACTGGGGTGCTGCACTATTGGCAAGAGCTGAGCAGCCCAAATTATGCAGATACCAATCCCTCTCGAAAAGGATGCGACCATGTTACGTTGCTGCGCCCGAGCTTAAGAGAAGATGCCCGTCTCCACCTGCCGTACAAGCAAGCTAAATGAAGCTATGGTATTATTTGAGCAACATTCAACTCTGCTATGATTCGCTGCTCCTGAGAGTTCCGTTTTCAAATTCATTGAGATTCTACTGACCGGCAGAACCCGGACTTGCGACTGTACTGTGATACAGCTATCTGAGACGCTTAGCTAAATTAGCAATCTGTGCCCTGAGGGGCATCACAATTCCCAAACTGTAGCTGGGTCATGGACATCGGGACTCCCCTAGTTGAAAACGGGCCACCTGCTGGGCTGCGCGCACCTTTGAGCGCTCCCTACATCGAAACTCATAATCAGGGGCTTCATCGTCACAACACAAAGCTACCACGGCTGCATTGGTACGCATACAAAGGTGCGCGAAGGTGCTGGGTTGCAGGCGCTGGGATGGCGTTGCTCGACTGAGCAGTGATCTCAGCCAGAAATGTCGCATTTAACTACGGAAACCATAATTGACAATATCATGCTGCTGTCTTACTTCGTCCTGGTTTGGCTGATTAGCTCGGCACCCCGGGCCCACGATTTCGCAGGTGACATCCAAGGCGTGTTGCAATGTATCACCGAAACTAGCGGCATACACGAAACAGTCTCGCTCCGCAACCAGCATGGCCGGCTTGTGTGCGGGGTGAGTCTGTCGCTCGGAGGCCGTCCATCGCAGCATCGAGTTTGCCGTTCATTAGAGTGCACTGCGCACCACGAATAAACTCCACCGAAAGATTTCCGAGTCTGATCCACTTCACATATTTATGGAACGTGCTGTCGGCATCCGGGGTGACAGATAGACAGACTGAAGGAACCGCCCTCGCTACATGACGTTTTCGACGAGTCTGAGCGGTGCCAGCTATCCAGCAAGCATCGCTGATTCGTTCAGATGGCATGTCTGTGGCATGCTGGCTGCGGACCAAGATATCGTACAACGCAGCGTTTGTGGGTTTGGAGCTTAGGCGGNGGGGGGGCCCTCCCGGGCCTTCCCGGCGTTNAGCTCCAAACCCACAAACGCGACATCGTACGATACCTCGGTCCGCTGGGCACTAGATTCCTTCAGGTCATTCAGGTCAGCAATAATACCCTCACGTATTCGCGCATCCCCAGCTTTCCGTGGCATCGTTTCCGCCTCGCAGCCCTCAGGTCTCTTCCCTTCACGAGGCAGATCTTTCACAATCTGCTGCCTCCCCCCACGCCGCAACCACTCTCCTTAGTCTCCACCACCGCCACCACCACCACCCACTCCCCCTCTTGTATACCGCAGCCTGCTTCCCGCCTACCCCCAACCTATTACGAGCCTTGCTCCGCGACCCCACTCTACCCGACCAGTGGCTCACCAATTCACTCCACCCCATTACATGCATGCACCCGACCCAGATCACGGCGCTCTTCCTGGCGGCCCAGCGGGGCCACATGGAGATTGCCAAGCTGCTTGTGGCCAGTGGGGCCAGTCCCGTACAGCCTTGCTTTATACAGGTGAGCTCCCAGACAACGGGAATTCCGGTTTAGGGGGGTTTGTGTTACATGTGGGAAGTATTGGACGTTGGGTGGGGACCAGGGCCCGGCCCTGGTCCAACTACCGCCATGCCGCCAGGACGACCGGCGCGCGGCCCCAGGGAACAAGCGTGTGGGGGTATGGGGCGTACGAGCACCTAAGGGGAAAACGTGCCATGGTGAAGTCATTACGTAACGGAAGAGGCGGCGGAAGCGGTGTTGAGAGGGGGGCCCCGAGGCGGGCCGGGAGGGAATACGTATCGTGAGGAGACAGGTGGCGGGGTGGGGCAGATGGAGTGCTGGACCTGGCACTTTCACGCGGGACCTCGATCTGTTCTGGCATAGACCGCCAGAAAGGTTTTTGCCGCATCGCCATGTGTTTGCGACAAAGGCATCGTGCGAGTCGAGGGTGGCTCACGGGAGTCGAGGGTGGCTCACGGGCTGAGAGTGTTTTACGTGCCGCAGGGTAGCACGGAGCTGTGCACGCCCGCTGAAGTGGCGTCCCTCAACTTGCACTTCAAGCTGGCCAGGTAAGCTGAGCTGCTGGCAGGAGGGCCATGGGGAGAGGGGAGGAAGGGGAGGGGATGGTCGGGGCGCCCTGCGGGCGGTGTTCCAAATTGTTGGGAGGGGAGGCCTGTTGGGACCCCGTGCTGCTGGTAGTGCTGGTGCTGGTGCCTCCTGGGCCGTGACCAGGGCAGAACACAGGGAGTGAGGAAGGACTTGGCGCCCCGCCAGAATGCTTAGCCAGCAGTGGGGTTGGCGGGTGTTGGCGATGCTGGCAGGATGGGGACATGGGGATTAGGGAGGAAGCCAAGGTGAGGCGCCCTGAGTGCAAAAGAATATTGTACCGAGGCGACCAGAAGCTAGCCGCGACAACACACACCGTTGTATGCGCGATGCGTTTGAATGGAAAGGTTTTTAAATTACCCGGTGGGGACGGAGGGGGTGAGCCCCGAGGCGCTCGGAGAGAAACACGCCACGCTTTCTTCTTCTTCTTCTTCTTCGGAAGCTGTGAGGCCCTCAGTGAGGACATTCCCTGGTGCGGGGCCTTGCTGGCACGGAGCTGTCCACCGGGACCGGATACAGCGGATCTCACCGGCGGCGGGTGCTTGCCTTGCCTTGCCTTGCCATGATGTGTGCCCTGCAGGTGGCTGAAGCACGCGGCACGGGCCAGGCAGCGGGAGGATGAGGTCCTGGCATTGGATGACGAGGACCGAATTTCACAGGTGGGTCGATGGCGCGTTGGTAGTGTAGGCCTCAGGTCTGTAAGAGGTGGGTAATGGCGGGTTTGGGGGATTTGTCGTCTGCGGGGCAGTCGGGCAGTGGAGATGCCGAGAGTGGAACATGCGCTGTAGTTCGAAGTGTGGGGAGCTGCGGGTGCGTCTGCAGGGAGCATGTGCGTTCGATGGCAGAGGAGGGCAGTGTGTGAGGGTACGCACCGGGCTGAAAGGGGAAAGGGTAGGGCGCCTAGAATCATGTTCTACGGTGACATCATGGGTTTGCTGTTTAATAACACCCGCAATCCAGACGGATGACTGAATAGCCTATGCTGCAGTTTACTGACGAGAGGACTTGCATACATACATACATACATGTTTGTATTCACAGGTTTCAAGTCGCCTGGCACGGGGCCTACAGCGAGCGCGAAGCATGCAGAGCAACCCGGCAGCTGGGGCCGGTGGTATGTCGATATCGGGCATGTTAGCGAGGATGTCCCGCGGGTCGCGACATGGCGGCGGAGCCATGTCAGTGGAGGGCGGACCCTCGCTGTCGCAGCTGGGCTACGGTCGCGAGGGGCCCAGGTCCGTGGTGGATCCGGTAGAGGCGGATGCGCAGCGGGTGGCGGCGCTGAACTTCATGCAGGTGTGCTGGTGTCGTATTGGCGGGGCAGGGCGGGTTGCGTGGGCTTCCGAGGAGAGCACAGTCGGTTGGAGCTGGCGTGCTGGGGGGGGGGGGCGGTTAATTGAGGTGGGGTTGCAGCCGCGTGGGGTAACTCGGGCAGAGCTACGCCGGGGAGCGCGGGGCAGCAGGCTTGGCGAGAAGCAAACCGGTGCGGGGGGTGCTGCTGTCCGGGTCCGCGGTCTTGCATGTCATGATTCCTCCGGGTCCTCCGTCCTACCAGCTCCCCCACCTCTCCAGCCGGGGGACTTAGGGCCACAGATGATCAGCTATTGTGTGGATTGCGCACATCTTCCACTTCCATTACCACACCTTCTCTTTCCACCGCCTCATCCTGGTCCTTTCCCCGGCGCGTCCCCGCGCCCGTGTTCGCCCGTGTTGTTGACTTCTCTTTGCGAATAATCCCCTACCTCCCCACCCCACCGCTCCGGTCACTGGCCCCCGTGCTGCCGGGACCTCGCCCGCCGGCCCATGTAGCATGTACCTGGTGTAACCCGCCCTGGCTGGTCGCCGTGAGGTCCCCCTCGCCTGGCCCATCATCTCGCACTGCCGCCCACTGCCGGCCACGACGTCCTTTCCCCCGCGCACCCTCCTTCCCCAGCCCTCAGTCACTTCCCCGCTCTGACACCGCCAGACCTCCCCAACCCCCATTCGACCCGTACCTTGACGTCCTTCTTGCCTCCTCCGCGTTGCTCCCTCAGCAAGTTGACCTGGCGGCGTTCGATCCGGAGGTTGGCGACCAGCCCGTCGTGAAGACACCGGCCGCCGGGGGAGGATCCTTAAAGAAACTTTTCCGCCGTTTCATCTCCCTGGGCAGCAAGGAGGGCGCCGTAGTGGGTGCCTGTTCCGCGGGGCCCGGTGCCGGCGGCGGCGGCAACGGAAACCTGGCCTCGGTGTATGCATCCGCATCGGCCCGTGTCCCCCGGAACAACGGCGGGCTGTACCGCGGCGGCCTGGGATTGGACTATGAGGTGAGGGGTTGAGCGAGGGATCATGGACAGGGACTGCGGCCCCATGGTACGTTTGTAACTTATGTTATGTACATGGCATGTGGCTTGTTTGCACAGAGTATACCAGGACTGTCAATATGATGGTGACTTCTGCGAAACAGATTTTTTCAGAATTTTTCGGCTTTGCTTACGAACACACACACACACACACTCACGTCGCGGCGGCTCGGATTATTTAGACACACTCACTCTCTTTCCCTCGGTCACGTTTCCTTCACCTCGCGCCGATTCCCCGCAACGCCCCCGTTGCCCCGGCTCCCCCGGGCACCCCCTGCAGGACCCCACCCGGCCCGACCACACCAAGGTACTCCAGCGCTTCCTGAAGGACCTGGTAAGTGGGCGGAAAGGAGGAGGAGGAGGAGGAGGAGGAGGGGAAGCTGGGGCTGCAGTAGACACTGGCCAGCAGCGGCAGGAGGGGGAAGGCCAGGGGGGAGCAGCAGCGCCGCCTTTGCAGCAGCACCTTGGCGGCTGTCGTGCTGGTGGTGAATGGTACCGCCTTCGCCTCCCGTCTGCAGTCAAGCCGAAACGGCGTCCTTGTACTGTGTCCTGTCCGCTCGCTTGCAAGTACACATGCAAACGCGACCTCGCCGCCCTGCCATACACGCCGCTTACATGCGAGCCCACACACTCAAGACTACCAAAAGGCGTTTCTGAGGTTGAAACCGCTTTGCCCGCTTTGGAGAAGTCCTCCCCCACCCCCCGGGATAGCCTACACGGCACCTGGCGCCGCGTTGACACTGACATTGCCAGCGACTCCATCCTACTTGCCGTGACATCCGCGCCCCCATTACCCACCAGCGCCATACTTAGCCCAAAAATCATATCCCTAATCTGTACTCAATGACGTGTTATTGTTGGGTGGGTGCTGCCGCACTCGTATCAGGATCTGGCGCACTGGCGACCCGAGAACGACGGGCCCCTGGAGCGCAGTACCATCGGCGGCAACAGCACACGACCAGCCTCCCCAAACCGGGGCCGTCCTAGCTCCCCGCCGAGGAGTGTGAGGGCCAACACCAGCCCAGCCAGGACACGTCCGTGAGGGAGGGCCAGCCTGTGCCGGGCGGCGGCCTGCTGATCATGGAGGCGCGGCTACGTGCAACGGCTTGTGGTTTTATTTGGGTTTTACTTCTTTCCGTAGCTCCCAGCCCCGTCTCTGCCTTGCGGGTACGTGGTGGAGGTAAATGCGGTGCAGGTGCAGCTTGGTCGGCGTCGGACAAACTCGGTGCGTCGACAGCGGCGAACCTGAGCTAGGGAGTGGCGCTGTTGTGCGGCACTGGGAATGGTGGCGGCGGAGGTGGGTTCCTGACGGCAGCAGCCACCCCGAGGAGGACGGGTTGTCCGCCAAGAGCAACAGCAATAGCGGCGCGTAATAGCGCCGCCGCTGTATATATGTGTGTGCGTGTGTGTTTGTCATGGCGGCCAGCCAGCCGCCTCCCCCAACTTGCTTTGGGAACGGGTGCCTGTGTAGTAGGTTCATCATGCGGGGCCCTGCGTGGGATCAAGCCACGGCTCCGGAGCAGCTGTCTTTTCCTCCTTCGGCGGCCGTATGGAGAGATCTGGCTATCTGAGTACCCCTAACCATCTGTGGCGCGTGTGTGTGAGGGATGTGTGTGTGTGTGTCTTTTGTGTTCCACCACTGGGGGACGCAAGCCAGCACACGCACACACACTCTCTGACCGGGAGAGGCTCTCAAGGGGACCCCGCCCACCCACCTGCACCGTACCAGCACGGGCACCAGAACTCCCATCAGCCTTCCAGCAGCTCACGTGCTAGGGACCAGAGACCGTCTTTGTACCTTTATGTCTTTGAGAGGAGGGCGGAGATGCGTCGTATGCATGCTGGGGTTGGTGGTGACAGTAGCAGTGGTTGTCGTGGCGCCGGCAATGACGTCCTGGGTGATGGCACGGCCTAATTGCGCCACAGTAGTGTGGAACGTGTGGAACACTTTCTTGTGTTATCGGGAGTTGCGTTTGTCCGGTGGGGCCGCCTGTTGGGGGCCCCAGAAGGGCCTTCTGGGCGCTGAGATGACTGGTTCTCGGCATTTAGCCACGCACTGTGTGTGCTTCTTACTAGGCGCATATGCGTTGAGGTGGTCGCAAGGACCACCTGAAAGACGAGTCGCAGGGTGTCCCGTGCCGTTGGTTAACCCGCATTATGCGCTGACCGATGTGCCGAGGAGGTGGAGGAGGAGGAGAGGGGGACGGAGGGGGAAAGTAAAAAATGGGGAGGGAGGTTTCCGTGCTCCCGGTGGCCAGAGCGCAGCGATGTGACCGAAAAGGAGGTGTGTGGACAGCGCACTTGCCACCACCGACTTGAAGGTGCAGCTGCGGTGCGGCGACTTTTGTTTAAGGACGTGGCTACTGGATGTTGCCGGAGGGCGATGGTTGGGGTGTGGACTTCGCGTTGAAATGTTGTATGCGTGACCGACCGGTGCTTAAGGGCTGCTGCTACCCGCCATGCGGGGATGGCCGGGTTCAGGGTCAAGGGGGAGCCCATTACTGGGACCGTGTGTGGGTGTACCTTTTGATGTTTCCTGGACGCGTTGGATGCGAGTTGCATGATGTCGCTCTGTGGTATGATGTCATGTTATGCAACGTTGGATGGAAGAGTTGATGGCGGACAATGCGGTGGGGTCCTGGTTGCTCTCCGGACACACCCACGCAGCGTCTCGTGTTTGGTTGTGAGAGCGCGTCTGGCTAGATCGCATGCCGCACGAGGCATGGATGGGCGATTGGAGGCATCTGGGCTTGGGATGGCTGAGAATGCAGCGGGCCTTGGGTTGCGGAGCAGGAAACACACACGCGCAGAGCGTTGAAACGGCATTGTGTGGTAATGCAGATGAGGGAGCTTGCCCTTTCTTTTGTCCTTCATCACTTGCTCTTATTGCTTGCTTTTTGCTCTGTTAGGACCTCTCTCAGCAGCATGATGTGTATCTTTTATGTGTATCTCTTCAATTCCTTCTTCGTATCCTAATATTTTGCTCGAGTCCAGCGTGGTCAGCTGTAGTCGGGGCTTGAACGATGAGGTAGCTGCCGCCTAAGGCCATTGGCGTAATTTCCCGCTTAAAGTGCTGCTGCATATGAAGAAGGGGCTTGTGAATCCTAGAATATCGTTTTTAGGAAAGTTTGGGTAGTGCTGGCTCCAGGTTGCAGCCCGCGATGCACTTGCGTGGCTGGGTGGCTTCAGCCATCCTGCGAGGGTTTTCTCTTTTACTAGTGCACACTGGTTTGCTGACTTCAGGCGCGTCTTAATGCGTGCACTGTTGTTTTCGTGGTGGGCCATCGGCTGGTGGGCTGTGCTCGGTAACATCTTGCGTGCACTGCACAGCGCATGTTTGGGCTGAAAAGACGGATATGCTTAATCTTCCCGGGGTTTGTGTGGTCCCTAACGACACGGCTGCCGTCTACACGGATGGGCGTGGATTGGGGACGTACGGCTGCGCAGAGATATTTTGCTTCCGTTTGCCCGCACGTTTTTGAGTGCTTGCGTTAGCACTGTGACATTAAGTGCGCTTGCGAGGGTTGCGTATTGGCAACTGAAAGCCTAGGGATCTACTGTGTGCTCGATGCGTTGTTGTGGCATGACTTGGCCGCAGCTGTATGGATTCGTTCATCTAGTGCTCACGACGTTGCCGACTGGGAGTTTTCTCTCTTTAGGCTCTTATGCTTCTGTGCATCATGTACGATGCGGCCTTGAAACTGCTTAATTTCGTACCTCGGCTGTGTTGGGGAGTGTTTTGTGCTCCGCAGTGGGACCTATGGAACTAGGACCTGAAGCAGGGGTATAGATGTTATCACCTTGAGGTCTGGAGACGGGCCATTCGAGATGTTGTGGGTCTGAATGCTTGGGCGAAACCCTGAGATCTGCAAGGGGAACGAGAAGTGTAGCTCGGATAGCCTGTGCACGTAACTTGTAAATATATGTATTATCAAATGCGGCCACTGGCAGTAGATTAGGTTACCAGATATCCATGAGTCTGCGCACGCCGACGTTGCCTTTATACAGCGTATACTCTTTACATTTGCTTACTGCTAGATGTTGCGAACAGACCGAATCAAGAGGCATGAGTGAGCTCAGCGAAAGAGGGCATCACACCGAATTACATCCCGACGGATCTAAGGGCTTGCGTGATGGGTACATAAATAATGGATGGGTACATGCATGCCATAGTTGCACCATCCATCGAAAACACAAACCACCGCAGTTGCACCTCCTGACCGCAACACTAATAAACGGTAAAGTGCGGCAAGGTCCCCATAGAGAACAGGCGCCAACATGCGGACCAGAACCCACCAAATCAAAGAGGCCTGTTAGAGTTGCGTCGAGGGTTCGAACACAGCTAGCAACCAAGCTCGTTCTAATAGCCCAATCGCAGCCGTAATCACTGGGAATCCTCCGTCAAAAAAATGCCGGAGATGGAGCTGTTATGGAACAAGTATGGACCACATATAGACAAGCCTTATGTAACCTTGGCCCGTTCTCTTCTCACCGAAGGGCCGGCATGGAATATCTGACCAAGGCCACACCAGTGCGAACGTCAGTGTGCAGTCACCCATCAAAATCCATCGTCCGGGTTCCCTAGTGAAAACATGGTAGTGTCCCTCCACAGGCCACACCCACAAGCCTGTCTCTCGAACCCTCGCATCAAGACCGCGTGTAAGCCTCCGCTCCTCCACCAAGGGCCCCGGATTAGAGGTTCTACCAGTGCCCTGCCCAACTACTTGGCATGCACTGCAATTACCACTCGTGCGGCAGGTAGAGCACAGAGCCGGCCAGACACCACGGCCCCCCTCATGCTATAACGCAAACATTGTCAAGACACAAGAGTACCACGAAGAATGCATGTCCGTTTTGCGCTGCACATAGGCAGCACATCAGTTGGTTCACCGCTCAAACTCCTGCATCATCGTAAATGGGCAACGATGAAGCTGTACTAAGACCGTTCCAGACGGCGCTCGCCGCTGCGAAACACCGGACCCGCCAAAAGACCTTACACGGTCCGAATATGATACATGCACGCATGATCGTCGATGTCTTCAAAATACTGCCAGGGGGGACCATTGTATTCAGGAAACTCGGGAAACGATTGCCCTCGGAGCGCACGAGGCCACCGTGCCGTCACGTTGAGAGAGTCCTTAGTCCAAAACCGTTAATCGCAGTGCAAAACGCATGAGCATACCTGCTTTAATAATGTCTTGATCATTCGGTAAGCTACAATTGAATACATGATAACACTCTTCGTCGACTGTCAGGTCCCTAGCTCGAATAATTAAGGATTGCCGACCAGAATCGAGTGCCGAGCCCAGTTGAAAATGCAAAACCTGGCTTCCAATACCCACATGGCGCTGGGATCACCTCGTAACTAAGTAGATCTTTCCATGCGAGATGACTCAATGCAGTCCGACGAGCTGGACGGCAAGCGCGTTAGAAGATTTCAAAGTGTTCCGCGGCCATTTAGCATGACACAGGCGTATGAGCCCGGCGCTTCCACGGCGCATTTATTTCATCACTCTCGTCGCCAACCCGTTTCCTGTAGAGCAGGAAAGGCAAGTCGACTCCAAATTCTAAACGCGGACTTCTAGGACGCAGGATGCCATATGGACTGCAGCTATCCTATATCAAAATCCAACTGCGAAAATTGCAAAAAAGTTTACAGCCAATCCCACCTTGCCGGTGGCTCCCCGTTCATAACGTCTTGCTCAAATGGCGGGTGAAGCTTCTTGCTGATGCGACAGATGGTGTTATATCTCTGAAAATAGCAGGACCAATAGGTCAAGGATACCCATTATAAGCGCCAAAGTGGTCCACCAGCCGCCTAGGCCATGTTCGACTTACATCGTGATAAAGCCTCTGGTTGCAAGTTGAGTCACAGATGTGAACCAGCCCTGAGCTGATACATCGGTACATGTTGCCAAACTCGTGGACCACACTACATGAATGTCCGCAAACGTGTTGAAGGCTGAGCGCCGATGCGTGCAGGGTCGTCATGTTATGTAAGCTTGTCTAACTTGGATAAGATAGTGCCGAAGTGGAAGGCGCACTTGCAGAGCCTGAATTTGCAGAGGGGACTCGCAGCTACGGATTATTCGGAGTTGTAGGTCCTATTTAATGGCCCGCGCAATGGAGTTAGCAGCTCAGGTACAGTTGTTGCCATGCAAACACATCGAACATACAGAAGGCGGGCAATCACATAAAAACATTTTGCGAATGCAACATGTACGGTCCGTACAGGTGTTTCCATGCATTATGCTTTTGTGATTGCGCATCCCTTATAATAATTTCTCTCCATATTAGTGTCATCATGCTAGCCTCATATACCTTATCTACGTTTTGCACTTGGCAGCTTTCGTAAAGTGTCTGCTTGAGCAATGAGCATCCCCATGTGTTGCCAAGCTTTTCAGGAGGCCGAAACTGTTGTGGCCTTAGGGAAGTGGGGTTACCAGCACGGACACCATGGTCTGCACTTGCAGCAATATTTGAAACCCTACTACTCCCAAGACAGCCCGCATCCCAGGCTCACCATGTTTTTTGGTTGCCATCGTTACAGGAGGAACCGACTCCATGGACACACGCACAGGCCATCTGCGACACCCTTCGACATTCGAGAGCACCGCATACCAACAATCCACCAAGAAATCCCCACGCTTGCAGTAACCCAAGCAAACGCCTGTACTCCCAGCGCCGGTCGATGAGATCCCCACCACGAACCCCCTCGAGGCTGAACCCCAGTACCCAAACTTGCATCCCATGCAAGATCAGCTTCCACCAACCACCTTTCCTGGGACTAGATCATTCAGACAATATTCCCTCCTCCCTCCCTCCGGAATTATTGAGCCGCCAACAGGCTCTTACTCAGCCATGTGTCACACAACCCTCCCACAAAACGTTCCCACAAATCTCATGCCGGATGCCCCCTTTGCAATTAGGCATGATATGCATCTCCTACATATCATACACCTTTCGTCTTCGACCGTGACGCCCCGGCGGCGCTACCCGCCACAACGCACCTCGAGAACCTCCCTGAGGTCTTCTCCGATACGTCACTCGTTGAGAGCACTCACAGACTCTACATTCTGGGTTTCTATAGTCTTGTGTGGCAAATGCCCTACTGTGGAATGGGTCATGAGTCGGCAGTTTTCTTTGACGAAATCGAGTGCCATCAACCAGCATCACCAGCATCACCATACCGCAGCTGCAGCCACGCCCCACCTTCCCCCCACTCCTTCACAGCCCTCGTATCTCCTTCACAGCGGTCATCTCAGCCCCTGCCGTGGAGGCACCTTCCAGCTCTGACGCAGCGACGGGTCGCCCGTTGTCTGGTTCAGATCTGGTACGGCAGACCGCCGCCGCTGCTCCTTGTACGTCACCCGGACGCCACCAGGCTGCTCATGGTACCCGGGTACGTCCTGGGGGTCGGGGGGTGCCCAATACCGCTCCGAAAACCCTAGGCGGCGTAGCTTATTGGCGTAGGCGCTTGCTAGCGGCTTCCAGCGCTTGAGTCTGGTTAGCTGGGAGGCGGATTTGCAATAGCGCTGGTGACGAAAGTTGGCCTGCCGGTGCCACACCACACCATTTCGGTCCACAACGAAGCGGCCCAGCAGGTACCTGCGGGCGGAGGGAGGAGTGGGGTGTAGCCAAGATACGCAATGTGCGGGTGCAGGTAAGGAGATACACTGTTCAGGTGGGAGGTGGGGATATGTGAGAATGGGGAGTCGGACGAGGAGACCAAGATGCGTGCACAAATTTTGCAAAGTGGCAATTGAGGCGGGTGGGGGCCGAGGCAAATGATGGGACGAGTGACGTGGGCTAATGGTGGACAGGGCCAAACAAGCATGACGCCTGGCGCATCCAAGTGGTGTACAGCAACCTCGCGCAATCCCCTGCTCCAAATCCTGGGGAATGGTGCCCCGAGCCATGGACAAACGCTCAATACATTGCGGTAGTGAAGGCTATGCCCTGACTGCTTACAAGGAAACAGCGGTAATGCTTGCGACGTGCTCCTTGATGCTGAAACGCACACCGGTGCCACGTTGCGTAATACTTACTTGTACTCTGGCTGCGGCCAGATCTTTTTATATTTATCGTGCGTGTGAATTTGCGGATTGATCTTAGGCTTCGGGGTGCCGAACAGCCCCCTGGCTTGCGTGACAGCCCAGGGCAGACAAGGGTTCACCGAACAGGTTTGCACTCTGCAGGAGATGCTCTCCAAGCTGCGATCCATGCAAGGGATTCGCTGACAATCCATGAGCCCAAGTGTGGAGCTGAGAGCACTGTTGGCCAGCCCTCGCTGTCGACCAAGTTGTATGATAGTCGTTTCCCAGCTTTGGATTCCATTAAGGCTTATTGCACCGCCCTGATCTGCTGCAAGGTAGGCTCCCCGCAAAAGCTGTTGGCATCGTTGCAGCAGCCGCATCAGTTCCGATGGTGAACGCCCGAAGAAACTACCCACGACGAAAGAAATTATTAACGACACGAATAAATATATTAATTTAATATGTTAGAACGCTATGTACTGGAAAAGCAGTGAACGATTTGTTCACTCTGCAGGAGACAGGTTATTACAAATTTACAAGGAAGCATAGCAAACTACAACAAAACAAATTGAAGCTTCAGGTTTGCAATGCCGAATGAATTTTGGACCTGTACGAGCGTTACCGGGACGACAGTACACTTGGCTTTGTCAGCCGAAAGAAAAAGAAGCCACTGGTATGAGCTGGGAAGGTCCCATCCCCCCCTCTTTTCACGAGCCCCCAGCCCCCCACCCCCAATCCGGCCAAACCAACCAGGCAAGGCATGGATCGCATCGCTCGTGCTGCCCTGTCCCCATCCCACCACCTGGCAAGGCGTTGTCTACGCAATAACTTAACGACGTTGTAATCGAAGGACTCATTTTCTTGGACCTCTCACAAAATTGCCAGAAGTGAAGACCAAAAACACCAATCACGCACCAAAGCAATGCCAAAGCATCACTAGCATTCGCTGTTCACTATCACTTTTACTGTAACCGCCATCCTTCCTTTTACGGCAGGACAACCGAACTGCCCATGACACGGAGCAGGTCCAAGCTAGGGAAAAATCATGTCCCTGCTGTCGCTGTCGGCCAATCTCCCACTGGGAAAGCCCCGTAAGGCATCATCACCACCCGCATCAGCAGGGACTTGCGGAATACCACCCCGAATGCCGAGCCGTTTCAACCCGCAAACATTGTCCACATCATTTGCGTCAAGAAACCCCGCCCGCCCTGGCCTGGCGAGATGCCGCCTTGCAACGCACACAGCCAAAGCTACTGTTACTGCGGCTGCTGTTGCTACTGCTACTATTGCTGTTGCCGCGCTCGTGCCTCCCTGGCCACCTGCAGCTCCACCTGCTCCTCCACAGCGGCACTCTCCCGCTCCAGGGAGCCCACCACTGCCGCCAGTCGGTCCAACTGGACTTCCAGTGCCCCCAAACTGGCCAGTGCGGCCTGGTGGTACGTGGGCACCGCAAGGCCCAGGGAGGGAAAGTGTGAGGAGGGGGAGAGGGGGACCGCTGGGCACACTATTGGCCCATATCCGAATCATGTTTCCGCCCTTCCAGATGGTGGGTGGGTAATGGAGGGAGCGCCACTTCGGTGCCCATGGCCGGTGTGCGACCCGGCATGGGTTGCCTCTCCCCCATCTCTCTCCCACTGCAACCCACCAACAGGAAACCCGCTACGCCATCCCACATCACATCACGCCAGCCCCACCTTCAGCGGCTCATGCTGCGACGCCACTACCTCCGCCAGGTGTGCGGAGGCTCCCTCGGCGGCCGCCGCAGCCCTGCCGTACGCCACAGCGGCCTCCTGGTTGAGCGCCGTCAGCAGCTCTGCATCGGCGGTGCCCGCCGCCATGCCTGCGTGCGGACTTGAATGAGTCTGAGTTGGCTTAGTTGAGAGCTCCCCTTCTTGTCCGACGGGACAGGAAGGGGCGAGGCAAGGGAGCGGAGGAGGGGCCGGGAGGCCACCAGGGCCCCGGACAAGGGAAAGAGACACACACGCAACACACCACTCCAGGGGGTTCCAGCACCCGCAGGGCCCACAACGCTACCCAACATCACCCCACAAGCAGCAGCACGTGCAGAAAACCGGAAGGGTTATTGGCGTTCCGCATGGGGGGGAGGCTCAGGATGCGGGGTCCCTCCTCGGTGCCGCGGGAACTCGCAGAGGGGCCTTCCCATCGGGCTCCGTGGTACAACACACGCATACACACGCATACACACATACGCACACATACACACATGCATACACACACAGCACGCCAGACGCAGCCGCAGCCACAGTTACCCACCTGCGGCTGCCGCATGTCGTACGTGACCCAGCACCTCCTCGGCCGCCTCCGCCGCGCGTCTCTCCAGCCCCTTTCAATTAAAACAACGCAGGGTTGGTGAGGGACGGCGCAGCAGGGGAAGCGTTGGTGTAACGACACAGCGTCCCGGTGGCCCCAGCGAGTGTTGCCTAGGATCTGCACAGACACACATACACATATACACACACATACATACACACACATGGCGGGATCCACACCTACCTGCCGAAGCTCCTTCGCAACTTGCACACTGTTGCTGGCAGCCGCCTCAGCCACAGCCGCTGCCGTCGCCGCCGCCGTCGCCTCCGCTGCCGCTGCCTCCGCCGCTGCCCTTGCCTCGGGTCCTCGGGTCCCGCAGGACGTCGACGGGTATCGCGGCTCGGGGTGTTGTGCCCGCAGGAAGCCGTTCAGCGCCTGAATGACACACGAAGAACCGTTCACGGGCGTGAAAAGGAGGTAGCTGGGCTGGGCTGGGCTGGGGTTTGGAAGCCGGCGGAAGAAAAAGGGGACGACCTACAGCGAAAGGTGGAAGTGGGTACCCGCTCAGCGCCCTCGCTTCCGCTGATTATTGAGGGGTGGTTGTTCTTCAGAGGGTCAGAGGGGCAAGATGGCGGCCATCTGCCCGTGGCCATCACGACGTGTTTTGCCCAGGACTAGGACTCGGGTCGAAACCCAGACGCTCGCTCGCTATGCCATGCGATTCCGCACATCTGCAGGCGGTTAGGCGGTTAGGCGTCACTGCATCACTCGCCTCGGAGCCGCCAGTTCAGAACCAGCACTGGCGCTCACGCAGACTCCCGACAGACTGCCAACCAAACCGTGCGGAACATACCCGGGGGGGGGGGGACATACCCGCGAAGAAATCCAGGGGAGATACAAATGACGCGCCGACGTGGGTTCATCGCAACCGTACCGCATTGTGTCGTACTCTTGTCTTACCCGTACCTGGATGAAAAGGTCGGAATCCAGAGCTCCGGAACCGGCCTTGAGCTGCGCCTCCGCAGCAGCTGACTCCTCGGGGCTCAAGCGCCCGGATGCTGACAGCGCCGTCCAGATTTTGTCGTACACCAGATCCGTCGTCAACTCGGGGTGAAACTGAAATGCCAGACAGCGATCACCCAGCGCCCACATCTCATGCGCCGCAGTACCTGTTGCGGTATAGCGACAAAAGAGAAACTATCGGAGAACAAAGAAACAAAGCATGGCACCCCCAACCCCCAGCAGCGCCTTTCGTGTTCCTCGTTGCCTTGGACCGGGTTCCCCCGTAGGGAAGAACAGCCGCGGAAAGGCAAGCAGTGCGGGCAGGCGTGCTGGGCGCCCTCCCAAAAAGATGCCCCTTCCATCCCCACCGCGCTCCATAACGTCGCAGCGCAATACACCACCACCACCACCACGTCCTCAGTTCCGTACACTGCTGCTGCCGCTGCCGCTGTACACGCACTGACTGAGGGACTCCAACCTAAATCGCCCCTCCCCGTCCGCCTTCTTCCCGTCCGTACCCTAAGAAACTAAGTAATCCTGCCCCTCGCCTGCGGAATAGAACACCCTAATCTCCCCCTCCTTCCTTCTCCCCAAACCTTGGGCCCCGGGGCGGTTTCTCCCCTCCCGATATCCCCCTCCTCTTCCCCATCCCCCCACAGTCCCCACCCCACCCCCCGGCGCCTCCGCACCCGAGGCAGCCAGCAATGAAGCCCCCGGGGGCAGCTCCAGCACCTGGTCGCCGTGGCTTTCAAGCACACGCAAACGGAGCACCGGGAGATGATCGGAGTGGCTGCCAGCTTCAATGGTGGCCACCGGGCGCCCTGGCCCACCCGCCGCATCTGCCGCCGCAACACCTGCACCAGCGCCAAATGGCTCCGTCGAAGCAGCCGTGGTGACGCTGCCGGCCGCCGGGCCCCCCCCGTGGGCTGGAAAGGCCAGGTTTGCAGCGCCGGCAGAGCTGCGCTCTGGTTCCGGAGCACCGCTAGTCGAAGGCAGAGGCGATGTTGGTGGAGGTGTTGGCGACGACGGCGGCAGTGGGCCCAGCCGCAGTCCGCACTTTGCAGCGGCACCCACATCGACGACGACGTTCTCCACGCCCAGTACGAACCTGCCCGAGGGGTTCCGACCCACAGACCCGCCGAGTGCCTTGGGGAGAGGCCCCGCACGGGGTTTAGCGCGTCGGTGCCGGCAGCGGTTGTGGGGGCGGGGGAGAAGAACGGCGGCGGGAGTGTCAGTTGCGGCGGCGCGGCGGTGGACTAGGGAGGCAGCTGCGACAGCCAGACGTGCAAGTGCGGCCCTGCGCGGCGCGGCAGGTGGGAGGATTAGGAGATGTAGACGGGGCTGCTGGGGGGAAAAAAGGAAGGGGATGGTATACTGTCAACTGACTCCCTGTTTTTTTAGCCTCGTAAGGCCCACATCACTAAGCGTCTTTTAAATCCGAGCTTTGCGAATCACTGCTCGGTGGGCCAGCCGCCTCCCCACCTTTGCAAGGATTTGGTGGCCGAAGCAGCAGCCCACCACACGGACGCCCGAATCGATGTACTGGGGCAGTAGCTTCTCCAACTGCCGTATCCATGGCAAGTTGTCGTACGCGCTATAGCGGCTGCCACCCACCACAATCACGTCGTACAAATTACGACTTGTGGCCAGATCAGGAAACTCCTCCTGATAGCACCTGGCAAGGGTCGTCGCGATTCCCAAGGCACATCAAGGTACGACAGAAGCCGCTGTGCATTTACATGTGCAGTTGTGCGCTGCGGGCTCCGCGGCCAGGGATAGTGCCAGGAAGGGTGATGAGGCTACCGAGCGAAGGACACTAGTAGTGCTTTGACCGCTCGGTGGCACGGGGAGGGACGGTCGTCCATCCAGCCTAGGAGGGCTGTGGTGGTCACCGATTTTACGTTTTGGTTTCTCTGACCGCAGCTCCGCATGCTTCTGGCCTTTTGGACGTAAAAACCGCGTTGACGAGCTACTGGAGGTTTACGGAACGTGAGATTTCACCTTGCATGTTGGATTTGTCCTGAAAAGCTTGGGAGAAGGGCAGATAGAATGCAGCTGCAGCACAGCATGGCCGCCAGCTGAACACGGGATCGTTGTTTCCGGCAAATAACTTTGCATCCGTAACGCAGCTGAGATGCAGTGTGCAACGGGGATGGATGGAAGAAACGCGCTGGGAACCGCTTCGGGCTATCAAGGGTGGCTCGCTGTCGCTTACCAAGCAGCAGGCAACACCCTGCTTCCGCAGGTTATTTGGCGCTCAAATCCGATATCCCTTATCGCCGGCATTCTTATGGACGAATAACCATAAACTACGAAACAACGAGCCGGACGACTTTCATCAAAGGAAAACTTCCGCAATATAACATTAACATTCTATCGCAAGCTGGTTGCCAAACTCAGGGTCACACGTTTCAAACCTGCCTGAAGGTTGTAAACGTGTCCCCCGCCTTCTCAAGCAGCGCAGTCCATAATCGCTCAGTCCAACCCTGCCATTTCTCTGAGTCATCGCAGCTTAATATGGCAATTCTCATTTCGCTCAGATTACCTTTTGTCACGGGAAATCATCAAATACAATCCCGCATGCCAGAGGTTTCTTTCGGAGCACTAACGGGGCGCCAAGATAGCATGCGATGAATTGTATTGTTTCCATATGCCCAAATTGACTCACCAAAAACACCGACAGTGCAGCAACGAGTCACAGTGACTCCGGTACGAACGGAGTCAATGCAGCCGTTCGTGCACGACGCGATTACCGCAGACGGATACAATTACTCCCCATGGGCCTCATGCTGTTATAAGCGGCTGCAAACCTTATATAGAATAGTTTCAAAAGTGTGGAATATTGTTCTTGGTATTTCAGTGAAGTAGCGCTGCAACTGTGGATAGGTAACGCTTCCCTTCGCCATTGACGTCTAAGGAATTGCTTGACGATTAGTGCTATCTGAAGATCATCAGTCCGTGATCGAGCGTCGCGTACAAGATGCAACATCGCGTTGTGCTTCCTCGGTCGGGCTGCTGCCATCTTCGCGGTGCGGTCTCCCGCAGCAGGGCAACTGTGCAGTGCTGCTTCATGCCTTCACGTCGCAGTCTATCGTTGGTCTCCCCGTGCCCTTATCGGGTTTTGGGCGTGAAGTATGATGCAAACGAGGAAGACATCAAGGTACGTGCTTATTGTGGCACGGCAAGAGCTCTTTGCGGTGCAGTTCTGCAGTGTGCCTTGAGACATACAGGCAGCAAAATAATGCATCAAGGCCAGGCGCCCGCTTGCAGACTTGCACGCGTCATGGGTATCGGACGTTTGTGCGTTCACTACGATCACGCAAGGATGCCGGCATTTTAATTCATCTCCCTTTACATTGTTTCCAGGCGGCCTTCCGTGTCAAGGCCAAGCAGTTTCATCCGGACGCAACGAAGGACCCGACCATCGACTTCAAGGTGCGGCGAGCGTTACGCATAGTGCCGGTTCTCTTGTATCGTTGCACCATGTGCGGCAGCTAGTTATCCTCGCTGTGTGAGTTGCATAAGTTAATGTTAAGGTATTGCGCTGATGCAAGCTGGCAATGCGGCGTCTGGTACTCTGCTTTCGGGACCTAATGATTGCGTTGTGAAGCGCGTAGTCCGCTGCTATTATTTTCAGAATAATAAAAGATATGGCTATGATGACACTTGACCTATCTTTGGGTTTGGGAGCAATTTTCTTATTGCGCGCGGCATGTCCCTCTGACTGCTTTACGTCTCTAGCCCATATACTGCACTCAACCATATATTCTAGAAGGGTTTGGCGTCGATAACGCCATGGAACGTGTGACGGTGTACAATGCCTGAAACACCCTGTGGTGTCACGATTGCGATCCCTCTGCCCATTTTTAGGAAATCCTGCGCGCCTACGAGCGCTTGAGCGATCCCGAGGAGCGCGCCAAGTATGATAAGATGATTTTGCCCCGCTCTACACGCGAAGCTCTTTTGCATCTCAACGCCCGCTCTGTCCAGCGTCATGGTATCTCTGTTTATCGGGCCACCTCCCGACCGTCAAGTGCCGAACGTCGGCAGCTCCTCACAACGCTTCTCGATCTCATGAGTCAAGTTAAGAAATGCACCAAGCGCGTGGAACGGGAGGTGGTAGGCAAGGACCCCACCCGTTACGGCTGTACGTCCTCCGGCAGCATCCAGCGCGTCAGTGTGTCCGAGGCTGACTGTGGCGAGCACGAGTGCTGCGGCCCGTGGTTCTTATACACTGATTAGTCGGCTTGCGCCGGCGCAACCTAGTTGCGTCCCCGCCAGCACTCTTCCCCTGGACCCGTCGCCCCCTCCACTCTGAGGCGGCGCAATCACGACAGCAGCGCGTGGTGGGGCTGTGGCGGCGCAGCGGGATGTGAGGAGAGCATCCCATGCTGCATCGCCGCCCCTGCACCAACTGAGCTTGCTGCTTTTATAACGGAGAAATGGCGATCAAGGCTGCCCAACAGCAACCCGGAAGAGTTATGTTGCGTGGTTTCATCCGAGCCCGCAATAAGCTTTGTGGTTGCTTCGTCAGCCACTTGGCAGCACGTCTGAAGAAGTCTTATGCGTCCGACACCCGCGCCGTTTGGAGGGTTTTCCGTTTACTAATTAACGTCTAACCATTAACCTTGTGAGACTCTAATTTGTTGATAATTATGCAGTGTATGTGTATGTATGTCGCTTCTTTTAACCCCTCGAGGGGTACGAATGCTGTATGGCTGATGGCGCATCTCTTCGACTACTTTTGCATTCATATTTCTCTTCAGGCGCTGTGTGCGACGGCTTGCTCACACACTTGTTGAGCTTTGCTGCTGCATGGATCTGCGATACAGGGTTTGCAGCTTGCGGGGCGTCTCTTTCCAGTCCCTTTGCATACGATTCGTACATACGGCAAGGCTTCGGGTAGGTTAGGTAGCTGGAGCGAAGAACGTGGAACGTTATTCTTGTTGTTGAGTCGTATTGACTTTTATGCTTCATTGTTTGCACGAACACTATTTGAGTAGAAATTGTGTGATTTTGATCATCGTTACAGTGCCTGGGTTAAGGACTTGTATGGATGTCATTTTGCTTTTTGTACGGCACAGTATGCATGCTGTTCCATAAGAGTGAAACTGTCGGTCTGCTTCAGAGTGCTTTTGCTCTGTACGGTGTGCTGGAGTGTTTGTACGGCATCTCACGATTGCTGTGTGCTGCAATTTCGGTTTCGCCTGCTTTTCATTTTCGTGCATGCTGCTTGCACAGTGTTGCGTTAAAAGTCTTCTCCAAACTTTCGATCCGACAAGGCTAAAGCCTGATAGAGGCTGCATGGAGTGTTTACTGTCATGGCGGCGTGTTTTACCCGTGTGGCAGTTGTGCAGAAGGCCCGTTGCATGTCGTCGCCCCTTGGGGGCCCCAAGTTGAGCCTCAGTAACCCCTAATTACACAGGTCTAGCAACTAGGACATGTACGCGGCGTCATATGCTCGCATGGCAGAGGAGGAAAGCACCAGCATCCGCCCGCTTTTCGGTTGTGGTTGCTTTGTCGTGCAGGCTGCTTCTGCGGTTGCTGTTGGGCAGGATGTGGATGGGCGGGCGGGAACACAGTCCGCGGCTCGCCGAGATAGCTAGACTGTGTTGGTAGGGCTTTGGAGGGTGCGTTGTACTGTGGCGACGCTTCGGGGTGGATTGAGATGTGAGGGAGTGTTATTCCACGACGGCTGCGGTTGGCGTTGGCTGCGGGGGCCAAGTGGACTGGCCTCCGGATATCACGGAGGGCTGTGTCCTTTCGTTGCGTCGTGGGATGCGCGATGCCCCAGGCGGGATGTCACAGATGTGGAGGACCCTTTTCCTGCTTACAAATGTTTGTACCAGTCCGTATATACCTGTAGTTCGGAAGACCGAAAGAAGACGTCTGCTCGCGGAAGTTCTGCGACGGACTGGAGCTGGTTACGTTCCGGAGGGCTTCTTGATGAGAGAGGGCATTGTAGGTAATGAGTGGTCGAGGCGGAAGAAGAGGACGGCTGCAGTACTTAGGACACGAGGAAGTGTGGCTAACGTAGTAGGCATGGGAATGTATCATAACGCCCTTTGCACCTTTGTAGCACTAGTAGTTGTGAGAGTGGTCGTATCTGAGCGGTCAGCCGGCCTGTGGCCAACTGCCAATTGCGGCTGGTGGGTGTTCGTCGCTGACAGCTCTCGGCCCTGAGGAGGGTCGTTTTGTTGTTGTTGCTGCTGCTGCTGCTGCTGCTGCTGCTGCTGCTACAGCGGCGGCTGCGCGGTGGCTGCGCGGTGGCAGTAGCCTGGGTCTCCTGGGAACGAAAACCGGCTGCAATGGGGATGATGGTGTATGCTTGCGGTCGACAGGAACGTTTAGGTCTGCAGAGTCGACAGCCTGGATGTGACTCAGATCCCGCGCATTCGCATGCCGTACATGGCCGTATGAGGCCGCGCGCTTGAGGTGAAGTGCGGTGGGAAGGGTGTAGAGGGAAGATTCGTCCCGCTCCTCTTGGGGCTCGCCTCCTCATCACCTTCCACGGACGGTCGACGCGCGGCTAAGCAAACTGTCTGTGGGAAGGGTGGAGTGGCTCGGTTGCAGTCATGTGATGGCGATGTGGAGGTCGGAAACGTGTATCAACACACACGCGCAGGCGCAACACGCCGTCGTGGAATGCTGCAGCTATTGCCGTAACAGCACTGCCACGCCGCTGTTGGATGTTATCCTCTGAATATGGCTGGACATTTAGGTGCGGTCTTCTAGCTGGTTCGCTGGTTGATGATCCGCTTGTTCTTTCTGCCGTTGCAAAGGCCCATGGACTTCAGTTCTGATCCTCGTCCTGTTCATAGCTCTATCCATAAGCGGGCCTTATGCGGGTCCCGGTGATGTTGTAGGTCAGCCTGCGCATGTGCAGCTAAATTGTCGCGTGTGCAGCAGGCATGACATTTTGATTTGGATGTTGTGGCGACGGTAGCAACACAGCCATAGCAGTAGCGTGGCGTTTGCTGGGAGTTGCATGTTGTTGTCCTTTCTGCTGTATCTCATGGCTAGCTGGTAAATATGGTGGGAGCTGCATATATTTGAACTCTTCGCGCCTGCTTGGCGTATCTCTTGTGGCGATTGGTGATGGCTGTAGCTGCGGTGATACCTTTCTGTTCTGGAGAATTCTGGAGAAGACAAAATAGGGATTAGTTGCTTGCCTGCTCTGCTTATGGGCATGTTTGTGGGACTCGAATATTGTACGTTTACTTGTCTGTCTGTCTGTTTGTTTGTCTGCTAGGTCTCCCATTCGGTCTTTGGGTTTAGCCGTATGCATACGGCGGGATGGCCGGTTGGGTAAGAGGGAATGCAGTGGGATTGGTCTGAGGCTCGGTTGCAAGCGAGTTGCGTGTCCTTTGGGGCCTGCTGAAGGGACGGACCGGATGTGGCTGACAATGTGGATGATGGAAATCGGTTGATGTCATCTCGATGTGTTCACCTCTGGCATCATCAAGCGCCACGAGAGGAACGTCGCTGCTGATTAGAAGATGGACGAGGCTGTATAGCGAGGATGAGGCAGAGGCCCATGGGGTGTCATGTAGTGGCTGGGGACGTGTCAAGACTCTGAACTGGGTGCTTTGAAGCGCCAAACTTGATGCGCCCGGGAAGGTCGTGGCTTCGGTTAATAGTATTGTCTGTACCGTTAATGTGGTTGTTGATATGTCGTCTGGGCGTTCACGACTGAAAAGAGCCATGGATGCATCCCCAGAGGTTGGAAGGCCTAGCCAATTGGGGAGACAAGATTCGCCTGGTCTCGTCTGTTCGTGGGGAGGTCCAATTGCTCCCAAATGAAAGTTGCTCTGGGACTGACCACAAAATTGAACGTAAACTGTTGGCTGCTTTAATGAATTCGGCCCTTAAAGACTCCCGCACTGTTTTAAGTTCAAGCCCCAATTGTCCAAAACCTACATGCCGTACCATAGCCGCTGAGCTACTTTACTTGCCTATTAGGATGGAAATTCTTTAACAAATGTTAGTCGGTAGCACTCGTAATAAGTAATGAGACATCAGTACACAGCTCTGTCCGTGGTTTGAATGTTAAACGTGCAACACTCTACGTAGCGTAGCCGCGCACCTGCCCCTGCGCTATGTTTCCGCCTGGTCAGGGGCTCCCGCGCTCGTCCTTTCTCTGGACAAGCTACCCGCAGTGTAACACCCCATCCACAATAGCGACGCCTACAACTTGGCGTACTTCTGCACCGTCGTGCACTACCGGTTATTAGCAGAGAGGACGGGCGCTCGTTCATCCCCACTGAGCTTCACGAGTTTGTGCGGCCCAAACGAGCCAAGAGATTCAGTAGCCGCCGCCGGGATTTGTCCCCCGTACTCCCACTGCAGGCTCGCATACCTCCTCAGCCTCGGGGAAAATTCTAGATTGTCGCCTGGCCTTTGGCCCACCAGACGCTTTGGTTGCCCAATCACCGCAACCGTTCCACGGAAATCCACGTGGCAACCCCTCATTCCTAGTTCGCCCTCTGAAATGAGCTTCTGACTCAATCCCGGCGCATGATACACATGCTGTAGGGTTATCTTGATCTTGCCATTCTCTCCCTCAGCTTTGAGCAAAACGGTGCCCACTCCATGCTGCCGGGGGGGCGATACAATGAGCGAGCTAACGAACTACTAACTGCTGCCGTATTAAGACTGGTATCTCCCCCACCCTCAATAGAAATGTTACGACAGTGCATAATTCAAACAAATTGAGCTTAACATGGCTGAAGCGCTGCATGGTCCTTCCCCTCTACTTTTGCTCCCTTCCTTCACTTTTGGCAGTCACATTTACACGTGCCTGAATGAGCAAGACCGTAAAGCTCTCCGTCTTGCCTGCAAGGAATCCAGGCTCTTTGTAAACGGAGAGGTGAAAGAAGCGTGTGTACCTGGCTCACTCCTTGGCGGCCTGTCGCTTCGACGTATAGTTGAGACCTGTCCACAGATAGCACGCTTGGTCTTGGCGGACTCACAAATTGAGCATGTTTGCGGGAAGACCTTGGCGGAATTCCTCAACGACAATGTGCCTGGCGAGGGTTTTCATTACCCTCACGGCGTTGGCGTGCAGAAGCTGGATGTAAAGCAGTGCAATTACCTTTCGTCTACGGATCTACAGCGGCTAATTGGAGCCTGCCCGCAGCTGGAGAGCCTGCGCACCTCACGTTGGGCCGATGGCAGCCACCTGCGAGCCTTGCTGCCCCTTGCGAATCAGCTCACGGAACTGGACCTGGGAGACAGCGCCCACAATATTTTGAGCATTACGGACAAAACACTCGCTCACATGCCGCTGATGCCTGCGCTGCGAACTATCAGCTTGAAGCGTTGCATCGAGGTTACCGACGACGGCGTTGCACACTTTTCTCAGGCGCGGCTGCCAAATTTGATCTCTCTTGATCTCTCATACACACGCATAACCGGCACCTCCGGCTTTGAGACGCTGTCAGGCCTGCTCTCCCTTGACGTTCATGGCTGCCGCGCCTTCGGTGACACCGGCCTGGCGGCAGTATGCACACGCCACGCCGGCACGCTGCGTACTCTGTACCTTCATGGCACGGCCGTACAATCTGGCAGCGGCAGCCTGCGGCACCTGGCGCAAGCAAGCGGCCTAGAGGTGCTGGACCTCGGTACTGCGTGGGAGGTGGACAGCGAGGGTCTTGAGGCGCTTTCCTGGTAGGTGGTTCACGAAGGAGGAAATTCCATATCATACATAAATGCCGTCTTTCCTTGCAGTGAAGTACACAGTATGTCGTGATACAAACAGTTATGAAAGGTTTGGACTATTAACACATTACCTGGGTACGAGCAAACGTCCCATACAAAGGCTCTGCATCTTGCGTTGCCTATCGCATCCCATCCCTGTCGTTGGGCGGTGTGGCTGTCCTGGCAGGCCGGACTGCCTCCTTTCACTCGGGGTCTTGGTCCCCGCACCCCACGCTCCAGATCCAGATCCTTGACTGCCTGTCTGCCCTCCCCTCCCTCCCTTCCCTTCTCCCCCCATGCTTTGCTCGCTCTTTTCGCGCTGGCTTTCCTCTTTCCCTCCACCCTCCCAAATTCCCCTTCGCGCTCACCCACCTGCTCTTCCTCTTTCCCAGCTGCCGCACCCTGGCCGACCTGCGCCTCGGCAACTTCAACCTACGCCATCCACGTCTGCCCCGGCAGCTCCAGCAGCCTGAAGGTCTGAACAGCACAACTACGGTCGCCGCTGCTACCGCTGCCGCCACAGCGGGATCGTTGCCATGTCTGTTGCGGTTGTCCCTGGGCGGCATGTTTGGACAATACGGTTTGGAGCGGCTGCTGCGCTGTCTGCCGCGGTTGCAGCGCCTGGAGTTGGCGGGATTGGACACTGCCAGAGATCAGGTGCTAGCGCAGTTAGTGGCGAGCCGGGGCGGCGCGGCTGCGTCGCTGCAGGTGAATTTACATTTGTGGAAGAATTGCGTGGAGGTGTTTTAGCTTTGTCTGTTTTTTGAAAAGAACGTGCTCATGTTCTTTTCGTTTTCAGCCACTGTCGCCACTATCGCCATTGTCGACTTGCCTGGTCCCCGACCTCGAGAAGTTCCTGTGAACCTTTTGAGAGCATCTCCATCTTATTCTTACATACAAAAATCTCCTTTTGATTTGCTAAAATGGTCAAAAATGGTCCCTGCAGGAGCTCCTTCTGGCCCGCGGCGGCCCCGACCTTACCGCTGGGGGCCTTATGCGCCTGGCGGCGCTACCCGCACTGAAGCGCCTCACTCTCATTGATTGCCCCTGCGCCGCCACCAACGCCTCCGTGCAACAGCTCATCCACGCCGTACGACTCGCCGGGCGGATTCTGCAGGTAGAGGTGGTGGGAAAACCAGGTGTGACGCCGCACAGAACCTTGGGGATGGTGAAGCCCGTCGAAAGCGTGCTGGCGGTAGCGGTGCCGAAGATTGCTGCTGTGGTGTGTGGTTGAAAATGATGAGGTTTTGGGTGGCTGGGTTCCTTCTTCCCTTGGATGGGTCGAACGTGGAGCCTTTCCGCTCTGTGAGGCGGCGCTGAACAGAGGGTCGAACCGGTTAATCGCCTGTGGACTGTTTTCAGTCGGATCACGACGCAGGGCAGCCGGGCAAGATGGGCGAACAAGAGGGCGGAGGATAACCTGGCAAAGCCTGGAAAGCGGCTGTGGAGATGATGCAGCTGCGACACGTGTTGCTCGCGGTGCGGCAACGGAGTGTGGAGCAATTTGGGGGGCGGCAGTTTCATGGTTGGTTAATGGGGCGGGGTGTACTCTGTCGTTTGGCGTCACACGACACGGATGTGTTTGTGGCGCGCTTTGAAAAATTACATTAGCTTAATAAAAGAAAGAGAGGAAGAGAGACGGTGGTTGTGGTGGGAGAGACATAAAAGTTGCACTAGCAGAAAGAAGTTGAAGACAACTTCGCTGTGCAAAAGAGCGAAGAGAAGAATGGAATTGAAGAATGAAGGTATGTCTCCTTTTCGGGGGATTTTTGTGGTATCTGTGATTGCCCGTAACGGATACTATTTTGAATGTGTCTGTATGTGTGGCTGTATCTGGTGTCGAAGCCGCGTGTGCCGTGTTTGGCGCACCATTGCGGCCGTTGCCTGTATTGAGCGGCTGAAGAGATGAACTGAAGAAGCGGATGAACTGAAGAAGCGGATGAACTGAAGAAGAGACAGTTGCGCAGTTGGGTCTGGCGTGTCGTATGTAGTAGTTTGGGTGTCCATGTATTTTTAGTAGTGCCTTCTTAAGGGGGGTTAGGCGACAGCACATTCGCACAACAGTTTGCTTACTTTCGGAAGATTTGAAGGCGGATCCCCTGATCAACCCGAGGGGAGCATTGGGGCCCTCCGGAGCTGTCACTGTTTGAGCGGCTGAAGCCCCCGTTGTATCATTTAAAACATGTATGTGCCATGTGTGGAGGCGAGCTTGTACGGCAGTTCGTTGGAGGTGAGCGGTTGGGTTCCATGGCGCCTGACGGCCGGAGCCTGCTGCCTACCATAAACTGCTTCGTTTGGGTTAACTTGAAGATTCGGAACGATGTTGTGTCGTGCATTTAGAAACGTCAGAGTTTCAAGGTAAGGCTGCTGTTCTGACTGCTGGAGAGTGGAGGAGGTTTACCTTTTAGGGTGAGCCCATGCGCCCGATCCATCTGTCACACGGGGATGTGGGACCGATGTCGCCGTATGTCACCATGCGGCTGCGGCCATAGGTGCTGGGAAGGCGCCTGGGCGGGGAGATGGATGTGAGTAGCGCCCCGGTGGGCTTACTCGACCTTGAGGGACATACGCGCATCATGGCATGCGTGGATGCGACGTGTCGGACTGTTCCACGTCATAGCATGTGAGTCGCACGTTGCTATCGCTTATTCGGAAAGCTTTGCGAAATTCCCCCGCAACTGGATGTGAGAAAGGAAAGGGGCTTGTGGAGCACGTTCGTGTGGCGAGGTTGTGATCTCGTCGGCTGCTTGAATGCCCGGGAAGCCCCGCAGCGAGGCTGAGGGCCCCGGACGGATACTCTTCGATTGTAGGGCCATTGCCGCAGGTGGTTGACATGCTATTAATCGGATGCTTTCTGGAAGAATGGTTGTCAGTTGCCAGTTTTCGGACATACTACATTCATGCAATAGCTCATGAAGGGGCTGTGCGATAGTGAGCCAAAACGACGTCACGGCTTTGATGGTTGTTGGAAGTTGGGCGAGGACATGCCGCTCGCTGTACTATTACGTCATACACAGCGCACGCTGTCGCACACTCGGATGGTGTGGGGGTGTTTCCGCTCCTTCTCGCGGCTTGTCCTGCATCGGGAAGTGTGGCAAGCTGAGCATGCTTACCGGCGGACTGGTGCCGATGGGCGAGAGCCCACAGGGGCACTTCAATGGTTGTGCCTCAGGCCCCTTGAGCTGGCTCACGGACAGGGCAGGAACACGTTTGATATGCTATGTTGCTTGGGCATTGTACGGCATACGGCAAACGTTTCGTAGAATGCCTGTCTAGCTTCACATGTTGTGCCAGGCTGTCTCTATATTTGGAGAGCTGGATGTTCTCACAGGATTTGTCGGATTTCATGTGAAGGATACATCATGGCGCAGGTCTTTTGCATTTTTCATGATGCTTCTCTGCCTGGCAGGGCATGCGCTTCTGTAACGTACAGGAGCCGTCCAGAGCAGCTTTTTCAGGCTTACATCGTAGGTATTCGGCTTGGAGGTCACGAAAACAGGCAATCCAACATTCCAACAACCCATGAGCAGGAGATGTGGGGCCAGGGCAGCGCTAGGGTCCTCAAGGGTTTCGTCACCGGTTGCACTTTTAGTTGCGCATGAAACGTCAGGTCAGCCCGGACGAGGCTTCGGCTGCGTCTCTCAGGCGGGCGCTACCGCAGTCCCCTCGGGGATGCGAAGCCCTAGCCGGCCACACGCCTTGACTATTTCCCCAATGACAAAGGTCCTACACCTCGTCCGTACATATAAAACATGGCAAAATGCGTTATTCCCTGACCCCCAAGAGCGCGCGGAGCAGGATTCAAGGCTATCAGCCACCACAACGACAATATACACGCTTGACAAAGTTACTCCTGCAGCAGCTCATATCAGCCCACCTCTAGCGCCACGCCGCACTGGCCCTATGCCACGTAATAAGGTCCCAATGCCAAAGGGCCCAACCCCTTCCTGAGCTCTGCCTGTCCTAGAGAAACAAGAGACCTTCCGGCTTCCTGACCTTCCCGTGCGCCTCAAGTCCCTGCCAACACTAAGCCCATTCCCTTCCCCGCCTTCCCCAACACGGAGGGCCTCACCCCTCGTGCAACCCTCCTCCGAGCTCTCCCCTCAGCCGCTAGACCTGCCAGCAATCCGGCTCGCTGGTACAGGCTACGTCCGTCACGTCTCATGGCTCACGCCACCCCAGCGCCCCGCAGCATCTCCTCCATCGCCGCCACCGCCGCCAGCTCCTCTTCCCCGGCGGCCAGCTCCCGAGCAGCAGCCACCTCCCGAGCCGCCTCAGGGCCCATGTGCTGCGCTTCCAGACAGCGCGCCAGAGCCAGCCGCAGCGCGCAGCTCTGGGGCTGCAGCCGATGAGCCAGCTCCTGCAATCGGGACATCGGGACCAGGGCCAGCCGCTGATGAGATACCGTGGTGGATAATAAGTTGGCCGTGAAATAAGATAACGGACAGTGCCACAGAACATGGGCAGCTCTCTAAGGCTACAAGGGATACAATGTCGTACATCCCTTCCGCTGTCGTAAACCCCTTTCGCTGTCGTATATCCTTTCGCTGTCGTATATCCTTTCGCTGTCGTATATCCTTCCTCTGTCGTACAACCCTTCCTCTGTCGTACAGCCACCGACCCAGGACACTACCACGCCACATCGCACACACCTGCAGCACGCGCTGCTGCTCTCTCAGCTGGCCGGCCACCCGGTACTGCTCTGCAATCTGCATCAGCACTCCGGCGTCATCCAGACCGCAACGCAGTCCAAATGACAAAGCCTTCTCCGCATCCTCCTACAAAGCAAAACCGCGAGCGGCAGGACAGACAGTGACAAGTGAGTGTGAGGCCAGAATTGTACGAGGGTGACAACTGTGCATGGGTGGCGGCTGGCCGGCAATGCTTGTGGATGACATTTGGAAGGGAAAGGAGGGAGCGGCGGTTGAAGCATAACGGATTCAATGGCCCACGCAGCTGATTGCCCCCACACGGCGCAACGATAACCCCAGATCCGCACACATCACATCACCCACCACACATACATACATATATACATACATACGTTCATAAATCCATACATATAGGCAGGCGGCTGGCAGAAGTTAAGGCCTGACTTCTGCTCCCAATCGATCCAGTCGACCCGGGTTCAAATCCGCCTGCCAGCTCCTCGGGTGTTTGAGGAGTGATGAAATGGGAGGTGGCCCCCCATCATATGGACGGTGTAGGACGTGATAATATCAACTTGCGAGCTGACCAGGAACTAAGTTGATGCGCCGTTGATCCGCTAGATTTGGTTGGATGCTGGTGGTGAGTTGCCGAACCCAACGAATACATTCTGAAGTCGGATGGGGTGACGGATTAGGGTGCCCCTCTAGCAGGGGAGAGCAGGGACTGCCCCGGGAAAGGGGGCCGCTGGCGAAGTTAACCACCCTGTAACAACATACATACATGTACACACACGCACGCACGTGCACACCTCGCGTCCGTCCTTGAGTGCTACCAGCGCCAGCCAGCCCCAGGCCCGCGGGTCCTCCGGATCCAGCACATTGGCCTCACTCAGGCACATGTCCGCCGAGTACAAGTCGCCTGACAAGCGGGCGGAAGGAGGACGAGGGGCGGGGAACAGGAAGGACGGATGGAAAGCCGCTACTTACTTTGACATGCAAATTGAGAGGGAGAGGGAGGGCAGGGGCACAGGTAAAATGGGAGAGGGCAGAACGGGACAACGGTCGGGGCCTTTCCTTCCATGTTCCTCTTTCCTCTCCCCCCCTCCCCCGACCCCATTCACCCCGGGGCCCCGTGCACCTGTGCACCCGTGCATACACACACCACCCCTATCACCGCCACGTCGTATCACTCGCCTTCCGCTGCGATGCTCTCGCCCGCACCACGCCACAGCACCGTGAGCCCGGGGGCCGCCGCCGCCCCAAGCAGGAACACATTCGCGGCGTAGCGATGCTGTCCTCGTGCCGTGTAGCACCCCGCCAGCTGCAGCCACACAGGCAGCTCCACCTCCCCCATCAGGCCCTGCTGCCGGGCCTCCTCAAGGTACTCCTACAGCAGCAGCAGCAGCAGCAGCAGCAGCAGCAGCAGCAGGGCGGGATGGGGTGGGGCAGCCTTAGCGTCAGCATCCTTGATAGCCTCCCTTGGCCCCCAAAGCCTCCATTCCACATATACCACCACACGCACCCGCCTGCCCACCCAACTACCTGCAACGAAACTCCCCAAACGGACCCTTCCCGCCGAACTTCTCACCGAATCCTTCCAAACCCCGCCCCACCCAATCGTCCCAACCTCCTCCCCAACCCCAGAGTCGGTTCTCTTTGCTCCTTTGCTCCTTTTCTACTTTTGCAAACATCTTCAGCCCCACCCCCACCTGGTAGAACCGAATGGCCTCGTCCAGCGCCCCCTTGGTCCGGTACAGTTGCGCGGTGAGGAGCTTGGTGCGCCACCCCGTCACTCCGCCATCCCGCATCAACTGGATCAGCGGACCGCCGGGAGCCAGCAGCGCCTCAGCGACCTGACTCGCGACCTGGGAGCCCTGCGAGCCCTGCTGGGCCAGTGCGGTCTCCGCCAGCGCCGAAACCAGCCGGGCCTCGCGGTGTGTCTCCCTCGCGGCTGCGGGCCAGTGCCTCAGCCCCGCAGCTAGCTCCAGCGCCAGGAGGGCCTCCGAGGGCAGGGAGAGGGTCTTGAGCAGGGAGGTGGCCAAAGAGATGAAGGCACGGGCCTGTGGTGTGGGAGTTGGAACGGGATTTGCAAGAGTGGGAGTGTGGTGTGGGATTTGCAAGAGCGGGAGTTGGAGCGGGGAGGGTAGTGCGTGTCGCGTGGTTGGGGCAAGGTCTGGTGTGTGGTAGGGGGGTGGAGCAAGGTCACTGGAAGGACCCGTAAGGACCGGAGGCGGGCGGCAGCTGATGAACGACGCAACCTAGGGGGGTGACGGCCTCAACGCGCCCATGGGGTCGGAGTTCCCGGCGCTCAAGTCGCTCAAGCTAAGATACCCGAAAACGGGTGCATGTGCGGCAGCGGCTCGATTTCCCGAAACTGATCCATGGCGAGTTGACAGGGCGTAAAATGGCAAGAGATGGTGTGGCGCGGAGTCGGTTGGACCAAGCGATGGCATCGCCCAGGCGTTTGCGTGTTTATGCACGTGTCCAGGCCTATGCATACGTGCATTGCGTTGCGGGCCATCGGTTGCCCGTGCTATCCTCTAGGTGTATGGCAGGGATGTCGGTACAGACCCGTTGGAGGCATGCAAGGAGGCACGCATTTTCAAGGACCGCCCCAGTGGCAGCAGCAGCAGCAGCAGCAGCTGACCGGCTACTGCGGCCCCCTGCCGCCCTCCCGCGCTCCAGCCGCCAACAGGAGCCGCCAGAGACGTGTGACCGAATTGAGACCTCCCCTCCCCGAGCAGTGCCCACCTGCCTGCCAGCCCGCCTGCTTACATCTTCCCCCTATAAACCTACTGCCCAGCCAAGGACGCCCCCCTCTCCCCGGCAATGCCCATCTACACACATCTACTCCCATTACTCGCCCCGTCTCTTTATCAACCCCATCTCCAACCCCCCTCCCCACCCACCCCACACACACCTGCAGCTCTCCGGGTACCTCCTCCCCTGCAGCGGGGTCCTCTGGCACCTCCCCTCCCCCAGTCCCCCTCGCAGCCAACCCTGGAGCACGCGCTGGAGCCCCCGCCGCAACGACCGCCTCCCGCTCCAATCTGGTCATCTCCTGCTCGCAGCTGCTCAGCTCATTGCGCTTGGCGTCACCTGCGGGTGGGGCCGGGGAGGGAGGGAGGGCGTTTATAGCTCACGGCCACCGTCGCCAGGCAGACACAACCCCCCCCAATACTCCACATACGGCGTAAGTACAAACCCACCAAACCGCCACCTCGTACCGCCACCTCCCACCAATTCGAGGTTATACAAGCACACCATGATTACGTTACCAAGCCGACGCAATACACTGTTCAAGGAAACCCAAACTACAAACGGCGATACCGGTACCTCCAAGCGAAATTATCGCTTCCGCCGCGCCTCTCTCTCCCCCTCCCCCGCTCCTCGATCCTTACCATATGCCTTGTACACGAGCGCCATGGCGGCCCAGTGCTCCAGGGTGGGCTGTCCGGAGACCTCCATCAGGCGGTGTGCGGCCGCCTCAGCCGCCTCCAAGTAGGCGGGGTCGGTGGCCCGGCCCTCAGCCACGGAGCACCCCAGCAGCGCCAGCAGCGCGGGGCGGTGAGTGGGGTCCAGGGAGAGGGACTCGCGGAAGCTCTGCTCCGCACGGCCGCGCGCGCCGCGGCGCAGGCAGTACGTGCCGTACTCGTACCACACCTGGCGGAAGCGGAAATGGACGGCGGTGCGGAAGCGGATGGATCGGACGGAAAGAGGAGGTTGTAAGAGGGATGGGGATCGGGGGGAGGGAAGAGAGGAAGGTGGCGCGGTAGCGGGACTAAGTGGTGGCACAGCACATAGTACATACGTGGAAACGCACGGAAAATGTACGACAGGGGACGCAGTAGAGGGCTGCAGAAAGCACCGTGCTCGGGGGTTACACACGACACGCCGTGCGCTTCGTCGCAAGCGGGAGAGGTATCCAGAGGTGAAGGCAGGCAAGGCAGGCGAAGCGGGGCACTTGCAGCAGTTAGCAGCCGGCCTTCCCACCTGCGCGTCGTTCTTGGCCAGGAGGCGACGTTGGTGCAGCGCCTCAGCCCGGCTGATATCCCCCACGGCCTCAGCCTGAGGGGGTGATGGGCCCGGGCAGCGGGGTCGGGATGGCGAGGTGACGTAAAAGAGGGACAAAGGAGGGAAAACGACGGAATGCGAATTGTGAATCGCCAAAAATTGGTCCCCCCCGTGTGTGTTTTACCCACGGGTCCCTCCCCGTCCCCTCCCCCCCTCCTACCTGCGATGCCAGCTCCAGAAGCTGACCCAGCCGCTGCTTGTCCGGTACGGGTTCAGGCAGCGGCGCACGGGGCCGCACCGCCGCCGCGTCAATCATCTCATTCAGGGCACTGTGGGTCGCCGCCAGCAAAGTACCGTACAGGTCGTTGTACAGCAGCGCCATTTCGTTGGGCGACATGCTTCCGGACTTGCGGTATTTCTCCCGTACAAGCGCAACCTGCAGGTGGAGTCCCCAAGCAAATTATTTTCACGACAAAAACCCGAACAACAAGCAAGGGTGCTCGCGGGGAGGGGACACAACACCTAGCTTCAGGGAATAGCGCACGCAGGCTGCGGGATCAGGGTAGATCAGGGTAGATCCTGACACTGACAAACGCCAAGGACAGTCTGTTGTCCTGTCCGTCTGTCTGTCTGTACATAATCCAGGATAGCAACAAGCATGCAATTACACAAATACTGCAGCATGAAGTAACCCATCGTGACACACAGACGCATACCCATGCTCAGATCAAGCCTGGCTGGAGTCCATCCGGCTCCGAAACCAGCTCTCACCACAGAGGCCTTGAGCGAGTCACGCATCTGGGCGTATTTGCCGCTGCGATTGAGCTCAAATACCAGGGCCTTATGCCGGGCCTCCGCAGCGCCACCACCTCCGCCCTCGCTGCCGCCGTCCCCGGCGCTGCCGGGCGGCGGCAGCAGGGCCTTATACTCCTCCGCCAGGGCACGTGCCACCACGCGCACCTAGGGGGGTCGAGAGGCGAGAAGGGGCGAGGGGGGAAGGCAACGGACAGAGGCTGACGAGGGCGGGTCGTGATGGGCCGGGACCAGCACAAAAGCACAACAAAAGCACGGCTTTGACCAACACCATGGGCCGACCCATGGGTCACTCGACGAGCTTAAAGAAACCCCGTGGTTCCCCGCGTGGTGGTGTCCCTCCCTTCCTCCTACGAATGCAGGGAGTGGCAGTAGCATCCCTCTGTACCATATACGTAAGCGGGGTAAGGGTACGGGTGGTGGACGGACACCCATACCACTCCTCCTAGATGGACGAGGGTACGGGTTTCCCTCCCCCACCAGCGACCCACCACCCCAATCCCTAACTCAGCCCCGTCTATCCATCCACCTACCTTGGCTTTGAACTCGTCCGCGGCGGTGGATGGCGGCGGCTTGGGGGTCAGGTCGCGGGGGGGGATCATTTCCAGCAGCGACCGGGGCGGCGGCGGTGGCGGCTGCCAGGGCGGGATGATGGGACGCGCCAGGCGGAAGGACAGACTTATGCGCGCCCCCACCTTCTCCCATAGACAGGTACCCGCAGCCGGAGCCTCCTCGATGGGCTTCGACTTGCTGTGTGAGGGGGAGTTGGATGTCAAAGGGGGGTTTTGGGGGCGAGAGAGTCGCGGGGGAAACGGGAATGCGTTCACTTTCAGAAGGGATATCATAACAATATTATACTTCTCACACTATTTTAGCTCTAAGAATTAAGCATGAAGAAATTCACCTTGTTGCACCTCTCATCATAGAGGCTGGAACAACGCCCAGAGTAGCCCCAACGGAAGATGTTCTTCGCGACGCGCTGCTGGCCGGCAGTTATCCGCTTTCCCTTTCAGTTACGTGCACACACACACACACACACACACGCGCGCACACACACACATGTCTTTCCCCGAATAACGTTGGCCCCCCTTTTCCCGCCTACCCTACCCCACCCCACTACTCCAGCATACACTCAGTCGGTCGCAGCTCTCACCCCGACGGCGGCGTGTACGGCGGCATGTACGACTTGGCTCCCTCCGCCGTCCCGAAGGCGCTCAGTGGCAATGCCTCCGCTGAACCGCTTGTTGCCCCCGCCGCCAGCAGCGCCCGGAAGGCCGAGTACGCGGGCGCCACCGCGTGGTAGGCCTCCCATGCGGGGTCGTTCAAGTTCTCCGCCGACACGTACCTATGAGGGGGATGAGGGGGATGAGGGAGATGAAGGAGATGAGGGAGATGAGGGAGATGAGGGGTAGGACGAACCACTGGCGAATGGAGCAGATACCAGATATAGGGGGTGAGGGGGGAATCATGAAGGGGTGACTGGGTGGGGGTGGGGGTGGTAGTGGGTGGCTTGGGGGAGTGTAAGTGTACGTGAGCTGCAGGGGGTCGTGCTTCCCCTTCCCCACTCTCCCACCGACATGCATGCGCCATTGCCTGCGCTTTTCCCCCCCTTTCAGCAGAGACGACGCACTGTGCTCCACACCCCACATGACACCCCGCCTGGTGGCGCCAAACCGGTATTCCAGCCAGCCAGCCCTTCCCCCCCAGGACCCCGGCGCCACCACTCCCAGCCCCCCAAACCCTGTCCATTCCCCCTCCACTATCCCCCTCGCGTCAGGATAAGCCCCACCTGGCCACCTCCACATCCAGGGGCTGCCCATCCTCCAGATGGAACTGCAATGCCGTACACGCCTCCGCCGTCATCTGCTCCCGCCGCACCGCGGGGCCCGCGACGCGGCCTCCCACCAGCGGCAGGTGGAGCACCACAGTGGGGCCGCTGCCGGGCAGCTTGACGGCGGCAGCAACGGTCAATTTGCCGCCAGCCAGGTCGTTGGCGGTTAGGAGTTGCTGCGGCAGTGGGGAAATGTCTACGAAGGGAGGGCGGGACGGGGGGAAGGCGCGACCGGGCTGTTGAGGACATAGTGGTTTGTGCACGCAGTCGTGTCTAGGGTGCGTGTGTGTGTGAGGGGGGGGTGGAGGGGGTGTGGTGGCCCATCTCTCGGTGTTTGGAATTGTTTAAAATGTATTAGAATGAAGGGAAGGTCAATACGGCGTGATCATTCATTCACCTTGCTGCTGCCGGAATCGGAGGAGTCTTCATTCCCTCTAAAACCCCGTATGGCGCTAGAATCCCTCCCTGGAGTCTGAGTGTGTTCTCTTCATCCCGTTTACCCCGCACTCCTAAACCTGACCCCACTCAAACCGGGGGGTTAACTTACCCGTCACCACCAGCTCCACCAGGTTGCCCGTCTCAGCAAATTCCGGTGTGACGTAGCTGTACGGCAGCAGCGGCGGCAACTCCGTCTCAGGCGGCGGCGCCGCGGCCATTGCCGCCGGGTCGGCACCCGGCGGCAGCTGGCGCTCGTGCAGCTCTATGGAGATGAAGGACAGGCACGCGGACCGGGCCTGAGGGGCCGAGAAAACAGGGGTTTGATATGTGTGTGTGTGTGCAATTGGGGTTGAGGGTTTTTCCGGGGACAGGAAGCACCACAGCATCCCTTATAATCAGAAAAAGGGCGAAGGTTCAAAAAGCAGGAGGTGGAGGAGGGCTGCACGCCTTACAGGGGATGTGGGCCGAAGGCGTGTGGTAGCTGTTAGGATACTCTGAAGACCGGGGGAATGCATATTATTCGCGATTGGTTCAAATTGTCGGATTAGAAAACCCTGGCCGGCAGTACCCCAGCGTGCTGCTGGTTGGGTTGCGCAGGGACCGCAGGGAAAGCTGGTAGCGGCGGCGGCCACTACCCGCACCTTTGGGACGCCCGCGGGCACATCTTCTGCTGGTTTAAGGTCATGCCCCTCAGCACTCCAAGTGTTCTGGCCGATCCCGAAGCCCCACATTTGGTCAATAGTCGCGGATGCCAAGACCGCGTTCGTGGCGCTGTCGTTGACCGTGATCGCGAGAGCGCCGTTCATCAGCTGCACCAGTCCATCCTGTCCACCAGAACGTCGAAAATGCTTTACGATGCTGTATTGGTATACACCGCCCTCTGAGGGCCCGGTCGGAGTCGATGCCCAAGGCACTTGACATCCCGGGAGATTGAGAGTAATGTGGGTTTTCCGCTGCGATGCAGGATCCTGGGCTGCATCCGCAGGTTGGTCCTACGAGGGCAATGAAATTCGGTCTGCCAAGTCCTGGGTGGAGAATGACAAGTTGGCTGCATCCGGCCATTTCTTGGGACGCCTCACCAATACAACTGTTGCCGATGGAATAGTTACAGTAACAAACACTCCAAAGGGATTTGTGTCCTCAGGTGGAGGTGGTGGAGGTTCGTGTTTGTTTTTCGGTGCCATCGTCAAAATGGATTTGACAACTTCCGGATGCAAATAATATTCGCAAATAGACAGCAATAACGTTTAACATGGATAACTATGAATGTTAAGAGGACTGCGGTGTAGCTTTGTAATACAGTACTTCGAGGTCTTGGCGAGCGCCCTTTACAGGCTCTCGTACATTATAAATTGACAGTTGACGCATCATGCATAAAATAACGCCGATCTACAATTTTGAATTCGGCAGTCTGTGCATTGGTTTCCATCGACCCGCGGACCGATAGCCGAGAACGACACCGATCATCCAACAAACCCAAACGAGAAGTAATGATTACTAAATAACATTGGTGGTGGTGAGTTGCCGAACCCAAAAAGTACACTCTTAAGTCGGATGGGGTTAACGGATTAGGGTGCCCCTCTAGCAGGGGAGAGCAGGGAATTGCCTCGGGAAGGAGGCCACTGGTGAAGCTTTACCACCCTGTAACAACAACATTGTTCCAATACCGTCCACAAACTGGACCAAACAGTCTGTGGTCGGCCACACGCAGGGAAGTCACCGCCGTCCTGCTTCTACCAATCAACGAATACCCATACCCACACCCCTTCGACGCGCCGGCACGAAAACACCAGACATATCTCCCTCCTTTCGACGTCTGCCACATTGCAAGTTCCTCAAATTCGCTCATACATGCGTGAATGGCGTCTACTTGACTTTGGCAGAGGAGGAAATTACAGCAGCTTCTGCTATCGCGCGCTGGTTCAAAAACAAGCCAGATGATGAATTGTACGCTGCAGGACGACATATTTCGAGACCCCTTTACAACCAGACCCGCATACATTGTCAGGAACTGGCAGCCGTAGCTCGACACCGTTGGCTCTAGCGCCCTTTCCCTTTTTTCTTGAGAGCCCCATACCAGCAGCTTCCTTATCGCAGCACGGACACGCCCCTCCCCACCTTCCAAAGCGCCCCCAAGGCCGCAGCCCGCACCCCACCAGCACTGCACCCTTCAGGACGCCTCTTTACCTCCACACGGGGCCACCCCCGCGCATCACCACTCTCACTCCCAAGCCTCCACATCACCACCGGTTCTCACTGCCGCCTGCCGAGCGCCCACAGCCCGGCCCCGACATCTTCCCCGTCGCCCTCCCCCCACCACTCATACCTGGGTCCCTTCACCCACCCCAACAACCCCCCTGCCACTGCTACTACTACGGCTACTGCTGCATTGCTTTCCTGTCCATGGCACGCACGGAACACCGGGGGCCACCACATTGGGCGCCGGTGGCGGAGGAAGGAAAGCCCTTTTTGCTAACGATACCGCATGCGATACTGCGTCCATTTCCACATCAAAGCACTCCTGTCGATCCACGCCCCGAATCTGTGGCGCCGGCTGGCCGCTGCCAGAGACAGCGGTGCCGCTAAGCTAAAAGCTAATTTACGACGCTAATGCTCGTCCCACCAGCTCGGCCAGTCGCGGCTCCAGGGGCAGCTTCAGAGCCGCCGCGCGGCCCAGCTCGCCCATCTTCTTCCAGCTCTTCTGCAGGATGTCGATCATCTTGGCCTCCGCCTCCGCCGTGTCGCCCCCCGCGCCCTCCGCCAGCTTTGGCAGGAACTCCGCGAACTGGCGCTCCAGGAACACTGGAAAGGGGAGGATGTGCGGACGTATGTATGTGTGTGCGGGGCGGACGCGGAGGGTGATGAACCATACGTGATTAGGGATGGGAATTTACGTTTTACGTTTTTAGGAATTAAGGTTACGTAATTACGAAATTAAGATTGGACCTGGCCGTAATTTACAGAATTAAGGGCTCGCCGTAATAAGGTCCCTCAGGAGGGGTAGAAACCTTAAAAGCTTAACAGACCCATGGGTCTTACAGGTTCCGCCGGTCTGCAAACCAGGGTGCCGCTGACCCGTCCACTCCTCCGAACACACCACAAACCCAGCCATGGGGGAAGCGTGAAAGAGTCCAACAATGCAGGTTGAAACCCGCGATTCCCTCCGCCCAACCAAGCAAAAGAGCAAGTCAAGTAGTCAACACGCGTCAGCCATGGTTCAAATTGGAAAGGCGATAGTCGCCAAGTCGGCTGTACAAGCGCCAAACTGATGTCAAAAATATGTAAATAAGTAAAGAATGGTGTTGCGAATGTGAAAACGCTGAAATTGTGCTGAAAATCCAAAATCGTACACTAGTACGGCAACCTTAAATTAAGGGTCCAGGGTCCAGGCCGTGGAAACCGTAAATTACAGTAATTTACTATATTACGCTTTTAAGCTTACGTAATTAAGGTTGCCAAATCCCCATTCAGCTGAATCTCACATCCCTATACGTGATACGCCAGGTCGACCGCTGCGGGGTTGATCGTGTGCATCGAGAGTGAGAACAAGCTCAAGTAAACCACCCCCCCAAGACGCTGAGCTGTCAACGCAGACAGGCCACAGCGTTCCCTACTCCGGCACCCTGCAGCCGAAAACCCCGTCCCCCCCTTTCTCTCCCCCACTTCCTGCCCCTCCCCGACTCACCCAGGCACAAACCGTCCTCCAGGATCTGCCCCTCCGCTTCCCGAAGAGCGCGTTTCAGAATCAGCTGCTCCACTCGCCTGGGAACGGAGCGGCAGGGCACGGGGTCCAGGTGGCAAGTAGCGGGTTACATACATACATAGATACATGACCGAGAGGTGATTAATGTCTGCCGCCAGGCAGCAGCAGCATCCAGCTACCCAGGGCAGTGAGGGGCGGCGGCCGCCTAGGTATATGCCGGGGGCCAGCCCTTGCCCCAAATCCCCCCACTCCTCCGCGGCTCGATTCGGTTGTGCCCTCCAGCTATATCTTCTCATTTTTTTGTCAAAATGCGACATATACACAAATACAGTTTCCCTGCCCGGGCTCACTTGCAGCTGTCGATGCTGTACCCTGCAGCCGCCATAAGGCCCGTGGTGGTGACTGCATGGCGTTTCTTGAGGTCCTCCCGCCACTGCAGGTACGCGGTTCGACCCTGAGGCAGGGCGGTGGCACACAATGTCATGAGGACACAATCTCACGTGTGCAGTTGCCAACCAAGTAAGGGACGTGAATGGGATGTCGTATAAGAGGTCGGAAGGGTCGTGAGCTGTATAGTTACCGGGAAGGTGGGAAAGCGCAGGGAGGGGGGACCAGGAGTGCGAAACAGAGACGCATCCACCCAAACCCACCCCGTTGCACCTCCCACCGCCCTTCTGCCGCTAAGGTCAACCAGGGAGACGGGTGGTTTGGTGAGAGAAGCGATATACCGAAGACGGCGGGGGGTTAGTTACGAGGTGCACTTCCCCCCCCTCAGCGCCACAACCGCCTGTCCCCCCTCAGCGCCACAACCGTAACCGTAACCGTAACCGCCCTTCCAGGAGCAGCGGCACATGAAAGGGTGCACCCCTTCCCCGGTAGTCCTCTGCACCCTGCTGGACACGAGGGTGGCACCGTTGGCTCCTTCCCCATCCCGCATTCACTCATCCCCATACACACCAACCGCGCACACACACACACGCGGGCTTCCGCGCGCATCTAGGGGTCCCTACCTCGGGGTAGGAGCTGCGGGGCACTCGCCACCGCTCCACGTGCTGCCCTCGCGCCGCGATGTGCAGCTCCTCACTGGGCTGTAGCCCGCCGTCAGCGCACAGCTGTAGCACCCAGGCGGTCAGCCAGCGAGAGTACGCCAGCTCGTACGGCACTGGCTGTCCGTCAATCTGATGGCATGGGGGAAGAGGAGGACGATGGAGAGAACAAAGTGGTGGCCGAGAGCGGCAAAGTGAGGGTAGAGAGTAACAAGGTCGGTAGGGAAAGGGCATGGGATGGATGAAGGGCCGGGGAAGGAAGTGGGCTCAGTAGGTATTTGGAAGGTGGTTGAGGGCTTCCTTAGCGTCTGGCCGGATAGAAGTGGGAAAGTGGGGAGGAGGGGCCCAGCCAAAGGTAGCATGGAAAGGCGGTAAGTTTTGGGTTGGGATAAGGGTGAGGTGAGACCGCGATGCTGTAAGCTCACCTCAACGCTACGCGGGTCCTTGCTGTTAAGCTTGTCCAGTCCATCAAGCACAGTTTGGAGGCGGCTGGAGGTTGGCAAAGATATAGCGCCGCTTTCTGAGGACACAGAGGCCTTCCGAGCTGTTTGGAGCTTTGGTGCACAAGGAGACAACGAGCGCCTGCCGAGAGCCATCGACAGCTGCGGAACCTGCGCCGCCTGTGAGGCAGGATGACTGGCTAGCTGGTGTATATTATGTGAAAACGATGAGCTAGTCACATGGAGTGCATTGCGACCGCTGGTCCTCGCAGCGCTTCGAAATGCCTTTAGCTGCATCATGCCAGGTGTCATAATGTATTGAGCAGAGCGGAAAGGATCAATTCATCTTTATTTAAATAGGATGTGATATGTGTTTATACGTGTATGATTCTTAGTAGTGGGAGTTTCTCAAGTCACGATCGCGGTTGGCATGCGAAACTTCCCAACTGTCGCCGCCGTCTCGGCAATGCTATGAGCAGAGAGTCGGGGACTCGGAGACTCCCTGAGTCGGGAGCTTGGGAGCTTGGAACCTGGACTCAGGTACACGGTAACAACGCCGTCACAGTGGGAAACTGTATTTTGCGTGAGCAGCTAAAACCCTAACAAACCAACTTCTTGAGCATCAAGCTATTCTGCCCAGGTGGTAATCCGGTGGACTCTTCCTTCTGAGTTCCAGCTTGCTTCTGTATCGTTGTCATAACATGACATGACTACATGAGCTCAAAAGCAGGCAACTAGCTTATGCAGGATACGCCCAGGACACTCCACGCCAAGGCCCCCGACAGCTGACCCGGTTCCTGTGCTCATTTTCCCCCACCCGCCCACCCGCCCACCCGCCCACCGGCCGATTACCAGCCACACATTCCCACCCGGCCTATTCCCACCGCTACCCAGCACGGTCATTGTAATGGCCATCAGTCATCAAGCAATGATTGCATGACGGCAGCTTCATCATGGATTCCTTTTCCATCAATCTGTCATAGGCGTGCTTGTCACAAGGATGGGATACTGAAAACTGCGCTGTATTCTTAGGCAGGATGGAAAAGAGAGAGGGAGGGAGAGAAAGGGGACAGGGAACACCACGGCCTCCAACGGCCCATGAACACGGCCTAAATCCAAAATGGAATTGATAGGTGTAGAGCAAATAATTGGTCGAAACCCCAACGATTTCATCAGGGTTTATCGGTAGCTGACGTTCCTCGGCAAATCAGCATACAAGGCTAACTACGTCATCAGAATTTCGTAAAACCTGCCATAAAGCATGATTTTGTTGCGAATACGACTGACCGAGCAGTCAAAGCCGACACACAATCCAAGTTACATTTCTCCTAACGGAATGCTCATATACGCGCTCTTCCAGTCCCCGCTGCGCTTTCCTGACAGCCTTATATCGATAATACTACAATAGGCGCTATATTATTGTGAGTTGAGCGGCGTAAAGAGGTTCGTCCCCGCATAGTGGAAAACGGAGCTATGGCCGCAACCACCGCTACAACACCCCCCATGGAGTACAGGCGCCTGGGCAAGACCGGACTCAAGGTAGGATGGAAGTACCTCATCGACATACAGACGCAACCAGTTGAAGCATATGTCCTGCCGAGGATAAAGCGCGCGGTATCATTTGCGACCCATGGGTCAAGCTAATGTCTGCCCGAAGCCAGGCAATTAGTAGCTTGGTCGCTCTGAGGCCGCAGCGTCGCTTCTCCATCCGAACTAATGTCCTCCAGAGCTCACATCAGCACAGATGAGAACAGCCGGTGGGCGGTGGGGGTCCTTCCGGAGCTACTCCTCTCTAAGATGTACCTTAAAGCCCACAACGGGCAGCTTCCAGATCCCAGGTTCGAATCCCGTATCACTGTTGCTGGCTGGCTGCCAGGTCAGTGCATTATCTTACGGTGCCTGGACGACATTCAAGAATCAGGCGGATTTAGAGAAGGTGGGGGGGAATGCGAGGGAGGCGATGGGTCTTATGAGACGAGGCGGGAGTGAGGTCGTGCCAGGCCGATCATCTGACGACGTCCAGAAGCAGGAAATTATGTCGTAATCTGATCAACATGACGTTATCATTTTTATGAAGTGAAGATACTACTGCTGCTGCAACTACAACTGCTGCTACTGCTGCTACTGTTTCTGCTGCTGCTGCTGCTGCTGCTGCGTGGCCGTCTTACCTCTTTACCTGCCGGGTGCTGGACACCTGGGATGCCCCGCGGGCCCTATGGCTGCCCCTTCCTGCAGGCAAAGGAGCTGATCAAGGCCTGCAGGGATGCCGGTGTTAACTTGTGAGCGCACGTGTGTGTGTGTGTGTGTCTGGTGTGTGTGTATAGTAGGTGCGGAGTGGCAGTAGTGACGCGGTGCGCCTGCATTCCGCAACACGACTGCGGGGGACAACGACCGCCCGGACAATCCGCGGAGGGTTCCTGGCACATGTGACACGTATCCGTGTCGGGCCGTACATGTCCATCATGTATTGCCGTACTTTGCCGTGTTTTGAATTGCGTGTCACTCACAGCTTCGACAACGCGGAGGTCTACGCGGACGGCGAGGCGGAGAAGATTATGGGGCAGGCGTTTAAGGTGAATGGGGGAACATGCCGTACCATGCCGTAACAAATAGATTTGAAAGAAGAAACAGACAGCAATTCATCGACCCGGCCCGGCTTCCTGAGTAAATCATTCGTGCCGTCCATTTCCCAACGAGCTGCACTTAACTAGTTCAACGAGCTTCTTAGGTACACAGCGGTTTCCGCGTGTAATGACAGCGTGTGCCTTAACGCAAACGTGGCCATCATTGGTGAGGAACGTGTTGTGGTCTTGTGAGTGAGGCGGGCTGCAGGGCCAGCAGCGTCCCGCGCCTTGCCGTGCCGTCCCTCCCTGACCTTCCCACCAATGGCCTTCCCCCTCACCCTGAACCATCGCAAACCTTTCCCTTGCACAGGATTTAGGCATCAAGCGCAGCGACCTGGTCATCTCCACCAAATTGTTCTGGGGGGGCCCGGGACCCAACGACAGGGGGCTGTCAAGAAAGCACATCATCGAGGGCACCAAGGTGCGGGCTATGCGTGTGTGTGTATATGGGTGTGTATGTGTGTGTGTGGTGTGTACTCGTCCCTGCCCCTTTTTGCATGCCTGCATGCGACAGGTTCTCTCGTGCTTTGGAGAAAGGCTACCTCCCTGTCCGTTCTGTGCCTATGTGTTTGTGTGTCTGTCTGTGTATCTGTCAGTGTGTCTGTCTGTGTGTCTGTCAGTGTGTCTGTCTGTGTGTCTGTCAGTGTGTCTGTCTGTGTATCTGTCAGTGTGTCTGTCTGTGTGTCTGTCAGTGTGTCTGTCTGTGTATCTGTCAGTGTGTCTGTCTGTGTGTCTGTCAGTGTGTCTGTCTGTGTGTGAACGTTACAAGTATCTGACCAGGCCTGAAACCACTGCCAGGGACTGCTGCCCAGCCCCAACGGAAAGACCGCCTAAGCTCTCTCCCGCGGACGGTATAGGGGCGTGAGGGGCCTCTGTCCCCTCCTAAGCAGCCGAGAGCCGCAGGTCCGCTAGCTCCGCTCTCCTCCCACGGGGGGAGGAGGGAGGTGTCGCACGCCCGCACGCTCTCCCGAGTCAAGAGGCTCCGTCACGCAAGTTTGCGCACTGAGCCTGAAACACGCAACAAGACTCCTCTCCATCCGCGGCCTAATCCGGCTCTTGGGGTGAGGGTTCATTAAGACAGAGGAAACCCGGAAACCTACCCCTCCCTAGTAAGGCACGAGCCCCCAACATAAAGCTCGGTCTCTCACCCGATTCTGCGTTGCGGGGAGCGGGCAGGCTTCAAGAAACTCGCGCTAACCACCTATCGAGCGCACGCGAGGGGGGCCGGGCACGGACTAAGCTAGCAGCTATCAGTTCACCGACGGGGCTAGGGATGCCTCACGGCAGCACCACACCGGCACAACTCACACAGCGTCACCCAGTCTGCTCTATCGCCACCCCCTTTGCCTGCGACTCCTCCCAAGCCTTACAGCAACGACCTCTCAAAAAACCCCTCTCGCTGCCCCCTCTCTACTCAGACCCAACAAAGACAAAGAAAACCCATCCCCTCCCGGACCAGCGGGATAACCCACCTACCGGGGTCCTCCCAGCACCCCTATGTGTCTGTCTGTGTGTCTGTCTGTGTGTCTGTGTGTCTGTGTGTCTGTGTGTCTGTGTGTCTGTGTGTCTGTGTGTCTGTGTGTCTGTGTGTCTGTGTGTCTGTGTGTCTGTGTGTCTGTGTGTCTGTGTGTCTGTGTGTCTGTGTGTCTGTGTGTCTGTGTGTCTGTGTGTCTGTGTGTCTGTGTGTCTGTGTGTCTGTGTGTCTGTGTGTCTGTGTGTCTGTGTGTCTGTGTGTCTGTGTGTCTGTGTGTCTGTGTGTCTGTGTGTCTGTGTGTCTGTGTGTCTGTGTGTCTGTGTGTCTGTGTGTCTGTGTGTC